TATAAAAGAAAAATTAAGTAAAGGGAAAGGCTGAAAGCCTTCATAGCTTAAATCATTCATCTCTGTAGTTAATTAATATTTATGAATTGTTTAACTACGCTTATTGGGCTTTCGGGACATCTCATCCCACTGCGGCAGAGAGCCCAGTCGACCATTTTTTAAATTATAAGGAAATATAAATTCTAAAATACGTTTATTTAAATCACCGGAAAATTTAAAATGGTTAAAACAATTCGTAACTATATTTTCCAGCCAAGATTAAAATTTATGGAAAAATGTTTATTTAGATTATGATAGTTGTCCCGTTCCTATACGGTATTTTACTAATATCATAAACATGGAAGTTTGAGGGTGTGGATGAATTAATGTTTGCTACTCTTTCACATAAATACTACTGAGTGGATTTTAATGAAACTTTACAATAATATATCCTATACCTACGTCAGAATAACATACTGATGATATTGCAGTCACAACTAAAATGTAAAAAAAACACGGCTATCAATTTGTTATTGCTCTGATGGTCAATTGAATAGTCTCTAAGAACAGCCACACTATGTTTGATATATTATCGGACATGGCCAGATAATATACAAATCGAAACAAATACATACCGAATTTTTATGCTACAAAGGAACTAAGTTCGTATGGTATTATGAGACCAAACGTCCAATCAGATGAGGTTGAGTTATAATTTTATAACTCACAGGATAATATTGTAATAATATTATTGTATCATCAAAACAAAAATATACCTAAAAGAGCTTCGTATAAAAAATAACTTCAGTTAATTACTCAAGCCTTATGTTACGCAAATCGGAAAAACTCCATTATCCGGGAAAAAGCCGTAAAAGTGACCCTCATTAGCGTCATTGTTGTGCTTTTACCGCTCCCTCAGCGCTCGGCTCTTGGAGCATAAATAAATCAAATTTAATTAACTTAGATTAATTTTCGCGGCGCCACCCGTCTCCCGCCTACGAGCGTCCCTTTTTATTTGCCCTACGGTAAAATTGTGCTCAGTTGAAAACTCCACCGGCTACGTATTACTACGGATTCCTCAATAAAAAGTTCACACTGAAGCAAATTTTACTTGTCGACTATCGTATGCCGTCTCTGTGAAACCGTACGAAGCGATTTAAATTAATTTTACTACATGATCTTTTAACTTGTTCATTATGTTAGGATAATGAAAATTAAGTACCTATAAAAACTTTGTTGAAAAAGCTGAATTTGTACGAAATAAACTTTTACGGAATTTATAACATTTTAATGGAGGAGGTATGGAGGTTATTGGAGTAGGTAGGTTATTAAAATTATAAATTTATCTGCTAATATTAAAAAGACGAAAATTTGTGATGATGCACCGACGAATTTAAAAAGTAAATTTTAATTGAATTCTGAAATTATGACATATATAAATCACATTGTATATTAGCAAATAGGATATAATAAAAATAAAAACAAGTACTTTACACTGTACACTCTAAAACTATGTACCTATACTTATTTTATGTGTATATTTTTATGTAGTAGAAAATACACGTGTAAAGTAATACACAAATAAAACACAATATAAAGTAGGTAAGTAACTACCTGCAAAACACCTAAAGTCAATCTATTATAGACATTAGAATTGCTCGACTACTCTAATTGATAACGATTTCATTGGAATGCATTCAAGAATAGAGGCAGTGGAACAAAGTAAGAGCGATAGACATTCGACAAGTGTGCTTGAGAATAGAATTTGTATTGAAAGTGTGTCGGGACTTGTTTGTAGGCTACCGGTGTTGGCCAATCAAGTGTGTGCAGTACACTTGACGGCGTACCACCCAGAACTGTCACCAGCGATGTCGGCACGTCGCCTCCTCTCCTCCAACACTACGCTAAGGGACGACCCTAAGGTCAATGTTGATCATATTGATTTTAATGCAATGACAAAACAAATCACATGTAAATAAGTTATATAATTTAGACGACTTTACAAAAAATCGAAATGTATTACTATAAAAAGTGTACTAATGTGTAATGACTATATGTTATATTACAGACAAAAACGTCTTCTTTTTTGTCGGTAGTATAAAAGCTAATAAACGCTAAATTAGGAAGACAACACAATAATGTTGATTAAATTTAAATTTCCAACTGTTTTTTTTATTTTAAATCTTGTACCTAATGTAATAGAATTTGATATTGCTAACAAAGCCGTATGTCTAATATACTCTTGCTCTCAAAAATAATGCTAAGTGCCAAATATTACCTACGGTTTATTAAAATGCATCCATTTACAAATAACTTCTCACTAGCTCACCCCGCATCTAATTTCGAGTACCTATATATTTTTGATTACAATATTAACACGCTTGGGTTTCGTAGGCCAACCTACGCCACTGCCCGCAGGCCACCCACAAACTACTCGTTCAGAAAACGTCTCGTCACCAATGTTTACCTATTGGCCCATCGCTACTACTAAACGTTACGCCCTGTTAATCTAATCATATAGCTACCGTAAACCAAATAATGTTCTTTCAATATTTATTCGGCGTATGGGCTGCTTAATTCTTTAACTAAGACACTAGTTAAGATGAAATCGCGTGTTCAATACTCGATCAACCAATTTAGTTTCTAATTGGCCAGAATTTTGATATTCATGTATTATAAATAGTTTTATGTTATAAATATGGATTTTAATATTTATTTGCATTCTTTAAACACAAGTAATTAATAACCAGATGTATTTTTAGAAATTACCCGTGATAATCTACGTATATAATATATAAGTATACGTAGATTACCACGGTTAATTTCTAACTCGTATATTCTTTATATCGCACTTCAACCAAGAGAGATTGTTGCTTAAAACAATAAGGTCGTTTTCCTTGTTTCTTACAATACCGTTTATGTAGCCGTAACTATAGGTAATATTTTATGTCGCTGCATTTTTCTTTCAGAGAAATAGAAAAAATAAAAATTTTGTAATTGAAATCACCATTTTTTTTTTATATCATGCAATCAGTCTTCCAGACTATAAGCAGATTTGTTGACTATCTGATATCGTGAGAGGTGATTCTCTATTGAGAATCCAGCCTCAGATATTGCAGCTTATGTCAGGTTGTTGAAGTCTGGTATTTTACGTCTCTTAAGACGTGCCATATAATCAGGCAATGTCAGTTGAACAGCAAGTTTATTTGGATGTCTGTCCAGCTTCATTTTTTTTTTATTGTTAGAGAGATTTCCTCCTTGACAGAGTTGATTCCCAGGTGGTGATGAACCTCCGAGTTACGAATAAACCAGGGTGCGTTACAGGTTTGCTTAAATATGTAGTTTTGAGCTCTTTGAATTTTGTTGATGTTGGTAACACTTGCAGAAGCCCACAGCTGGAGCCCATACGTCCAGATTGGCTTAAGATATGAGTAGCTTATTGTCAGTAGACAGCTTTGAGTTTCTTCCAAGCAGCCATTGCATTTCTCGGTAGATATTAATCTCTTCTCTTTTAGCTTGGATGTGCTTAGACCAAGTGAGTCGACGATCAAGATGCATACCCAGGTATTTCACAGTTTCACAAGTGGGAAGTGTGCTCGAACCCATCATCACGGATGGACAGTTGCCTTTTCTAAGGGTGAAAGTTATGTGAACTGATTTTGAGGCACTGCATTTAATTTTCCATTGCTTTAACCACAGACCAATCTTTGTGAGAGCATTTTGTAACAGATCTGTAGCCTCCACTTGATTTTTACTACAAGCTAAGATGGCTGTATCATCTGCAAAGGTGGCTACGGTTGTTCCCTGTGTTTCCGGAATATCTGCTGTGAAGATACTATATTGTAGTGGACCAAGTACGGAGCCTTGTGGCACCCCAGCCAGAACTTCGTAAAATACCGAGGTGTTCTCTCCTTTACTTGGAAGATCCTTTCTCTGAGATAAGACTCCATTAGCCTATATAGATTATATGGGAGGTGGTTCTTGATTGTATAGAGTAAGCCTTCATGCCAAACTTTATCGAATGCTTGCTGTACATCTATAAATGCTGCGGAGCTCTTGTGCTCAAACGCATCTCGAACAACCTTACACACTCTATGAACTTGCTCTATTGTTGAGTGTTCCTTTCTGAAACCAAATTGGTGGTCTGGAATTACCAATTTTTCAGAGAGACTTTGTGTCAAACGTTCAAAGAGTACTTTCTCGAAAAGCTTTGACACCACTGGCAAAAGGCTAATTGGTCGATAGGATGTGATATCATAATTGAAATCACCATTACAAAAATGTATGTATGTAATGCAATCGACCTCACATACAAAATACTGTGTGTGAAATGAGTAAAAATTCTCTACCCACGTGACAAGTTGTAAATAAGTCAATCTACCTGTAGAAGATCAAAGTACGCTTTGAGATTTATTTTGTTCTCTTTCAAATATTTGCACAGTATTGTCTCTTTGAACTTCATAGTGAAGCCTTTTACAATAAAGCAAGTAAATTCGCTTTTCAGATTGTGATTACAAAATAAGTAGATTTGGCAAATAGACCGAAGTAGTACCAGTTAATCGAAATTATCGAATTACAATAATTTTATTTAATCCAACTACAACAAACATTTGGATGACGAACTAGTATCCGTAGTGTATGCTCTATCCTTATTAGTGATCTATTTATGAGAAGTTTGCATAACTTAACTTTATAAGCTATGTTTTTTAAAATCATTATCTCCATGCCCTTGTTCCTTTATTTCCTGATCCTATCTGTACTGTACCTATTCCTGTGTACGTGATGTATTTAAAAAACAATGTTAATTTCTACCCTAAATCTAAGGAATTACCTTAGACAAAGTTTATTGCTCACATTCTACCATTACACCACTGGCCATCCACTAGAAAATAATTCTGACAATTTAAAAGCTAAACGGTCGCTTATAGTGCTGAAAAGAGTCTACATTGCAAATTTTAAGGTTCTCAATATAAATTGAGAACCTTGTTGAAATTGGATAGTTAAATTCTAATTTTGCATACCTCCACTCTTTCTTCCTTGAGGTCGACTCGTAGCGCTAACTGTTCTCGTAGCACGACGTCTGGGTAGTGTGTTTTATCAAAAGTGCTCTCGAGCTGTTCCAGCTGCTCTTCCGTGAATATAGTACGATGGCGGCGCTTACGTTTGGGCGGGGGGCCTGCGAGGCCGGCCAGCGCGGCCGCCGCGTAGCCCCCGTACAGCCCCGCGTAGCCACCCGCCCCTGATACTGCGCTCCCTACATTTCCGACACCTGTATTGAAACCAAATAAGAATAAATTAACTTAATGATAATACTTCACAGTGTATAAATATTGTTTTATCTAAAATCAATTTGTCGGATTTTGTTTATCTATGACTATTTTTTTTTTATATCATAAATCTCACCTGATGTTAAGTGATGATGTGGTCTAAGCTGTTACACGCATTGTGGTTAAGTTATTTGGGTATGTTTTTTACACAATGTTACATGTTTGTTTTAAAAGATATTACTATTTTATGTTTTAAAATTTTGATTTAACATTTATTAAGTGAATTTTTTTGTAAACTTATGAAACTTGAAATTTTGTACCACAAAAAATCGATATTAGATTAAACTTAAAACACACAAGTTTAATATATTTTTAATATACTGAATAAAAGTTGTATTAACATTTAATACCATAAAAGTAATATATATTACAACTGTACAAATATACAAAAAATATCGAATTGAAAATGTTTTTGTTTCCGATAATTTGAAATGTACGAGTTAGTAACGCTTATAATTACATAAAAAATAACTAAATCGTGGTTGATATCTTTAGTTAATATTTTTACATATTTAGTTCTTTACCTATTAGACAACCTATTATCAAAATAAAATTCAGTTAACGATTATAACTCCATATTAATTTATCATTGTAGTATCTAAACATACTTAATGTCTTAGTTTACTCTATGGTAACTGATCACCCACGACTGAAGTTATTATGTTTGTTACCAGTGTTTGTGTATAGTGTATCCGAAAATGCAATAACAAGCCTTATCAAACAAAATTTGGTTCTGATCGTAATCAAAAGTATGTCAGATACATTTTTGATTACAATCAATAATAAATTTTGTTTGATAAGTTCCTTGCAAAAGAGCTACTGACTAAGTTGAGACCTACCCTTAAGTTACTAAGACCTACTTCTGAATATAATTTATAAACATAAAACGTAGAAAATATTTAAAAATTTAGAAATGCACACGTCACCATCAATCAGCAGTAATACTTGGCATGACAATCGATGCGTGAATATCCGAGCTTAGACCCGAGTTCCCTCCGTACACTCACCACCGTTCCGAACATAATATTAACGCTACAAATAAAAATTGAATATTTTTGCATACTTGCCAACATCGGTAAAGTAAGTAGGTATTATTTGTTAAAGAAATATAAAAGCTTTTAAGGCCGGCGGCACACTGCTAAGGCGCTATCGTTGGCTTTGTACACATCATTCCCTGCATTTACGCGGGCGCTAACTTAAGCCGTATCGATTTGGTAATTCTCATATTTCACACTCATATTCTATCCTGTCTATATGTAATATTACTGCAGAAATTGTAATAAATAACGTCGTCATATATGGTAAATAGGATAAATAGGATTAATAAATTGATCTTATTTATCCTATTGTTATATTCCTAGTAAGATTCTTATATTTATTATTTCTTAATATATAGTATAATATTCATTCATTAATATATAACCTTCATTGATTGTCGAAACTCTTTTCTTAATATGTCTACTGATTTCCAAAGCATAAAGATCACATTGTATCCTAATTTAAAACAACAGTTTGTTTATGCAACAATCCATTGAGCCCCTCGGGTATTTTTAAATATTAAAATTTTCTGCAGAATGAAAATAAAAAAGGTATAGAGTACCTAATAATGGAGATAAGCCGTACTTTGCCCTGGGCTACCTGCCCGGGTGCACGCGGCCACCCGCCACTGTCGCACTCGCAGTGTCTTCGACGTTGCAAAATATCTATGTAGGTTTGTTAAAAATACCAAATAGTAATAGTAAATAGTAAGATTAGTAGCAACGTTTTATGCTTCATTAATGTCCATCACTATATTGAATATAGAATACAAAATATCTAGGTATGGATAAGTACCTACCTAATATTAATAATACCTACTAGGATCAGTAGTTGCTGTTTTATGCTTCATCAATTTGCATCACTATATGGAATATACAATACAAAATAAATACAGTATTTGAATAATAGTGAAAGATTTAAAAACCCGATAACGCTTAGTATTAAAGTGTTGTCAGATTCTATAAAAACATATTTATAAACCATACGGCAACCCAAATGTTAATCGAAATGTATGAGTTGGCCGTTTCATATATGTATACATATAGTTTTCGTACACTTTCATATTATAAGCATAAAATAACATTAAAACAGAAAGTATAGGGTACAGTGTGATATATTATATTTTTTTCAATAGGAATAGTCTGATAAAAACGTCCTGCACTCTTGTAATTCTTTAGAATTTGAGATGTAGAGCCCTTTGTTTTTGGTTATTTACATACTAACTCCCCTAAAGCGTTTATAAAAAAATATATACCCATTCTTAATACAATTTTCGAAAGGTAAAAAGTACAGTAAAACTGTCAATTTTCTTAATTTTGTTGTTATTTGTGAGGATTTGCCTGGCATGCATATCAAATTACAGATTTGTAGGGCTTCGAGAAGTGGGTAGGTATCTTATAGGGTTGGTAAGTGACCGAGTAAGTGACGAAATCTATATATCTTTAGGAAAATATTATAAAAAATATGTATATGTATAATATACTGAAAAGAATGAAACTAACTAAATAAAATTTTGTGTGTATTATGTTACTTACATTATAATATGGATACCTGAGAAATATAACTCTTTAGTATTGTCAGTTTAGTTTAGGTTGGTATTGTTAACAGTGTCTAGAATAATATACATTATATACATATTTCTCCTATGAGGTCCACAGCTCTAGATCCACTAGTAAGTAGAACACACACACTTTTAAATTGTGTAAAAACACTATGTAATTTCTTTTTTAGGATTATACTAATGTACATACACAAATGTATAGTAGGTACAGTAATCCCAATATCCTACTAATATTGTAAACCAACTAAATAAAATAATTAATGAAGTTTAATGAAACTTTACAGAATATATTAGTAACTTATGGGTTATAATTTATAAATATATGTAGAGTTGTAGAGATTTTTATTTCTAAGGGCTATCTTACTCGAGAAATCATTTAAGTAAAACTATAGTACTAGATATTGGATTGTTTCTCTCAAAAGGCGTTATAGCCAAAATAGTCGACTATAAATATATTTAATTTGTATATTTAAATTACAGTAGCAATTACTATCTGTAATAGATAGATAAACTTCAATACAAATACACAAAGTAATAATACAAATAAAGATGAACATTTAATATACATATATAAACAACCGGTACCAAAATAAAAAACAACTGTACGCTATAGTGTTATCTCATAACATACAATGAGTACGTTACTAATTAGGTATATGTGTATTGTAGAAGTGCAATTAGGCCATAGCTCTGTGTAGTTTTTATGCCCAAAGAGCCAATACTGAATTTTTTAGCCAGGCATAAGGCATGATGAAAGAGTGAATAGATGAGGAAAGGAATGATTGAGGAAAGGCAGTGGCCATCGCTCTCTTCTTCGTAGACTGCCATATAGTGAGGTTGTTTCATCATATTTTTTTTAATTTAAAGGAGTTTTTTTAAATATTATTATCCTATTTTTTGCAAATCCTCACTTCCACATATATATGTAATGTTTTCTAACCTAAATACAGGTAAATAGATTCTACCAGCTATTATTTATGATCATAATGTCATAAATAAAATCACATTGTATACATGCAGGTAGGTACTTCTTATATACGTCAGGATTTTAAATTATTTTCTTAGTTATGCATTATAATATCGCTCTCTATATTGTAAAAGAAGACTTAAATATTGCGTAACGATGACTGCCATATAGTGAGGTTGTTTGCTACATTTAAAGCATATTTTTTTTAGAGATAACTCAAACACTTATTTTGCATTTGTATTGCTTCAAACCAATTACGCAATACCGCTCCTTTATTTGTTTGATTTTTACAATTTACCCGATAAATATCTAATACTATATATTATCACATATTGTAGATATAATATTAGAACATTATTATCCTAGTCTTTAATTGAAGCCACATATATATGTAATAAAAAAAGTTTTCTAACCTAAATACAGAAATAAAGGATAAATGTTTTGTTAGACATATTTTATTTGTCTAGTTAAGTTTTATTAGAGAATATACTATTATTTATATATATTATACTCACATATTGTAGATATAATATTAGAACATTATTATTACGTATAGTCATAATTTGTCATATCAAATAATAAAATCAATAAAAAAAGTCATAAAGGATAAATGTTTTGTTAGACATATTTTATTTGCAGTTAAGTTTTATTAGAGAATATACTAAATATCTAATATATATATTATACGTCACATATTGTAGATATAATTTAAATTATTATTCTATAGTTAATGAAGCAACTATATAATATCTAATAATGCTATCAAATGTATCGGTATATTATAGAAGAAGAAGTTAAATATTGCGTTAACGATGACGTCGATAATTGAAATGTCTGTGACAACCCCATCTCGGATAACAGTAGTAACAGGCTGATTTCTTTTAGATCTGGACTAAATACTCGTGTTCTTAAACACCCACACACACCATCGTATTGGATAAGTATTAACATCACATTTAAAGCATAACAATTCTCATTGTTTTTAACTACATTTTCAGAGATAACTCAAACACTTATTTTGCATTTGTATGTTACTGAGCCAACACATTATACTGAACACAGTTCAAACCAATTAAGAACAACGCATGTATGTATACGTGAACTCAGCAATCATGCTTTATTTGTTTGAAGAAAAGATAGATGTTTTTTGATTGAATTTAATACTATATTAAATTCGCGTAACAATTTACCCGATAAATATCTAATACCTATATATTATACTCACATATTGTAGATATAATATTAAACAGAAAACATACATTAATATTGCCTACTGTATTTAATCAATATATAAATAAAAACATAAACGATCCTAAAACTTTATGGAAAAATGTTAAAAATAATGTTGGTAATTTTAAAACTAAAGTTAAAGAACTGCCACCTCATTTACGTGATCCAGATGCCATAAAGCTTTTTTCTTGAACTATTTGTTATATTTATCACACCTAAATTAAATTAGTGGAACAATAATAAAAAATATTAAATCTATGAAATCAAACGCCTATCAATATCCCTAGAACGTTAATAAAAAATCTTTTAAAACTAGTCTTTCCCTAATGAAAATGTACATACAATCTCACGAAATAAAGGATAAATGTTTTGTTAGACATATTTTATTTGTCTAGTTAAGTTTTATTAGAGAACATACAATAAATAATAGGTACTTAAAGTTTGTTACTGATATCAAAAGCATTAAAAATAAACATCATCATCTGCAAAAAAATATTTAGATTTTTCATACTTCAATCTCTGAAAATTTGTAAATATCATTTATTCGCAGATGATCTCAAATGTATAAATCTATAAATCCCTATAATCCTAATCCAGATATAGCAGTGTTAAATAATGAACAATATAGCGAAATGGTCGATATCAAATGGTCTTACTTTAAATCCAACAAAATCAAAATTACTAGTACTTGGTACTAAAATAAAATAAATAGATCATGGCACAAAATCCTACTCTGTCAATTTCAGAAAATCCTCTAATATTTGTTGATCGTTCGAAATCTTGATTATGGACTTTCATATGAAACCATAAGTGTTACTATAGACTAGGAATAAAGTAATAGAAAATGCGTATCACTTGTTATGTAATTAGACACAGTTACGCCTAAAATCGACAAAAAAATAATACAGACTGTAAACAGACATATAAATCAATGCAACTCAAAAATGGAACACAGACGATCTCTACATTTTGCAGTATTGCTTTTGTTGGATAAGAAACCAATATATTTATTTGAAAAACTTTCATTTTCTATGTCATCGATTCTAATGCATATATTTGTTCCATATTAAAGAATATTTCTAAAAATGTTTGATTCATATATATTGATTAAATAAATAAATATATTCACTGACAAAGTTATAGTTTTTTAATATAATATAATAATAATAATATCATTTTAGATATTTGATTTGAATTTATCAATTCACACAAAATCAGCGCTGTAGTGATACGCCACCTAGTCTCCTTTTTTATCTGTTAAGATAAAATTATTATTATTATTATAATATACCAGTATTATGGGTACTAGATAACGGATACAAAAATATAGATGTATATTTTTTTCATAAATACATATTATACATAGATATTTTATAATAATAATAGTATAACAATACACAACGCCACCTAGTCTCCAGTTAAGTAAAAAATGTATTATGGGTACTAGATAACGGATACAAAAATATAGATGTATATTTTTTTCATAAATACATATTATACATAGAAAATACCATATAAACAATTATACTTATGAATACAAATGTGCCGTACGAGGAATCGATCCCGTGACCATCGGAAGAAAGGCGGTGTGCTGCTAGACCACCGAAGCCGTCAATATTATTAGATCTGTTTAATTACGAACCTCAGCAGTGAAATCTAATAAATTACTTGTTCTTTATGATGTCTGACAAATCGTATATTAGATATTATTTACCCAAATTATGACTCTATGTTCAGTAGTTTCAGTTCTATATATGTTTATTGACATAGAACACACCCAGATAAATACGAGTAATCGTACTAATGAATTCAAATATTTGTACTGTTCGAGGAATCGAAACTGAAACCATGGGAAATAAAGAGATGTGCTAAATAGCTAGACCACCAAAACCGCCTAACTGTTACTAGTCACTAATGACTCTATCTTCAGTAGTATTTATTTTATTTAAGAGTTTAAATACAAATTAGTCACTGGTATATGATTACTATATTTCTTTATAATGATAGATTGGTGGGAAAAATTATGCCTATAAAAAATTAAATTATAATAGACTAGCTGTACACGCGGCACTACTGCCGTCGAATACAACCTATGTCACTTGCTGGTAGTTTAACTATCAATTGATTAAACACATATATATATAGATGCATATAGTAACAATGGTAAGGCTATTAGTAATATTAATAGGTATGTCCCTGCTAAGAAAATAGTATTAGAAGAATTACTTAACATAAGTACCTACGAGTTATGTTTATGCACATGTAATTAGAAAACATTTTTTTAAGTAATGTAACTGCACAAATCGAACGTCGTATCTTAACTAAGTTGTAACCGCCTCCTATATACACGAACAACTACAAACATTATGTAACCCTGTAATTGAACTGTCTATCTCGCCCTTGTACCGAAACACATCTTACAAATCAAGCTACTTTCTGATACCTTTATACTAAGTCTACATCTATAAATAACCATTGATAGCTTTTATGTGTTAATGAAGGTTACTTATGAATGTTACAAGTCCCCTAATTGGTCATTGCGAGATACCATAAATATGATGACTTAGAAACCATGCAATCAGACTTCCATAAACAAACTAAATTTACTTCACAACTGAGGTTTACTATCATCATCTCTTCCTTACTACAACTATATTGCTTCTAAACCGATGGAAGATCGTGTTATCTAACGCACCCCGCAATTATCGAGATACAAACATACCTTATTCATTCATGCGGTTACGTAACAGTGGTATTAAACTTTGGGGTAATATGTAACAAAATACTCAGGTACTATAGAGACGGAGTGTTTATGGATGATAATTCTTTGATATTGCAAACCTATTAACTTAACATTTTTATATACAATCTCCTTAATACCAGCCTCGTAGCTCAAAAAATTTCCATCGTGTGATATTGTTTTTCAGGTATCCGTTTTACTACGTAATATTATCTTATTTGTGGCTTTACCGAGCAAAGCTTTATACCTACAAAGACTTCTATATCACCTATTTTAGCTGCCATGCTGATTTCCTTTTTCCTTCAAATAGTGCTTTAAATTTAGAGTGGGTATATGACAGTTTTCACTGTCATTACAGGGTATCCAAACATGACATTTCGTCCTCCGGGTAGTATGGATGCCACATAACATGATATTCGTGTTTCTGTTCATGTATATAGGCGTTGGATACCACTTACCATCATGGGATCGTCAACTTTCTTATAATTTCAATTACATAAACCCCTTATACATAGATCCCAGACAAAGTATAATTAAATTCATCAAGCAGCCAGTTCTATACAGATGTAGAGCTAAGTAAGTTTAAATATTTAGATTTTTATAATCTTTAAAATGTAATGAGATATCTTACTCAAAAATAAATAAATTTAGGTTTATTTTTTGACGGATACAATGCCTTTTCTATCTATGTTATAATACTTGACTAGAACCGCAATTGAATGTTTAATTATTATTATATCTATTATAGAGTAAGCGCAATGAATGAAGTTTATAAATTGATGTAAGTAAAGCGTACCTACATAGAGACGCAGAAACATACCAAACAGATCATGTGCTCTATGGAATGGTGAATGTGCTAAATGGTGTAGCTGTAGAGGTGGTAACGGGGGCTGAGGTCGTGGTGCCAGGATGCTGTCGATGGTGAAGAGCGGGGCCGGTGGCCGCTCTGGCAACGAGCCGCCCAACAGCAGCGCCGTACTCAGCAGCGCGGGCGCTTCTCGCGGCCATCCGCCGCCCCCGCCCCCCATACCGTCGGCCCGCGACTCCGGCTGCGTCGCCACCCTGCTCACACTCACCGCGACACTGACCACCATATACAACACGTACCCACACACCACATCATAGTCTACTGTCCCTGCCAGCCATTGTTGTAACCACGCATAAAATCACCGGCACTTTTGAATTGAATTTTTATGGTTTCAGCTTCGTTACGCGAATTTTTTTTAAATTTAAAAATTGAAATGTTTCTGATGCACTACGCACTATTTTTTTATTCGAAGTATGTTTATTTTTTAGGAAAAATAAAGTTGACTTATAGCGGTGATTACTGTAGTTTAGTAATTAAAGGATAATAAGATGCGTGATGCGATTGCGAGTAAATCGTTTTAGTGAGTCGTCGGCCGCTCCGAGCCTCGCTCGGCGTAGAGCGTGTGTGGGGCGCACACGCGCACAGGGCGTGCGCCGGGGCGCCGGGGCGTGGCCCCTGAGGCTCCGCCCCGCGCTCAACTTAATGGATGTGACAATATGACGCTCCCAAACAAGCAGCAGTAATCTCTATCCCTCCCTATTAATACTAACTCCCTATAACTACTAAACTTTGTTACACTAATAATAATCTATAGGTATGTTGCATGAACACTATTTATTTAACAACTTGACACTTAGTTTAATTTAATATGTTATAAATAACTACAATACATATAGATAATATAATACTATCAACAATACACATAGTATCTTCCTATAACTATAACTATATTTACTTTCTGAAATATAAAGTTATAAGCGAGAAGTCACTTCAATGTTGAAGTGACAATAGATATATGTAGCTATAGAATCTACGAATTAAAAAATACGTATAGGTAGATATAACAAATTATCTGCCACCAACAGCACCCAGCCTCCCTCCTCGGATTATCCCCCGTCCCACCCGTTCCATATCCTCAAAGCCACATACACACATTCGTACTCGTATCACAACACTTTAGTAAAACAGCCTTTTTGTAACAATTGTCAAAGTCGTGAGGATTATATCTTTTATCTAACAGCGAACAAATTGAGCGACGTAGTGTAGGTATTATATCTATTGTAAAAATTGCGCCCTTAGCGTTTCACTACGTTGCCTTTTTGCAGCTTACAGAATCGTATAATGATAAAGACGTTCCTACGTATAGATTAACGACAAGAAAATGAAATATTTTTCATTCCTTTTAAGATTGAAAATATTTTATTGAGTCATAGACATGTTCAACTGCTCAGTACCGTTGTACTAATACTATTATTGTGGATTTATACTGATAACACACCTTCTGGTGTAAATTAGTTTACACCAGGAGTTAAAAAAGGAGGTCCTATATTATCGTTACGTTTATTTTTATGTACCTACGTTTTAGCATATCTTTGTTAATTGTGAAGTGATTTTTTTTTAAATTATATTACGCTATAAATATTAATATCTTAGTCCGTAGGGAATACATGAATACGAACAGATAACAAGATACATCGAGCCTATATAAGACACTGGTTATTCAATGGTTTTATTAAGGTGTGTATTTATTTTCTTTCAAATTCATCGTGCCACGATCTTCATAAACTTTTAGACAGATAAATATATTACCTATCTACCTACTCTGTGTATGGTCTTATACAAATTTAGATTCTGTACACTATTTCAATTATATAGATAACGTCTAAGTGAGTACCTTAATCTAATTTCTATTTCTATTTATTCTACTCTATTTCAGGTACCAAGCAGCTCAGTTAGATAAGACGGTGACAATACAGTACAGGAGGCATTATGTAAGCCTTCAGAATAGTATAAAGGGCATCACCTGATGATATGATATCCGTAATGTTTTAAATTTGACGTGGCATTGTTTATACATATAATTAGTAAAAATCACGGGATCCTACTGCGTTGTATTATTATTGAGTTCCGGGAAACTCAATAAAAATAAAACGTGGTAAGATCCCATGATTTTTACCTACTACCTATACGTAGTTCTTTGCTTATTTATAGACGGAATTGCCTCCTACTCGTATTTATTTCCCATTCCAATTACATAAAAAATAAAGATGAGCAGGTTCATAACTCTCAACAACCGGCAGTAACAACAATACATGACGCAGCAACGGCAGCCCAAGCAAGCATTGGTCGCGCGACCGCGCCAGTCGTCGCAACTCTGCAAATATTGACAAAGGTGGGAGCCACGAAACCCGAGCGCTGCTCTGTTTGCCTGTAATTGATGTAATTAGTCGTGTCGGCCAGCTGCTACCGATAAAACCTCCGATCCAGTGTTTAAACAGTTAATATGATACTTTTACGGTCCGGAAACATCTTTACGGTGTCTTATTCCGGCAAATATTGGTCACACTCGACGATGCGTGACAGTAAGACCAGATTACTCAAACTGCCCGGTGTTTTTAACTAACCTATTGAATTTTGTATCGTATATAGATATAGTTGTTTCTAATATAATATAGTTACTACAATCGTTTGTGTAACAAAGTACTGGTACATAAAGATACATTTTTCTTAAAACAATTGACTGTAATTTAAATATTAATAGATTCACCATTATATTCTACATCAATTGAAATATTATAAGATAGAGTAAAAATTAACTTTATTGAAATTTAAGCTCTTTTGAATTAGGTGTAACACTACCTACAGTTAGGACAAGATATTAGTCTGCTTGCTGCTCCTTAAAACAAAAGTTTTACAACTACCCTTTTTAAGGCAAAATATACCTACATTTGGATGGGTGCGACATTCTATTGCCACCCGTAAATAACAAGTTTTAGAGATCATATAAAACTTTCAACTATAATAAAATCTACGTAGATATCAAAATCATAACAAACAAATTATCAGCGAGAATAGTGAATACAAAATTAATGCAAAATGTCGCCGATTCGTCTGGGCACGACAGTAAGCAGCTGCCATTCTCACTGGTATAGCTAATGGAAAATTAACTCGATATAATACAGCGATTATCCGCGTATGACTTAATACAGGACGGTCGCACAAAGGGCATAAGCATTAAAATAGCTAACAATGGTCGGGATTATCCGGGGCTAACCTCCCAGGCACGACAATACGAGTATGTGTAAGCCACGCCTGGACCCACATCACATTATTAGGTGCCTTATATTCTACATCTCTAATATACATATTCCTTACTTCATAGCTTAAAATGAAAAATTAAAATTAAAATAATTAGGTACTTTAAAATATGTAAATGTTTAAATATTTAATTGTCGGATGATTGACAGGTGATTTGTTAATAGTGTTTATGTTAGCTTTAGGATTTGTACTGACAATCGATATAACATGGAATCGAAAGGGATTGTTAGTAATATGGGCTAGTAGTCGCATTTCCAGCAATGTAAAGTACACATAAATAAACATTTACCCCGAAATCGTCGTAAAAGTATGCCGTTAACGCAGACGAATCCACCATTCCTAATTTGTAACTCTGTATAGCTATCACCTACCTAATATACTTATTGTTATGGTGCATGGATGGAAAAGTATTATAAAAAAAATACGAGACCAGTTCGACCTCTATGCGATCTCCCACAAAAACTCTCCTGGTTAATTCGGGATGATCAACAATTTTTAATAAAAACACAAAGTTGCAAAATTTAAGTTTTATTCATATATGGAAAAGAAACAAGGATTGAATTGCAACATAATAGCATTATTATTATTACAACATAGGCACTGGGGTAGCTAACAAGATTGTGTAATGTAGTAGGATCGGGTTCTTAGCGCATAATACTCATAAGCACGACGCCCTGAATGTACTAAGAGCATTAGCTGTTTGTGTTTTACTAGAACTAGGGCTCCGGGCTCCGAGAGAATAGTAAACATACATATGTAGAGATACGCAGGGCGCCTACTTCCTTACCATATAGAAATATATATTCTTATTTTATAATCTACTAGTTGTGCCCGCGGTGTCATCCGCATGAAATTTATAGCATGTGTTAATCTGATGTACCTATAGGAACATAGCTTCATGTTCCTATAAAGTTTCATCAAACAAGGCATACATATGTAGAGATATGCAGGGTACCTTTACCTACTTACTATGTAAACATATCAATTCTTATTTTATAGTCTACTAGCTGTGCCCACGGTTTCATCCGTATGAAATTTATAGCCTGTGTTTTCCTGATGTATAAGCTATATTAATGTAAAATTCTATCAAATTCAATCAGTAGTTTTTGAGTGAAAAAGTAACAAACATTCATCCGTTCATTACTCAATTTTCGCGTTTCTAATATTAGTAACATATTTGTTATGTTTCTATCGTAAACTAAAATTTGTAAATATAGTAATATAGATTTTCTTAAAAGAAGTGAAATACTATGGTATATAGGTACTTTGGCTTACTTACGTACTTTGGTAGTATGTTTAATTGAGGAAACAAGCTCAGGGCTCCTATAATACATACATTAGAAAAATAAGAACTTATAGTAAATTATTATATTATTGGTATGAATTAATTTTCTTAATATTAACATTCATAATTAACATATGAGTTCAATAATTATATAATACTTACTTACATAAATTACAGGTATAATATCTTATTCCTCTAGAATGACAACACATAAGTGGTATCACGGGTGTCATGTCATGATAACGTGACACCCGTAGTTCTCATATCATCGGTTCCCGCTTACCATCAGGTAGGCCGTCGAACTAAATTATCTAATTTCCTTGTTAATTCGCCATTATCATATGACCGTATAATCATTATTGAATAATAAATAATTAAAAATCATTACACCAATAATTTTTATTATGTTCGTATCTAATATACCATGTCGAACATAATCTATGACCATGACCCGATATCACGCCGTATTCTTTTAACGAAATATCCATAAACATTATCAATAATTCCCAAACACAATGCATTTTGTATGTTTCACATATATCTAACGGATACTGTGCTATCCATGTTTTGTATGCACCGCGTTCAATGTACACTTATATGGCACTGTATGGCAAGCGAAAGCCTATAGCAGAAGGTCATCTTAGCCTTGAAAATGCGGTCTTTCGAAAGTGAACCTTTAGAAAAGCGCGCAGTAGACCATAACGATCGTGAACTTATTGGTGGAGCATGCTTGTGTAACATTTGTAGTTATTATGTCTGAATGAATAATAGGCTGGAGATGCACATAAAATATCATCATCATCCATTCACAAAACTATAAAATTTTATGCATTTTTATATTTTTGTCAAAAGTTATTTCATCTTTCATATTCTCTACTAATACATGTCCATTCTAAATTATATAACTTTTCAAAGTTTGCTAAAAGATATATATCGTTACAGGGTTAAGCAGATACTCAGAAAATATATACCTATTAATAAAAAAAATGTGCTTATCTCACTTTTTTATTAAGCTATATATTTTCCATGTGCATAAAATAAAGAATAAAGAAAATTTATTTGGACCTATATAAGAGAAAATAATTAAACATCTTACAAAATATTACAGTCGTCACATATATGTACATGTGCTATCACCAGAGATACAAATACTTTATTTCGCTTTAGAAACAATCAAGCAAAGAGCGCTCCGAGCGGTTTTGGAACTCAACTCGCTTAAAACGATGAACATCTTTACTAAATGTGATGAACTGTGCCAAATCACGCCAAAAAAAAAGAAGATAAAAATGGTGAATGTTTTATTAAGATTTCAAAATTTCTTGTCTTTCAAATACCCAAATTTATTAACAGGTTTTGTAGCTCTTTGTATAATTTGTTAAAAATAAATTGTCTAAAGATACATTACCAATCACAATTCTTATAATACTAATCAATTAAATAGCGTATCGTTCGTCTTATAAAGTAGGTAGAGTTAAATTGAAATATTCGAAGCTAAACATAGAAATAAAAGACTTAACTAGTCAAGTTTACTCATTGTACTTGACCTACCCGAGCTTGCTGATTACGAAACATCAGACACGAGTATAAGTAGGTAGTACTTTGTTGTTTATTTCATTTTTAAAGGTACTTTTATTTACAAAATTCAATATCTACTTAGTACCACTATATTGTCATAGAAATAAAAATTAGAAAAGTAAAATTAGTCAGATATGGTAATATATACTATATATGACTAATTTTACAATACTTACAAGGCCTACTACAATATTTATTCATGCCAGGTCCCGTGAAGTATAATAAATTAAATACTTACAATTTATATTATCACGTTTATGAAATTTTTATTTTATCTAGGGAATATAACAATGTACTAAAAACTTATATACCTATAATTAACCCCATAAAGTTAAAAGATATAGATACGCAATAAATTGCAGAAAGCCACGTCTCTATGTAATGCATGATGAACTTATAAGCGTACGTAATCGATGTGAATACTCAAATAGAAACGCATTTGCAGGAGTCCGAACATAAGCCAACAAGGGCGAGGAACATGGATTAAACATGTTTAGTCATTCGGAAGAATTGTTTAACGCTATCCAAATAGCGGCGTTTGCATGCGAAAGGATCCACTAAGCAGATAATTTTTGTACGATTCAAGCTTATAAGCTGTCAATCAATATATTTGTTGAATGAAGACCGAGGTGAACAATACCATCACCGGCTGTGGAGTTAGCATAGGTGTTCGATATTGCATTATTCGACGAACTAAAAGTAGCTTCACATGTTGTAGGTGTCCACTCATGCATGACCCGCTTCAGATTATTGTCTTGGTTCACAAATATAGCTTGTTTTGTATTAAGTAGTATGTCAGGAATTATAATTTAGTAAAATATATTTTTATAGGTATCTGACTATAAAATTAATATGCTGATAATTATTAGTTAAACAGTAATTAGGTAGGTACTCTGTAGCCACTTTATATAATACAATAATATAATAACAATTACCTCAATTCACCCAGCACCATCTAGGCCTAAAACATGCAAAGCTATGAAAATTAAATAAATACATAACATTCAAAGGAATTATACAAAAGCAATACACAATAATAAAATCATAGGTCGTTCAAGTACACAAACGTTAGTATTACCTAAGCTAGATTAAAACCTGCTACCATCGGAAATAAGGCAATAAGTTGAACCGGTAGATTACTGAATCTTAAAGCACATGTACATAGCATAGAATACTTTATTAGACACTAGAATAACAACTAGAAATGTTTTGCCACGCACCACCAATTGTGGAATAAATAATGCTGCAATGTTATTTCCTAACCAATACGATATTCAAACCTTCGAGAAAAATTGATACAAAATATAACAGAAAATTTGACATACAGTCCTATATCAATACAAATTATTACTAATGTAATATAAATGCTGACTTAATATAAATAACATAATATAGCATTCAGTTGCTGAAATTTAATACATTAAAACGCCATTAAATACATTTAAAGTAAACAAAAATTATTTGATCAATAAAATTGAATTTCAATTAAATCAAATTACATTACAGTGCATTGTTGCAAAGAATGACAATAGAGTAGACTTTAATTTAGTCGTGAAAAAGTTCAGGTTCGGTTTTTGTAATCGTTACACAAGCGTAATGTTCAGACCACATTGATTGAAGACACTAATTTGTTCTGCACGAGAACGAAGATGTTAAGAAATGCAAGAATTTATTTTCAAAAACAGCCATTCATAATATTATTACTAGATTAGAGGAAACTTGCTGTTCTTAAGCTTCGTTTAGAAAAACTTAATCGGTCTTTTATGGAAATGGGAATAAAATTTTACAAAAAGCTACCAAAAGTATATTATAGTTAAAGTAGAATAGAAAATCATTTATTCAAATAAACTTAATTTAAGCACTTTTGAATAGTCATAACAATTTGTTTTTTATATACCACTAGTTAATTAAAACTCAAGTTATTTAAAATTTCTGTTAAATCATATGTATTGAGCAAATCCTATTACTTAAAAAAAATAACTTACTCAATAGACAAACATGTATGGAATTAGTTATTTAATGTTTGACATAGACATCTAAATAAATAGGTATACTTACAATATTTAACTGGCTTTTAATAAAAAAAAGTCTGTGGAGTTTCTTGGCCATTCTTCTTAATTGAATTTATAGACTGAATGATATGGTGAGGAAAATATTAATATAAAAAACTTGACGTTCTCAAGCGACTGAATTATACTAAATGAATCAATAATTTTTATATTGATTTGCATTTACTTTACGTGTAAATTCACCATAAATATTAGTTGATTCGCAAAATTTGTACCTACTTAATATCTTACACAAAAATGATGTTGAATATGTTTAGAATAAGCAATAATAACACTAGCACCTGTGTGCTAGTAAAATAACTGTTTATTTTAGAGCAGGATTAAGTGGACTCAATATTTTCTTTAAATATTATGTTCTTATATAATATTGATCAACGGGGGTATAGGCTACGAGTAGGTACGAGTAGATAAGTGTGCTTATTACAATTAATTTAAGAATGCGGTTGCACCCTCCTGACATTTAAATTAAAAGAAGAATGAATAAAAATAAGTTATTTGTACCTAAAATATAGTATGAATATGGCTATCATCAAAACGAATGTTTTCAATTAAAGTTTAGTTTATTATTAGATGCTCTGAGACTTATTAAATAAAACAGGAAGGTACTATAACGTCATTCTTGATACTGTGCCATACACAAAACCTTCGGCTTTATTTTTTTATATTAATATGTATATGTTACCGACGCCGACAACGAGACATCTGAGGTAAACTGTGCGATGCTGTTTTTCTTAATTTGTCCATGAACTAGTGCGATCGAATGCTTGCGGAATAATTTCTGCACCGCTTTTAACGGTGCACTACTACTTGCTAATATAAATAGGCAATCAACGTATCAGAGGTCAGTCACAACCGGACTTCCTCTCGCTAGATACTCAGCACTGGTAACATGAGGGGGTTAGTATTATTGGGGGCGCTGTGCTTCGTGGCCTTATGTGCCGCATACGAAGCCGAATCTGAGGACCTTGCCGTCGCAGCCAGCGGCAAGATTCACCACCACGAGCATGGTGGTGGACACCATCACCATGAACATCACCATCATGAGCACGGCAGCAAGGGCGATAAAGGACACAAAGGTCATCATCATCACCATAAGGGTGACCACGGCCATCACGGTAAACACCATCACGAGGGACATCACCACGAGCACGGTGGCGGTCACAAGAAACATTGGGACGAGCATGACCACCATGGCGAGCACCACGAACATGGTCATCATCACAAGGGAGGCAAACATGGCCATCATGAACATCACGACAAAGGCGAACACACTGACGGCTACCACAAGAAATACCACAAGGACCACTTCCACAAGGATCATCACTTCCATGACGGACATCATGATGAAGGCAAGCACCACAAACATGGACATCATCATGGACACCACGAGGAGCACGGCGGACACCACAAGAAAGGAGGTCATCATCATTCCGGCCATCATGAGGGACATCACGGCAAGCATGGCCACCACGACAAACACCACTACGATGAGGACCATCACGGCCACAAAGGGCACCACGGACACGAAGAGCACCACCACCACCACGGGGATCACGGCAAGAAGGGCGGCCACGAAGACCACAAGGACTGGGGATTCCATCATGGCAAACACTAATCTTAGTGTTTCGCTTTACAATTGTTGTTACTATAGTGCTATTAAGAATGAAAGTTGTTAATGTTTTTGTTAATTTTTTTATACAAAGTAAATCCTTGTTTATATAGTAAGCTCAAAGTTTTATTTTCCCTGTAAATATTTACAAATAAAAGTATAAAGAAATAACCCTGGACAATTAACACAACGCAATCTACTCCCACGGTAAGCAGAGCTTGTGTTATGAGTAGGTACTAGACAGCTGATATATATAATTAGATATTTTTTTTATAAATACATAGATACATAATATACATAGAAAAAACCCAGACCGATATAAACAATCGTCATTAATATATGATATATAATAAACAATACTCATTAATACAAATGTTTTGCACCGTGGGATAGAACCCACGGAATACAACCATCGAGGCCGTCGTAGTAAATATAATACGATATTGGTCGAAAATAAAACCTTAAATTGCGCCAGTAGACAAAGCAATATTTTATTATCGAAGCTTAATGTGTAATTTCGGCTTCAACTTATGTTAATACTAGAATACTTACCTACACAGCTTTTTATTTACTAGAATCGCTAATGTTGCTTTGTTTACAAAACCAGTAACAAATAAACAAACCTTACATATACCTACAATACTATAAAGAACTCCAGTGCTGTCCTGAAAAATTTTATGTTTCTAATAGCTTAAGAATTAGATATTATTATATATGTACCTACCTATATAATATTAAAAAGACAAAGTTTTCGATACAATATGAAAAAAGTGTGAATTACTTATGTAAAGAATTAACTACGGAAAATAATCATTGTAAACAATCAAAACAATTTAATATGAATTTAAAAAAAAGATAGATGAGTTTATTCATTACATTTCGATATTATAATGATTATTTGTCGCTATGTAAAACATGTAAGAAAAATTTTACGAAAATTAATCGTAAGTGAACCAAGACCTAATCTAATTTAAAAATTCAATAATAAGTACATGTCACGACCCACCTAATGGAATTAATTAAGATACTTATAGACATGAATAGCGCCTTGAACGTAACAAAATACAATACCGACTATCTCACGCGATAGAACGTCTAAAAAATATCGTATTATGTCATACCCAGTCAATTTGTAGGTACAAGCCCTTCGAAATACAATCCCTGATGATTACGCTGGAGCAAAAAACAAGAATATTCGTGAGGATATCTTTACCATAACCTATTGTACACCCATTGTACAGAGAAGTACTTAAGTTATTTTTGATAAGGAAAGACGATTAAGAATTTTCTTCCAGCAAACTACATAATCATCAGAACAATCTATGTAGATATGTATATAAAAAAATCCATAAATAGTTGATCATCAATGTCAAGTAATCACCACAAAATTTGGCATACAGTTGGTTATCCATGAGTATTTAAACTTCAACGTCAACTTTTTGTCCCCATGAGTTTATATGAGGTAGATATGTATATAGGCCAAGCGAAGTCTTGACCTGGGCAGAAATTAATAAACGGAAAGATACACAAACATTATTCACATCATATAAGTAAAAAATTATCGTTTTACATAAATGTCTTTATTTAAACTCTATAAAGAATATACACGACGTTTTAAAATTTTTCAAGAGTGACCAATTAAATTATTGTTATCAATTGTTTACATTTTGTCACAAGCAGGGTATAACTACTATTGACTAATCATGTGAGGGTGGCGCCCTTTATTATTCTTTCTAAACTATCTGCATCGTAGGCACACGAAGTAACCCCGCCGGAGTCGTCATAACATTCACAAGCTACTCTACCCCGATACCATACAAATTTCATCTTCTCGAAAATCCAGAATTAAGTGCTAGAGATGCGACACCTAAATACATTAATTTTTATGTAATTACAATTACAAACAATCTGACGGCGCACCTGAAGGTACCACGGATATCATATACCTATCACTCGTGATACCACTCATGTGTTACCATTCCAAAGGACTTAGATGTTATGCATCCTGTATAGCCTTATGACCTATGTTAGGTTATAAAGCATGTAGACAACTTTTCACAAAGTCGATAAAATTCTTATTTTGATTTTATAATATATTATGATAATAGGAGTAGGCACTATAATATACACACCTTTATACCTATGGACTAGACTAGCCGATGATTTCCTCATGCTAAAAAATACGTTTCTTGGGTCCTGCGGTTATACTATTAGTATTAACGGCTTCATCCTGACTTAGCAACTAAGATCTAGCAACAATCAGATATGCACTTTTGTAATGTTATCAGCACTAGCCAAATAGAGAAGAAGCGAAAGGAAGATTATAACAAATACTTATCAGTTCAGTTAGACATTTTATATATCAGCCAAACGAATTTGTGTTCAGTATCTGACGTTCATAATATAATACATGCACAAATAGCTAAACATATCCACCAAACTTGACAAGAATAATAGGCCTAATGTTATGTCGCAATGATAACTATCTGTAATTAAGCGTGGCGCGTGCTAAGCGCGCCATTCTGTCCTTGTCCAATGGTTTCACCGAGTGCAACCTGCAACTTTAAGATATAAATGCAATATCGGTCTGTTTACTGTCAGTCCAGTCCAGATATCCAAACATTAAACAAGTAGGTACACACAAGGCATACACAATGAGGACGCTCGTCGCCCTTGCAGCTCTAGCATGTGTTTTAGTCGTTTCCACTGGCCGCGAAATCGGCCAAAAAGAAACCGACCTGGTCGCAGCGGCCAGCCATAAAAGCCATCACCACGAAGAGGGAGGAGGCAAAGAGCATCACGCTCACCATCACCACGAGCACGGGGAAAAAGGTCACAAAGGCCACAAAGGACACCATCATCACCATAAAGGTGAACACGGTGATCATCACAAACATCATCATGAAGGCCATCACCATGAACATGGCGGCGGTCACAAAAAGCACTGGGATGAGGACGACCACCACGGACACCATCATGAGCATGGCCATCATCATAAAGGAGGTAAACACCACCATAAAAAACACCATGATAAAGGAGAAGAGACCGAGGGTTACCATAAGAAGTATCACAAAGATGAGTACCACAAAGATCACCACTTCTACGATGATCACCATAAAGAAGGCAAGCATCACAAACATGGAGATCACCATGGACACCATGAGAAACACGGTGGCGGCCACAAGAAGGGTGGTCACCATCACTCCGGTCATCATGAACATCACCATGGTAAGAAAGGCCATCACGATAAGCATCATTACGATGAAGATCACAAGGGACACAAAGGACATCACGGCCATGAAGAACACCATCACGGCCACCACGACCACGGCAAGAAAGGCGGTCACGAAGATCACAAACACTGGGGATTCCACCACGGCAAGCACTGATATTGTTATAATTAAGATATTTGTTACTTGTTTATTGTTATATTATAATTACCTGCCTGTAAATAAACGATGTTGAAATATTATACATTCATTGTCTAATTAGTTTCACACCGCTTGATGAAGTTATTGTTCCTTATAAGTATAAGTAGGTAGGTTATATTAGAACAAAATGCGAATTGCATAACGGATATCTAACAAGCATCTATCGAAGCATATATTATAAAATATTCTATTGTATTGCGAGTAGACGTTATGCTACGACTACAGGAATTTCGATTATACTATATATTATAACAGCAAACCTACATCGCTATACTGACATAATTAAAACAATTAATGACTTTAGCACCAATATCGTATGAAGTAATTTGTTACGATATAATATTAAATTACAATATTTTATACAGACTGTAAAAATACTATGTTTATAATATTATATGTAGAACGTTATCCAACAAAATAAATAAGTAATAAAAACTAATATATCAAAATTAATCAGTAACGCCTATTAGAAGGCAATGTAACGGAACTAAATTATTTTAACCGTAGACTGATGTCGACACATCTGCAGTCAGTCGTCCAGAAATCTACAGCAACTATTGCTAAAGATCACTGTAATCGGTACCAGATGAAAGCGTTGTTATCTATAAATTGGAACCACGAAAACTCTTGTGACACTACCGTTGTCTCTCCCGGCAACAACGCTACTCGAGAAAACAAAATTGTAAGTTTATCCTCTTGCTCAACGTTGAGCTAACTTTTTCCCTCACAGACTGTAAACCTATAAGAAATTGTACTGGGGCCCAAAAGAACATTTTGTTTACATTGAGTATATGTTTTTTTTGTGAATATTGTTATTATTATTATTATTACTATTACTATATTATTACTACTATATTTCATTTGTTACAGAGAGTTTTAAGATGCGGCTTTTGTTACTAATAGAACTTTTAGCATGTGCTTTAATATCAACAAGAGCACGAAATATTGCCAACTTGAAAGGCGAAAGCGCAGTACAACATGCAGTATCTGAATTAACAGCGCCTACAGCCGCAGACTTGGCTCCAGCTGGTACCGTGTCCATTGACCAATCACCTGCAGGAACAGAACATAAAAAAGCTAAAGAAAGTCATCAAGAACATGGTGGTGGTCATGAGCACCACGCACATCACCACAAAGACGATGAAGAAAAAGGTGATAAGGGTTATAAGTCACATCATCACCATGATAAGGGAGAGCACGGGCATCACGAAAAGCATCACCACGAAGGTCATCATGGTGAACATGGAGGACACAAAAAGAAACACCACGACGAACACGATCATCACGGCGAACATCACGAAGCTGCACATGGTCATAAAGGTGGAAAGTTTGGTCACAAAAAGGGCCACAAGAAAGGCTCTAAAACCACCGGCTTTCACCACAAATCACACAAAGACGAATACCACAAAGAACATAAATTTTACGACGACTTTCACAAAGGCGGTCACCATCACAAACATGGAGATTTCCATGGACACCACGACAAAAAGGGAGGACATCACAAAAAGGGTGGTCACCACGAGAAAGGTCATCATGAAAAGCATCATGGGAAAAAGGGACATCACAATAAGGGTCACTATGATGAAGATCATAAAGGGCATAAAGGTCACCATGGTCATGAAGAACACCACGCCCACCACGAGGACCACGGAAAGAAGGGTGGTCACGCCGGTGGAAAGGAACACGGATACAGCCATGGCAAAAAGGCTTAACGTTATGGTTTTACAGATCTCATATATTTTGTTGCCTGTTTTGTTAAGTGATTATCTTGGTTACAAACGAGTCATAAATTTATTTAATACTAAGATAATTTCTTAGGACTATTTAATTTTAAAATGTGTTGTTAAAAATTGCTAGCCTTGTTAGTCTTGAAGAGGTACTATAATATATGAAACTGAAGTGGAGAATTCGAATCAGTAAAATTATTTTTTCATATGACATATTTTTATTTTTATCTAAATCTACCCATTATTTATATTGTTAACCAGGTATAAATTCAAGTAATTTTGTAGTAAATAAAGGTATCTCCCTCTCGACGTTTGGATTAAGTTGCACTATATAGGCGTGGTCACGAGCTCACTCGTAAAAATCTTTCGTGTATAACAATATTAATAAATCCGTCCAGCTATGAAAATTACCAAAATTATTAAAAAGAGAAGAAAACATGAAAACTACAATTTAATATTTTTTGATAATTCTCGAAACTTTAGATTTGATCAATACACCCAGTATTGATCAAATCTTTTCTTTCTATTTTGCTTAAAATATTTTTAAAAGATATAAAGGACATAAAATCCTCTTGTCAGGAGACCATGTGTAGTTCTAGTAGTGAACCAAAAATTGATTATTAGGATGAAAATTTTATGATAGTCACACATTTATTCATTTCATCAGTAACATAACTTTCAATCTGTGTCTATCTGACCTGACCATTGCTGTGCTCAGTGATCCTAATTTAAGGTCAATAAAAACTATTCTATCTTAAATTTCATATAAATTGGTTACATAATTTAGTACTTTATCTCGACTAAACATCAAGACATAAGATTTTTTTAACATGATGAACATGTAACGAAGCATAAAAAAATTGTATAATAGGAAGATTTTGACACTTTATTTATATATAAATATATATTACAACAAAGCCATTAGGGGAGCCAGATGTTCAAACTCAATTTTCTCAGTAATATTCTTTGTCTTGATATTTTCATCCTGATTGGCAATAAAGATGAGGTTACCATCATCTCTCCAACCATATTTTTTAACCCAATGTTTCAAAGTGACATCTGTAAAAAATATATAAAATTAATATCCAATACCATAGAGTGATTAGTAATATATCTTGATATAATTAATATTATTGCAAAATAAGTGTCCAATAAATATATTTGTAAGTAATGTATCCAATCCACATCTACAGGTAGGCGATAAAACAGCATAACAGATGTTGTAATCTGGTACAACCTCATCTCAAATTATTACTACAATGATTATTGTAGTAATAACATGTTCACCAATAATTTTAAACTCATTTCTACAAGACATCCAAACAGTATACAAACCTAATTAACAAATAGACCAGTTATGTACTTACCATCAATTCCACCAAGTAAATTAGCAAGATTATTCTTGTCAATTGTTTGGAATGTTATACCAACAACATGGCACACAAACTTGCGAATTGAGTCATGAAAACCGCTGATACGGCTACACAGCTCCGGCATCTGGTGCACCCTGTGCCAGAATTGGGCGAAATCACATTGCTCTAAGATATCAGCCAAATACTTTATTTGAGAAATAGTTTCGTTTTCAACCTAAAACAATTGCAACAATGTTTTTTCTGATCAACACTACAATAATAATAATAATTGACCTTAATATAAATCTTAAAATTCAAAATATATAATTCCTTCATCATTACTGGTAAAATATGGTTTACTTGCTACCTTTCCCAAGCATACACATTCATTGATCAAGACAAATATTGGCACAAGTATTTAAAAAATACAAAATTTGTTGTTCATTGATTGAGCTATGTTCATTTTGAACATTATAAATTTGAAAGAGTTTATCCCTCTTTCAAATTTATAATGTTAATAAATTAGTCATACTATTGTATGGTTAAACAGAGATCAAATCAAAATTGACCACCTTATCTTACATAATAGAATATTTCCACAAAAGTTTCTTTTACATTTCAAATTGAAAAAGCACAATGAATTATCCTTTAAGTATCAGTCACCCAAAAACTGGTGATATATTTTTAAATAATGATAGTTTTAAAAACAATACAAATGTTCAACACAAAACTTACCACAGACTCTAGCAGTAAACATTTACATAAAGTGAAATCAGTATGGGGAAAGTTAGTTAAAGCTTTCAGAAGAATTTGACAAGTGATGTCTGGATTAAACTTCTCCGGGTTGAACTGGTAAAGCTTCAATACAGCCAAATTGGCTTCCAAATCATATGTGTTTTCCCGGGACTGCATGTCCACATATCTTTCGAGAGTTTGAAGATTTGCTGGATTGTATCTAAATTGCGAACAAATTAAGTTATAATATAAAAAGTATAATGTATAAATATAAAGTTCAGCTTTAATATTTGTTTAAGTTTAATTAGGTATCATCATTTATGTTATAACAAATGTAGGTTATTCAGAACAATATCAGTTTCAATCAGGAGATTATAACCTATAAACTAAACAATATGGACTCACCTCTCAATACTTTTTAATATAGTGGCAACAGTTTGTTTCATAGTCTCAGCCATATTATGATTATTCAGTAAACAAGAAACATAAAAAACAGGGTTTCATATATGAGAACAAATCACAGAAATTATAAAAATGTATATGACGAGACATATACAAATTAGGAATAAAGACTCGACTAGTGATGCTAGTACATATTAGTCGTTATTCGAGTGACTTGAGTGAATTTGTATAAGTTGAGATCGAATGAAAACAACTCCTAGTACGGAACCGTCGGCGTCGCGCGTCGCCTAAATACATGAACGTGATGTGCATTATCACGTAATCATGTAACGGCCGTGATAGCACTCATGCGTTGCCATTAGGATATGTGAGATAAGTGATATTCATCAATATCAAATTTTTATACGATCTCTAATTCTTAGATTTTGTTATGTTAACAATGAACGTTATGTGGTCTGTATAGTTTTTCTGATCTGTGGACTGTCAAACCAACTACTATTGCCAAATAGTATTATTTGTTTATTTATTAAATTACCCAAAAATGTCGCTCTGGAATTTGAGAATTGCCGATAATTCTTCTCAATTTTTACCTGATTTTCCTCGGAAATCATATACCAAAATTGACCCAATGGGTAAGTTACATGTTATTTACGCTTTAGATAATGGTCAATCCAAAGCTGATATTGCTCGAGAATATGGTGTACATCCGCAAACCATCGCGTATATTTATAAACAAAAGGAATCCCTGATTAAAAAGTATAGACAGAAATATAACCTCTTAAAAGAAGTATATTGCGTTAATATGGATCAAACCCTAATGGAATGGCTTAAAGATCAAGTTAAAAATGGACAATTTGTTAATGAACAAGAATTACGTGAAAAAGCTCAAGAGATAGCTTCGACTTTAACAGAGGACTTCAATTGCATTGATGACTGGTTATCTGATTTTCGTGTGAGACATAATATTTCAAAATTTAGTTCTGATATAGAATGCAGTCTGCAAGTGAAGGAACAATGGATAGATTTTATAAATGATTTAGATGTAAAGGACCTGTATATTGGTGGTATTACAGCCCTATCACACGATTTGGATTTTGAAAGTTATATCAATAGCCAAGATATAGATAATTATGTATCAATCATGTGTATAGTTAATTGTCTAGGCTCAGAAAAGAAAGAATTAGCAGTAATTGGTAAAGAAATGTTAAATGAAGAATTTAACATCAGAAGTTTACCAGTAAACTATTATTATGATGAGAAGGCACAAATGAATTATACTGCTATTAACAATTATCTTAAGCAATGGGATGAAACACTCACTTGTAAGGGTAAAAGTGTGTTATTAGCTCTTGATGTACCTGGAAACATAATACAGAAAGATTATTTTACCAGTATAAGAATAATTGACTCAAATAGCAATATTTTTATAAGAAAAGCATTAGACAAGTTAGTAGAATGTTTTAAATTCAATTATAGAAGATTGCAAATAACAAAAAAAGTTACTTATGGAAATGTTTGTAGTCAATTGTCATTGTTAGATTGTATTCAAATGATGAGTATGGCTTGGTTCTGTGTTTCAAATAAATACATACATCAACTCTTCTTTCCACCACAAGATGGAAGTCTCTATTTTAACCGTAATGATGATTACAGTAATGGTAACCACAGTTTGTCTCAGTGGTGTAAATTGTTTAATATACCAATAAATTTTGAATTGTATTCTGATTTATTGGACAAGTATATTTCTTGTGACAAGTCATTAAAATGTTTAAATTTATTGCAATCTAATGACAGTACACAGAGTGTTACTGAGCTTCTATCACAAAACAAACCACAGTCTGCATCTGGTATAGAAGCTTACCAGGCTATGAAAAGGCTAGTCTCCTATTTACAGGGTGAGAGTGCAAATCCATCTGAAATGGCATCTGCTAAATATTTAGAAAGTCATACTGAATTTGGTGCTTTATTTGACATACATCAATTTATTGCTAGCACCAATGAATCGGAATCAGTTAATGAATGAGTGTAAAGTTGAGTTAGAATTTGGTGAAAGGCCTAAATAAATTGTCAAAGTTGCTGTGTGTTGCAGTGCTTGTCATTGAATTATAAGTCAGCCACCATTGTGTGGAATGGTATTCAATAAACAAGTCTTCACCAGTCTAGACTTTTAAATGAACATCAACCATTCATAACATTAAAAATATATTATATTCAAAATGGAAATTTAATGAAATAGGTTTAATATAAATTGATAGTAATGTGTTTAAGTACTTACTAATTAAATAACATATATTTATACAAACAAGAATATAATATATAAAGTGATAATCTTCTTTTATATAAAAGTATATCATAATATTATGTCTATCTTAATTATTTCGATAAAAGTAGTACATGTATGTACCATATCCTGCTTTTATCTAAAGAATATCCTTGCACTGGTAAGGCTGTAATAAAGAAGTTTAAATTCTTGTTCTATGGTGTTTAATTTTTTTTCTGTAAGGGCCAAAGCCTGCTGTAGTTGCAGGGAACCTTTGTTTTTTTGGTCTTCCACTAAGTTCCTCTCATATTGAATATGTTTCCAGACTGAATCAAACCAATGCAGTGATTCAAAATTAGAACCCTGAAACAATAGTTTACTAAAATACCTAATATCCTATGTGGAAAATTATTAAATAATAATAATAATAAAATCAGTATATTATGATTTGATTTGCTACTGTTCATTGTGAGATCTAAACAATTTAATTATAGATTTTCAATGAAATGATACAAATTTTTAGGATAAGTAATAAGAACTTTTAAAATTATGACATTTACCTGGTCCAATAATTTCAGTATATATGCAACACCCATTGCGAAACCATCGTCAGTAAATGCAGCTCCGATTTTATTCTTTTTCGTCATTTTATCTTTTGACAATATCATGTGTTCAATAAAGTTCAATGTTAAAGGAGGAACAATGATGTAAAAGTTTCTAAGATGAACATTTTTTGGGTTTCTAAAGACTGGAGCAAACACATCTACAAGAAGCTTAAAATATTCCGTGCCTTGTATGAAATTTGAAATCAAACCATTAATGTTATGGTCTAAATTCTCAGAAGCATTAATGGTTCTTGGTCCCAGCTTATTTTCATCACATAAATCCTTAAATGATTGGACTTCCTCCAAATTTGGTAAGAAAACCGTAGCATCTGAACAACAGTGCCTGCCTCCAGATCGTATCATCCTTACATATCCCATTGCATTACCAATTTGACTAATGAGTTCTCTAAATAAATCTAAATAACTTTGGCCATCTTCATCTAAGCCAAGAACTTTAATGCCCTTGTTAAATTTTTCTGCATATTTATAATGATACATGTTGTTATTAGTCTGTGACGTATCTTTGAAATTTCGCAAATCTTTAATAAGTCTCGATTTAATGTGTTCATCATACATAAATTGAGAAAAAATAAAAAATTTCTTTTTCAAAAATTGGTATGTGAAATTGACTGTTGTATTCATTATGCCAGTGCCATGTGTCCTGATAGAATTTGCTATATGGTTTATATTTATAGAATTCAGATGTTTGTTATTACTACTTTTCTCAATAAAGATTTGGTTATTCAGGTTGTACAAATACTTAGATACAAATACATGTATATTACGCATAATTTCTAAAACATCCAAACCTTGTTCCAATGTTTGTGTTGGTAGATTATCTTGAACAGTCTTTAGATTAAATTTAAATTTTGCCATTTGTCTCATTTCACCATAAGTTTTCCAATCAGACAATACAACTGTTGTTAAGTTGTAGTACATAGTAGACAGGTAATGTTCTATGGATGGAACAATACACATATAAATAGTCAATATCCGAAATGTGTCTATAGCCAGTAATAACTTTTTGGTCATCTCCAATTCAAAGGGATTAGCAGCATCCAACTGCAAGTGAGAGTGAATATGTAAACGTAAATTCGTTTCTATATTTTGACTAGTGCTTCTAATCACTTTTTCATCAATTTCATTCTGCATATTTGTAAGAAACTTCTGAGATTTTTTAATACCATATAACATATCTGTTTTATGCAACAAGACTGCACAGTCTTCCAATACCATAAAGAAATATTTCAGTTTTAAAACATTTAATTGTGTATTAAAATTTTGTTCATAATATATGGGTATAACATTTTGATGCCATAGCATCCATGCACAGTTACAGTGATCTTCAAAAGATTTTATGAAATTGGTTAATGTGTGAACTTTTTCCAATATAGTTCCAAGTCTTATGTAGCCGTCATCTATATAGGTGGTGTTAGGAACAAAACTTAGGGCTATGTTCGCTGCGATATTACGATCTATAGTAGGTGTTCCTTTAAGAGCTTGTTCAGCAATCACAATACAAGTAAACTCATCTAATCTTTTACTGGCAAAATTTTTTTCTGTCATTACTGATCTCTTCACATCCTGTATTGATGATGTGGCTTGAAATATTACGTGTTGGATTATCATATTAATAGAATTGACTATTTGATTATAATTTCTGGAGACAACATTTTGTAAAGATTTCATAATGTTAATAATTTCAAATAGTGACATCAATATATTTTTTGATAATGGTACTCCAAGCGAAAGATGCAGGTTAATCAAGGTGAGTACAGAATAGTTTATAGTTGATGTTAGTTCTAGACCCTCAATTAAAATTTTAGAATGTAAACTCATTTCTGCAGCACTGAGTTTATGATCTTGAGAAGAAAATAATTCTTCCATATTTATCACCCATTGGTTACAAGATGCATAAAGATTAGGTACATCACGAGCCAGGGATACTTTTCTATTAGCAATATATGTTTGACGAGCTTTCAGCATTGTTTGGGATAATTTTCCATGAGTTGCACATATAGATGGAACATGCCTCTGAAGGAATTGTTCTGGGTACCATACTGCAGTGCCAATTAAATTAACGCTGTGTGCCTGTAAATTATCATATGTTATGTAGTTTATAAAGTATAAAATTACAATTTAAAAACCCTACTCAACAACTTACCTTTATATTCAATTCAGTCAGTGACTTAAATATTTTTTTGTCCATTGTACCAAACAAATGTGATGTCAAAACAAATAGAGTGTTCACTTTAATACATTTGTACATATTGTTAACGTTAGGTTTATCTTGTGTCAGTTTGTCCAGATTTGTTATTGCCTGTCTTAAATATTGTGTAAATTCTGTTGTCAATGGCAAACTATTTTTATCAACTAGACTCTTTCGTAAAGATAACAAATTTTGGAGTGATGTTTGGACAATGTCATCATTCATTATTTTCGAAGTAATATTTTCAGTAGCCACTATAATTGACTTGATTTTGTCCTCAAGCATATTGAATTTTTCTGGCATTTTATTGAATGCTTTCAAAGTTTTACAATATTTGTTCCATTGTGAAGGGAGTGAAGAGCTAGATATTAGCTGTTCCAAGATGACCAAAATTGTAAAAATTTCTCCAATATGTTTAATTATATAATGTAATTGAATACCATCTGAAAGTAATATATGACATTATAACTTTACTCATTTAATTCTATAAATAATGTAAAAACAATTTAAAACTTACGTATGTTGACAACAACTTCAGTGAAAATAGCAAACACCTGACTGCAGATGTTTCGTAAGATATCATCACAGCGTGTAGTAAAAGCACTTAATGAGCATATAGCATGCATTTGTGAACTGATATCACAATCACCATATTCTTCATATACTGCTAAAAATGGAAAATGTCTGAAAACATAACATATACCTCTATATAATGTATGAAATTACAAAATGATATTATAAATAATAGTACAATAAGACAATAACTCCGCATTTAGCCTCGCAATTGGGTCTTTGTGTGTGGTCTTGTTTAGACTACTTAAAATAAGGAAATAACAGACCTTTCAAAAGCTTCGTTTTTTAATCTCATCACTTCAACACACAAAGAAGACAGAACACTAAGGACTTTCGTAATCAATGTATTATCAGATGAGAGCAACTCATTCATGGAAATAATTTCAGTAGCTTTCCTAGTTATTTGTACAGTCAGAAAAGTCTTATTATCTTCCCATTTTTCATTTTCAGTAACAAGCAAAAGTTCTTGGTGCTGTTTTTTGAAGAACTCTCCATAACTTCGCAAAATATGCGTTCCAACCTCTTTTTCTGTATCGTCACCCATTAGTATACTAATAATCCTAGATTAAAAGATTTTTAACTTTAATTAAAGTTAATAAGAAAACAATAATATATGTAGATATATAAATAATAGTCTCGTTAGTGAATGAGAAGTGACAGATGACAAGTAGTTTCGTATTCATCAATGTTTAGTCTGTAACATTGATAATAAAAAAAATAAAAAAGTGAAAATCGATAAATATCGTAACAATCCTACAACTTAGCATTACTATATTTTGATTTAGTTTCATTATGCCATAATAATTTAAAATGTTCAATGAAGAAGAAATCGATCAAAGAAAAATGCATTAGTATACTAATCCGTGAAATCATCATAACAGTTGAAGAGAGATAAGAAAACAAGAATATGCATTCATTTGGGAGTAAGTCTTCAATATATCGTAATTGTTAACTTTGTAGTTGTACTACATATAAAATTGGTGAACAAACAAGAATACAATGTTTTGTCATTCCTTTTCATTATTAGGATGTCATAAAAGATGATTTTTTCTAACTGATATTATATTGAATAGTCGCTATCAAGTGCATTTATCAAATTCCAAGTGTATGTTTTTTTTTCTTTCTATATAAAGATTAGAAGAGAGCCATGGGTTCGAGATAGTCATTATATCAAGGCTTTAAAGAATCAAATATCCTCACCGTTGCCTCACAGTACATTTATGAAATATTATGTATACAAGGAAAAACTTAGATAGTTATATTAAAGACTGTACAAGTATTATGCAATAAAAATATAAAATTTTACCTAAATGCTGTTAAAATTGATATTAAACAAATTATGTAAAAAAGCCTATTATAGGATACATGAATACATAGATGACAGCAATATAATAAGTTTATTTGAATAAATGATTTTCTATTCTATTCTATTAGAAGTTAAGGCATTAATAAAAATCAAAATTGTATATTAAACATTTTTTAAAATAACACTAATTATAAATGATTAAACATTCATTCAGAAAAATGTTGTATAAGTATATGCAAACTAAGTAAATTTAGTACTTTGTGTGTAGTTTAGTAGATAAACTGGTAAGATAAATATATTTATATAAAGCTAAGTAACATTTTTATACTCATTATTTAACAAATCAACAAACTAACATAATTCAACAAATCAACAATGATATATATAAAGCTAAGTAACTTTTTTATAAAATCAACAAACTAACAGAATTCAACAAATCAACAATGATATATCTAAAGCTAACTAACTTTTTTATACTCATTATTTAACAAATCAACAAACTAACACAAATCTACATTAATCATGACAAATATAAAAAAAAAAAACAAAATTTCATCTATTCAGTCGTCTTAATTCTATTTGTAGACCATCCAATCGATCCCTTATTAATACATTTAATTCCTGGAGTATTGGCAAATACCACCCGTAGATTTTTTATAACGGCGTTGTAAAAGTATTTTTTCGGTATGCATGATTGGTACTAATACCAGACTTGATGTCTTTATCTAACTATAAGCCCCCATTACTAATAATCTTAATATTTACAGAAATATTTTCATATAACAATAATTTATTATGATATAAATTTTTTAATCAATAATAAGGTATAAGTAAGTGTTAAAATTTCAGTCTGAAAGGTGGGAAAAAGCTATTTAGGTACCTTACATACAGAAATAAAAGGAATGGTAATGATGAGGAATACTATGGAAGTCACCATCTTTATCGTTATATAATAATATGTATAAATAATAATTTAAAATGTTTAAAGTCGATGTGGACATCGATATCAAAATGGATTATTTTAATAGGACTTATCGCACACTTATAATGCTGGTTTAACTTAAAAATTACAAATTTTGGAAGTCCATTTTATAACAGTGGCATTAAAGTCTAATTTCGAAAATTTTTAATTTCTCAATTACACCAGTATTGTACTAGATATGCGATATATCCCTAACATAGTTCAAAAACCGTTCTACGACAAATAAATGTAACATTAATGAGCGATAATGTAATCGATGTCTTTTTTTTAAGTATAATCTTAGACTTTTTTCTCTGTGGTCCAATCACAGACGTACTGTACGCTATTCTGTTGTATGACAGCATTGACAGATTTCTAGCTGTCAAAAAGAAATGTTTCTGATTTGTGTTTTACCCTTTATTTATTTCTTTTAACATTTAACGAAAATATTGATACGATCTTATTAGGCCACAAATTAATTGCTCTATCAGGTGTACTTAACCTAGTATCATTAAAATTTTCACCAGATTACATTTAATTTAACAAAATGGATCAGATGTTACCGAGTCCATATAATATACCGGGGATAGGAACCCCGCTACATCAACCTGAAGAAGATCAGCAAATATTACCTAATGCCATGCACCAACAACAGCAGGCTTTGGCTACGTTGGGTTCTTCACCATTAGTTGGATTTGGAGGATCTATAATGGGTACTCCTCAAAGATCTATGCACACATATGCACCAACAGCCAGCTACTCAACTCCACAGCAAATGATGCAGCCTCAAACTCCTGTAAGTTAAAATTATAACTTGTTATTGAAATTATATATTCAATTTGGGCACGATAGTCTGTCAAGATATTTCGTTATGTATTACATGCACTTCTAGTGAAATATGAAAAGTTAGTGCACTAATAGTGTGATTTTTTAAGAATTAACCACAATTGTTTCTAGTAGGACAACATGCATTTTTTTATAAATGGTAATAGAATGATGCACCAGTGGAGGCTGATAAGATAAATATGAAATCAGGTCAGTTACCCCATCATTGTAAATTTACTAGGAATGTATTATGTTGGTTACCTGGGAGAACCATGTAGGTCCACCAAACATGGTACATTGCTAGCAACGGGGCTATCAGTCTACATTATTAACAATCTCTTGTCCTCCAATACATTCAAGTTAACTTGTAAACCATTTCATTTCTGACTGTAATGTTTGGGAACAAGATTAATACTTTAATAATACTAATAATTATTGTCTTAGAAAACGAATTAAGAAAGACTTTGCTTTGTTTTGTTTTCTAAGAAAAGTATAATTAGGCAGCTGTGAGATGTGGATTCTTATAATAATGTTGTAAATAATTAGAAATTTATATTTCAGCAAAATCTCATGTCTCCCATGATAACTGGTGGTAGCCTAGCAGGACAGCAGATGCTCAGTCAAGCCAGTCCAGCACCTATGACTCCAATGACCCCTCATTCAGCAGACCCTGGTATTTTACCACAGTTACAGTAAGTTGACACTTAAAAATACTTTGCAGTATTAGGTAAAAACCACATTTCTTTAAAGTTGTTATTAATGTATAAATATGCTGACAAGTCAGCTATTCAAAGGCAACTTATATCTATATATGAACCATACCATATATATATAACAGAATAAATATACTGTGACATCCTTGTTACATAAGTAGAACATAGATAATCTAAAATGTTCTTAAAAATCAAGATTCTCTTTAATTTATTTTATAAGTATAGAAATTTTACAAATAACTTAAAATTTATAAGAAAGAAAATTAAGAATACCATATATAATAATCTCACTTTATTATGTTACAATCATTATGGTGACTTAACTTTAATTAAATATTTTCATGTTTTTCAGAAATATTGTTTCCACTGTGAATTTGAATTGTAAGTTAGATCTGAAAAAAATTGCACTTCATGCTCGTAATGCAGAATATAACCCAAAGAGGTTTGCTGCTGTCATTATGAGAATAAGAGAACCCAGGACTACAGCACTTATTTTTTCATCCGGCAAAATGGTCTGTACAGGAGCTAAAAGTGAAGAAGATTCTCGATTAGCGGCTAGAAAATATGCAAGAATCATACAAAAGCTTGGTTTTACAGTAAGTATGAATGAAAATTATCAAACAAAGTTTAATTATGTAGGAATTACAATGATTTTAAAATATAAATTACTATTGGAATAAAATATATAATATATAATCATTCATTGGGTTGATAGCATCACAGTAAGTACTAGTAAATTAATTATCCTTATATTAAGTACGGGCTAAAACGGACATTAGAACTTATTATTTCTTTTTTCCTGATTTTTCTTAAAAGTTATACTATTTATTTAAGTCTGGTACCTTAGACTATTTAACCTGATGAAATGTCTAAACTGTTTCACCGATAGAATCAGCAGATCATACATTTTATAGGAATAATTTATTGCTGACCAAAAATATGAGCTGTAATTTAGTTAATACAATTTGTTATATATCTGGCTGCCACAGACGTATTTCACACGTGAGATTTGTTTAAGCATTAATTCATATAGGTAATAAAGCATAGTACCTAAGAATGTATATATGTGAGGATTTTTTTAGGAACAACTGTTTTAAGTAAAATTACTAAATGGAAAATTTATGTTACAGGCAAAGTTTTTAGATTTCAAAATACAAAATATGGTTGGAAGTTGCGATGTGAAATTTCCGATACGACTTGAAGGATTAGTTCTTACACACGGTCAGTTCAGTTCTTATGAACCTGAACTTTTTCCTGGACTTATATACAGAATGGTGAAACCAAGAATAGTATTGTTAATATTTGTATCAGGCAAAGTGGTTCTAACAGGTGCTAAAGTACGACAAGAAATTTATGAAGCATTTGATAATATTTACCCTATACTAAAGAGTTTTAAAAAACAATGAACAGTTATTGTGTATGTGACAGTGTTTTTTTTAATATAATCCATAATTTAAGTATATTAATAATGGTTTCATTTTCACCTTCACCAGTATCACCATATAGCACGTAAAGAGAACATGATTTAAATTATTCTTCTGTATTTTTATTGACACTTTTCCTACATTAAAATTATTTTTAACTTCAGCCAACCTTGCTGGCTGATCTTATTTTGATAGTTATTTGTCTCCATACACATCCACTACTAGTACTATGACGATGGTCACCATAGTGGTTTAGCACATTTCGAATGCTTCGAATTGTCACGGATTTGATCTTATACACGATACGCACATTGTATTTTTTTATAATATCTATTTGTCGATTGGTTTTCCTATATATATATATGAAATATCTAGTGCCTATACTACAAGCTTATATTGAGACTAGTTGATTTTCAAGGGCTATTCATTGTAGTTTTTATGATCACATTGAACTAATGTTATTAACGCATGCTGGTGGAACATCAGTGAAGATGGTGATGAGTTCCATTACGACGATGTCTTTAACATAGCTTTTAGAGTGATATTTTTTAGTCCACTAGCCCCCATGACTAACAGCCCTATTATAGTAAAATGTACATGGTATGTAGACAGTACCGGGTATGTCAGCGTAAAGCCTGCCAAATTCCTTTAAGAGTTTAAATTTGGGAGTTTATTAAACTACGCAAATAAGCAGTTCTTACTTCATTCAGACCACTGAAAAGGTTCTATATTCTGTGGTTTAGGCTGTGTTATTTTGTATAAAAAAAAACACAAAATTATAGTGTAATAGTCTATTTATTGTAAGATATCATCACTTAAATATTACGGTATAATTATGTTCTGAACCCTCATTTAAACTCGTCCAAATCTTGGTATAACCGGCAATGTCATTGCTATTTTTCATTCGTCTGCTTTTTGCCACTACTCATCCAGATGCTCTATACAAATAATTGTCTACGCGTATGTTATTCTTATGTATGAACTCGCATAACTTATAATATACATTTTTATGATTAGATTTTAATTAATTGATTATATATCCATATGTGGAATGGGAATAATTGCTATTTCAAGAGATGAAGACTCCTTCAGTACAATATATATGTAGTTTAAATAACACTAAAAAGTCATGAACATCAAGAATAAGACCTTACTTCATAGCATATTTAATATAGTAAAGTTCCAACCAGATATGATCTAAAGTGAGTGTGACAATCTGATACACTGTTGACTCATTCTGTATTGGAATCAAAATTACACAGACTAAGCTATATATGTTATTATTTTAAATACATGGCTAACATCTTGAAAATAACATTACAAACATTTAATCTACAGACAGATATTGAAGACTTTATCAGTATAACCTTTTAACTGCTATCTGTCAAAATGACATTAACGAAGTAGAAGAAGTACTGTAATTGGTCTCACAGATAGGGCTATAGTATTCGAATCCAATAAATGGATCCTTCGCAGAAGAGAGTATAATTAACACACACAAGTGAAGGTGATGATAAATAATTAAGCTACAACTATTATTCATCATCACCTTCATTTGTATCCGTTTGGTTGTTAGGAGAAGAGTCTTGACTGTTATCACGGTTCGGTGACGTGGAGTCGGGAGCGTGGTCGTGGTCGTGGTCGTGGTCGGGGTCGGGGTCGGGGTCGGGGTCGGGGTCGGGATCGGGATCCGGATCCGGATCCGGATCCGGATCGGGATCGGGATCGGGATCGGAATCGGGATCAGGATCGGGAACGGTGGTGGGCGTCCGTGGTCCGGGCCGTGGGTAATCGTTGAATATGTGTATGTGGAGGGGAGGAAGGGGACGTCAGTCGGCTTCGTGCTCGTGCAGCTGAGCAAGCAGGGCGGCGCGCTGCGACTCAAGCTCGGCATCACTCCACGCAGCAGTACCAGCCGACCTACAAACAACCGCATCTAGTTTCATGCACGCATGAAACTAGTTTCATAATGTAAATTAACTTCATAAAACTAGTTTCAATAAGCCACAATGTGCGTAACGTGCTGGAAAGCAGGAACTGTCGTCAGATGTGGCACTCGTTCAAGGCGGACATTCCACGTTGAAATTAGAAGACACCAGTTTCAATATAAATAAACAACTGTTTCAAGTTTGTCATACTAAAGTACATAAATATTACAAAAGATAGATTCTCATGCAAAATTGTCGATTAAATATTTACTGAAATTAATTAAACATTAATAACCATTAACTTTAAAATTAATAATTTCAGAGTTATATGCCTCAATGCTCAATTATGTGCAAAAATGCAGTGCATCTGTACCCGTGTATACAGGTATCAGAGACATCGGCTGATATGTTCCAATATATATAAATGTTTTTGCACAGTAAAACAAACCGAGAAGTTACTTTGATTTGTGATTAATGGCTTCAAATTAGTGGTAATTAAGAGAGACATCTATCTTAATCCTCAATTAAAATTCATCTTTATTAAATTGCTTTATAATACAAATTCTATTTCTGTACCTTTCCTTTTTCTCTTTCTTCTCCTTCTTCTTCTTTGGTTTGTGAGAATGTTCGTGTTCCTGGTCAGGTTCAGGGCTGCTCGGCGCACTGCGTTTCGATTTTTTACTCTTATGGCGCACAGGTTCGTCATCTGATATACCACCTTCTTCTGGTGTCGGAGATTTCTTAGAAAAATAACATTACATTAATATATTATGGAGTGGCATAACCTGTTTAATTCCATGATAATGATACCGGATACTCCGTGCCGGATTACCGTAGTAGCAAGAGCAGCAATTGCTTACGGGCACCGCGCACTCACTGATATCTAATCTAATATTAATATACGAGTAACATCCCAAAGAATTTAAAGAAAGAATTTTTAATCTTTATGTAACTTGTAATATTTTTTAAATTGTACATAGACTATGTATCTACAATTTAAAAAAAGTGAGTTCTATCCTGAGTATTTTTTTTTTTGTATTAATATGTGAGTTTTCATTAAAATGTTTGTCATTTGTGTTATTCTTTCAAGAACCGGGACTAAATCAGGGGCCACCTGAATGAATTCACTACACGCCCCGCGCTATCTTAATCCAAAACTGGATACGCTGCATATTTATGTTAATATATCTCAGGACAATTCACATTAAATCCCAAGGTAACAAGAGTATGTGTTATGGATACTAGACAACTGATATAAATACATAGTTACAAAATATACATAGAAAACACAGAGACGGTTACAAATAATCATGAATACAAATGTCTGTTGCGAGGAATCGAACCCGCGAACATCGGAAGTAAGGTGCTATTTCCAAAAAGCTTATAATGTTTATTATGTAATGTATGTATGAGTATATGTATGTATGAATATGCTTACTGGAACTGGTGAATGTTTGCGGTGTTTCTTTTTAGATTTTCTATGCTTGCGTCCTTCCTCTGAGGACCAAGTGGCGTGGCTGGGCGCCGGCGACGGAGACTGCACCACCGGCGATGGAGACGGTGATCGCGACTTTGACTGAAGGACATTAATGGATTATTTTATTAATTTTCCATTTTATTTTATTAACATCCACTGCAAATGAGTTACAAAACGCTTTACCATTGCTGTATAATAGGTTACATTCCATAAAGACATTTTTGGTCAATATCAAAATTATTATTAATAGATTATGTTATTTAATAATACAATTCTATAATGCATTTAGCATTATAGAAGTATTTTTACATAATGTACCAAAAAATATTCAGTATTGCTAATTATTATTATCAAAGGGTAAGTAAACTAAAATAAGGATAATAATTCTATATATACGCGGAAGTTCTTAACTTTACTCAAAAACACCTAAATCATATTTTAGATTAACACAGGATACTTCTTACCCTAATTCATGTGGGAACAACTAATAACTCCATAACTTACCAATGAAGTCGAAAAGGTCTGTGAACGCTTCTTCTTCTTTGATCTCTTGGACTTGCGCGATTTCGGATGATGATAGTGCATGCAGCTTTCCTCTTGTTCATGTTGGTAATCCTAATAAAAAAATTTATGAACATAACAGATGTACAAATAATTCTATATTCTAATAATCAGATATTTTTAAACACTGTTTACAAAAAATATTTTGTGAAGTTTCTAATTAATTTATACTATTTATTGCACCAGATATAGGAAAAAAAATACATAATCTGATAAAAAAGGCAGTCTTGTTGCTCAGTAATAAAAAAACGCAGTTTAACTAGTCTAACCAGTTTCTTCAAGACTACTTTTGGGTAGAAAAAGTAATGATAAGCATCAGAAATAATTTGAGTATTTTATTTTGATGCAATTAGCATCAAAATAAAATACTCAAATTGTTTCTAATGAATCTATAACTATTATAAACATTCTCTATTGTATTGTCTAAAGGAAACTAAATATTTTCTTCACGCACGCACTTCACCGTACGAGTCAATATTATGGTCTATTGAAATAAATAATGCTATTGTTATACAATCACTTCAGCATCTAGATATGTCCTTAATATTTCGAGATGCTATATTACCTTGTATATCCTAATCTGATCTTCCTCTTTTGGCACGGCCATAAACTCAGCCGCCGTCAGATCCAATTTCTCCTTGACCTCGTCCCATGAAAGTTGGTGGTCAATGTTGGCATCGCTGAGTGCCCATTTGAAAGCGCTCTCAATTTTTTTCTGCGCCTTTGATTCTTCTTTAATTTTCTCTTTATTCCTTGCTTCCGCCTATTTTGAAATAAATAAAAAAATTAAAATATTAACCAGATTATAATATGTCTTAGTATTTGACTGTTATCGAATATTAAACCCAATTATTATATTTAGTTCATTTCTTCACAAACCTATTTTGATGAAATATCCTATCCTTAGCATGTAATTTCCTAAAATATTATAATTTAGAAACTAATGTGATAAGAACCTTTTCTAAAAGTGAGTTGTATGTAAGCTTGACGTTGCCAGCATCGAGAGATGCAGACTTGCTGTCTTCACACACAACCGTCGCAAATTCTTCAAATGTCGTATCTGGTTTCACTTCAAATTCTTTCTCTTTCAATATCTCCTTAATCACTTTCTTTTCGTCATGGAAACGGGCCTTCAAATTTTCAACATAGAACTTGAATAGATCTAACGGTGTAGAGCCACTTTGACCTGTAAATACAAATATTCATTCTACTATTGCACCATTCGCTAAAAAAACTGACTATGTTGGTAAGTCATCATATTACAAAAGGCAGATAAATTTCGATAGACACAACCAAGCATGAACTAAAGACATAATAATACTAATTAAACAAAGAACTTTGCAATCCTCTAGCTAGAATCTGTCTCAGTATGGATTGGCAATTACTTCTAAACTAAAAATTTCATTGGATCCACATTATTTTCATATTTCATACCATGCAAATGCCTGAATTAATTTGTTACTAACTACATTAATAATAACCATTATGGGCATTACAAATCATACCGTATTATAATTGAGTGACCTGCAATTTGTAGCACCATAATGTAATAAAAAATATTGATTTTAGATACAACGATGAAATTTTGGTAGCTAATATTACCCACAAGAATCCTACTCTAAATACGTACCAAGCATGGCAGAGAATCGAATGTCTGCAGATATAACTGGATATAATTCTACCCATAATGACATCGACGTAAGTTTCCCTTCTTCATGGAGGCTATCAAGTAGAGCCTGTAAAGTGTAACATGATACAGAAGGTCATTGGCAATTTGAAATAAATATAAATAACCTTGAACAATTAACACAGCGCCATTTAGTTCCACGGTAAACAGAGCTAGTGTTATAGGTACTAGACAATTGAAAAAAATACATAGATATTTTTTTAAATACTTAATGTACAATGTAGAACACACACCCAGACCGATACAAACAATCATTCTCATGAATACGCATGTATGCACCGTACGAGGAATCGAACCCGCAACCATTGAAAGTAAAGTGGTGCGTTAAGCCGATAGACCACCGAGGCCGTCGAAAAAATAAAAATTACAAGTCAGTAAAATAACCGTATTTTCTTACCATGTATCTGTAATTTAATATATTATTGTAATACATATAATAACTAAATAGAACTATAATGGTATTTGTGAACATAATTAATTACAACAGGTATGAAAAATTATTTATATAATGTGATGTCTTACCAAGAAATTATCTCTATTCTTTCTTTGTTGTCGCTTATTGCGTTTTTTTAACTGTTCTTTCTCTTGTAGATATTCTGCTTCTAGATTCCTAATATGCTGTTCAAATACTGAAAATGACACAGATGTCAGTTAAGTAATTAAATATAATTAATCATACACTGAATAAATTTATAATTATTATTTTACTTAATAAATTTATTACCTATTAATGCGTCTTCTTTATCCATTCCCAATAAACTGACATCATTTTTGAAGGCAGAATTTTCTAGTAAAAGGACTTGGGCCTCACTCCAAGTGCTGCTATAAACGATTTCATTCATATTCTCCAATACCTTAAAAACATTAAATATTTATTTAATAAATTATACATTATAGCAATATTGTTTCCTTGATGTTGATTAAGAAGACAAATTAGTTTCAATATGGAATCTATTACTTGGGAGGTAGACAGAGAACAAGTGTCATGATAAACTTATATCCTTATAGCACAGTTATTGCTTCTTACTCTTTCAAATCTCGCCCAATGCATACTGATAGTTTCCGAAACTACTTTTTCATCAGACACGAATTACCTCATATATGTCAGTCTAGGCATCGTCCGTCATAAATAATGTATCAGAAACTATATGCTGTAAGTTTTAGTCTGTATTTCTCTATTTACGGTAAATAAATATATCTTTAACATTATTGAAATAGATATAAAAGTGGTGGTAATTTAACCCAAAGGAATCTGCAGGTTGGCCCCTAAACTAATTGAATACATTATATAATTTGTGTACACATTGTAAAACAAAAATACTACTAACTAAAACTACTTGTAACTAATATCTTACTTGAGTTAACATTTTCATATTCCGCTTTTTCAAAGCTTTTGCTTCTTCCTTCTCCCGTTTAGTAATAGCAAATATACTGTCTTCGAATATATCTCTTCGGTCAGACTCCGGCACACATCGCCAAATCTAATAACAAAACGACATTATATAAAATTTAATCATAAATATTAAAATGGAAAAATACCTCATGTTGCAATATATACAGAACAAAAGCAAAAGTTGCCATATAAAACAAAGTCGAGCTCTGTCTATTATTATTAACTTGCCAATTCAACAATTGGATAATATTTTTGTTCCATTGAAAGAGTTGAATTGCTTTGAGAAACAGCTGGAGGCATTTCCTTACCTCAAGATTACCGAACATCTCCTCACACTTGTAATATTTAGTAATAGAGCTCACTCTATCACAAGTCAACAAAAATTCTTCCAAGTTTTCACGATTTTTTTTGGTCTTTAATCTGCGTAGAGACAGGTATATTATTAATATGATTAAATGTTATTTTACGCATCATAGAGTTAATTAAATTAAATAAAAATGCGCACTAAACTATGTTAGAATTGGAATAAGCTTGTAAAGATCTCCATATATATTTACGTATTTTTGCCACTAACCAGAAATGTCGAGAGACAGGGTGAGATATACCAGAGTAATTACCAGATATGGAATATGTTGGTTAATAAGAGCGTCTGAATTTATTTTGGTAGTAGGTATACACCTAACTAAGTACCTCTAAATACTTACCTTTGTTCCTCCCTTTCATCTTTTAATTTTTGAGTTTTATAGGCATTAAATGCTTGCTTCTTTTCATTAAGTTTCTTGAAAGTCATATATCGGGGATCCTTTGATATAATCTTAACACACTGCTCCCAAGTAGCATTTGATGGTACATTCTAGAAATTATTGAGACCTTATTAAATGCAAAATATATTTTATTTACTTTAGATTATGCTTAGGCTAGAAGTTAGGTTATTTAATTTGTGTTTTTAAAATTTCTTCCTCATTTGTCATACAAATTAGTCAGAAAAAATTGTTTTGTCATTTCAACAGTTTCTTTAAAAACAAAAATAATGTGTCGTCATATTTAAATTTTACTTACTTTATCTTTCAACAGCTCCTTGAAAGCCTCTATAGCTTCTTTCTTATCCTTATATTGTGTTTCAGGTGGTTTTTCAACGTCATCCACAATAGTGCCTTGTAACGGCGCTGTTATTTCTTCAGGTTTAACTATACATGAAATTCACAAATATAATTTATATACAGATAATGTTGTTTTTAGTTACCAATCATACGCAATTACACTTTAATAAATATGAACAATACATAATTCCACATAATATAAACAAGTTCATTGATTTGCACATTTACATTACATCTCAATTTATAGTTGCAATATTATTTTATTCAAGAACCTTAGCCACAACAACGCGTGGCTGTTCATATAATAGATATTTTCAATTTAAATTGTAATAAAAGTATTGTAATATATTAAGTAGGGTTTATGCTTTTTAATATATAAATATAAATAGCTTACTGTCTTCTGGAATTGGTATTGAAGTTGCTAATGAAGGATCAATAGCTGCTAATGTTTTCGCCATGGCCTCATCTAAAGCAGAACTGCCCCCAGACATGGGCACAGCTGGTGATCCCGGTAGTGGGACCTCACCCGGCGGAATATCGCCATTTAACGCTGCTCTGTAATTATTATTAGACCTGTATAAGTTTTGTATGATTATCCTAAATCACCATGATCAAAATTAAAATAAAATTATAAAAATAAAAATAGTAGTCAATAATAATACAATGTATACTAATAGTATAAAACTGAAGAGCTAGTTTGTTTAGTCATAGACACTAACCACAAGAAGTACTGCTTCAAAATGAAAAAAAAAAAAATTTGATAGCTCTTTTTATTATTGTGGAAGGCTTTAGCTATAGGCTATGCAAAATCATGTTGAGAATACAAGCACAGCCTTAACAAATAATAACACAATAACAAAAAATATATGAAGCATACAAAGTTCCAACTGATCAACTAGTGATTTAAGCCTAATGAATCTTTATTATTTCTATTTAAGGTATTTACAAAGATTATTATTACGCTAGATACTCACTGTGCAGTCTCCTCAGCAGATATTTTATCTTTTATTTCTTGAAGTTCTTTAGGAATCACCCAACTGGATTCCTTTGTTTCTATATTGTGATAATAGACTCTTCCAGCATCCGTTGTATACTCTTTCCATACACATGATGATAAAAGTTTCTACAATTTTAAAATAGATATATTATTATTAGAGATAAATAATGAAAAAACATATTGTGATATGATACTATAGAGTTCCATTATTTTCTGTTCCATTTATATTGAAAGTTGTCTTTACAGTCTTCACACACACAACTTACTTTTAACAAGTTATTTAGGTCCACAATCAAATTATTGTAAAAAATTATAAACAAAAAATAAGTCTTCATTTTTATAAAGTTTTGTAAACCTTTAGAAAACACAACAGCTCTGTTAGTAACAAGCTTTGCAGTCCAGATCTTGGATACATAGAGTATAGTGACATCCATTAAATCGTGTTATAAAAAATATATATTACTAACTTCAGCCGGTGTTTTCAAATCATCTGGTTTTTCCCACAGACTCTGCTTAGTAACAGAATTGTAATAATATGTTCGTCCATCAGGGGCCTTGTGCTCCGACCAAGGACTGGTCTGGTTGGCCATTGGGGCTATTTCTGGGGCTGGAGCACTTAAATCCTAAAAAATATTATGTATTTGTGAAGTGAATGAAGTGAAAATTTCAAATGAATGTGTATAAAATTAATAATTAAATTCTGTTAAATATGCAACAAATGTAATGTATAATAATTTATCCCTACAATACTAATTGTTAACTATCTAACTACTAATTAAAAACTTAAAGAGAAAATTATAAAATTATGATGCATGATGAATAAATGTTGGTGATGGAATATGAACTGGTTTTTGGTAACAAGGTTTTGAAACTAAAAAAATGTGTTTTGAAATCATTGCTGTTGGCAGCATGAAAGTACCATGTCTATAAACTCTACATGTTACATAAAAACTAACTGTTACATATAAAAACCTCACAATTTTAACAGCAAGTGTGCTATAATTTATTGTGGTCATATTTCAGTCAGTTGAGAACATTTGAATCTGTGGCATTCTAAGAACTGACTCTATGCCACTTAAAAAAATAATCTGACTGAAATTTATAACTGTGTTGTGTCTTGAATTCACCTGTGTGAAATTTATAGCCTATGTCTTATTATACATCAGAATAGCTACATCATTATAAAATTTCATTAAAATGCAATCAGTAGTTTTTGTGTGAAAGAGTAACAAACATCCATCTATCCATTCATCCATCCACACATACAAACTTTCGCATTAGTATAATATTAGTATATACAGTAGAAAAATAACATACAGGTTTAAAACTTGGAAATCCTGGTGGAGGCATTGAAAAAGGTGGTATCATTGGAGGGTATCCCATCGGTGGTGGTATTCCTGACATGTTGGGTGGCAATCCTGGTACTGGAGGCATAGCAACTGATGGCATATTTGGAGGCAAACCACTCAACATAGGTGGTGGCAGTAAGGGAGCTGTATTCATCAGGCCAGGGGAACCAGTCCCCGTTGTGGGTGGCTCCTGCAACACCATAAATTTTAAGATAAATAATATAGAACATGTCCAATATATTTTTTTTATATTGAATATATCATTTTAAACATGATCATTACATTTTAAACTTTTTGTTAATAGCACATTTTTATAATGTGATATTAACAAAAGGTTAATATCACTTTTACAATTATTTGTGATATCTTCAATGTTTGTGTTTCCTTTGTTTTAGATTCTCAACAAACTCAGATTAAAACTAATATTATTAGAAATTTATGGGGCCATAATTAGAAACAAAAATCATATGTATAAATGAGATATGTAACATATAATATTATTAAAGAGCATGTGATACTTAAACACAGTTACAAGCATCTCGGATCACTGGAAACATTGGATATAAACAATTATTACGAGCAGATAAATCTATCTATCACCATTACTACTGAAAAACACTTGATTGTCATAAAAAAACACATTTATTGTAGTACTCAGACTTTATGTCCATAAAACTTTACACTTATTTTTGGAAAACTAGAAATAGGGAATATGGTTTCAAGTATGTGGAATCCAGTGTACAGATAGATATGCTTCAAAATCTCGTAAATATACAATGTGTGTGTTTTGTTGTAACTATCAAGTCTTTTTTAGTGGTGCACATAGACAAACACAAAGAAAGTGAGTGGATAGTCTTTGTCTGCTTATAATAATTATATATTTGTCTGCTCATAATAATTGTTTACATCCACCGACATCTCCAGTTGACCGTTGTTTCTAAAGGCGACAAAAAATCTAGAGTTCTTTAATAATATTATGGTAGTATATATCCCATTTATATACTTAATATGTACGAATACGATTTATTCAATGCTTAAATACTACTGCTAATATAACTATTTGAATTTGAGTATTGCAAGAATCATAAAGAATTTACATTCAGTTGACCCATCGATGAAAATGTATTAGATCGATAATACTGCGACCTGTGCTTAAGACGCCTATTACCCTACACGGGTTACACAAAGAAACTACTATTTAGTTCCTGTGTAGCGGTATTATTACAGAAATTTGTTTTAGCCAAATTTGAAAGTTAACAATAATATTAATGGAAGAATTCCTACAATAACTAATGTTCATATTGAAATCGATTCACATGAATCCATGTGTTGAATTTATCATAATAATATATGTAATATAGCAATAAACACTTACCATATTATTGTATCTCAACTAAATACATGTGATATTTAAAGCAATATCTTGTATAAATTATATTTATTTCAGAAATAAGTAAAAATCAGAATATATTTAACAGTTTATTCATTCACGTTAGGTAAGCTAACATAATACTTAGATGACACCACAGATCTATTTAACTGCAGTATTTGCTGCAATTGGTGCTATAAATGTCATACATGACGCCGAAAAGATAAAAACGGCACCAATTAAAGCAATAGAAACAAAATTAAAATAACTCATGACAAACTTTGATATTTTAAACTGTCATTTGTTTATGCATTATTTTCCAGCTTATTGGTAACTCCGTAAGTAAGAATGAAATAAATATATTTACTTCGCGCTATTCTGAGCAACACTGACTGAAAATCTGAGCCTATCAGTATCATCTGTGCTGACTGACAAAACATGACAGGACGCTAACCGGCTCATCTACAATAATTTGCATGTCTGTTACCATACCTAAATTAATTTAAACATAAAACAGTTTTTCGGTTTTCTGTTTTTCAGTTTGTTCTGACACATAACGTCATTACCTCATAGAGTGCTATTAAATCATCGTATATATTACGAAATATATCCATCTACCTTATTTTCCAAACTTGTATTCGCTAGTTCGTTAGAAACGCTTGCTTTATTAATAATAATAGTGCAAGAAACTGAAGTAAACAGTAAATAGTGTCAAACGGCCGTGACCAAATAGAATGAATATTGCTAATTAAAATTCATTAACACGCGTATATACTTCCATATAATAAAGGGAACTTTCTTTACTCCTACTATTTACATTGAAATTAATTTCATAGCATCACGATGTCGAGCACATCCCAAAAACATAGAAACTTCGTTGCAGAACCGATGGGTGAAAAACCTGTAACAGATTTAGCTGGTGTTGGTGAGGTTCTGGGCAAAAGATTAGAAACTGCAGGTTTCGATAAGGTTAGAGTTAGACAGAATGTCTTTAAATATATCACTGAGATTATTTTTTAATATTTCAAAATAATCGAATGGTCATATATTTGTGTATGTAATAGAAATAGAATAATTATATTTATGTTATAAAAATAGAATAATCAAAGTTGGAAAAAAATTAATATCTTATTTTAATTTCAGGCATATGTTGTCCTTGGTCAATTTTTGGTCCTGAAGAAAGATAAAGAGTTATTTCAAGAATGGATGAAGGAAACATGCAGCGCAAACTCCAAACAGTCTGCGGATTGTTATCAATGTTTGAAGGATTGGTGTGATGAATTTCTATAAATCTCAATTTAAGTATAATGAAAATGGTTTTATAGTAATATTTTTATAAACTGTAAATATGAAACCATACAATTTTATAGGTAGTTTGGTTAGAATAAGTGATGTTTTCAGAACATTATCATATACTTACACATTGCAATAGAGAACATGTTGAATAACAATTCAATATAGGTTGTTAATAATCAAGTCTAATATTAGTCTTAATTTCATGTTAAGAACTAACATAAAATCTATTATGTGTATTGACAGTTTTTAACTTTGGAACTACATATAACATTCTAAGGTACCCCAGTTTTATACAATTGTACCATAAGTAAGAACATAATACTAAAATTTCATCAAAATCTTACATGTACAAATTGGAAACTGTCTGTAAAGATTTATTGGACATCATGGGTCTCTAAATGATAAAAGACCATAGATTTTGTATATCAATATGCATTTGTGTACCACAGTATGACAATAATGAAATATAATATTAACTATTTAAAAATATATGGATGTCTAAATATTTAATAGCATTTGGTCACCAACACTATCTATGCATCCTTCTTATCTTAAAAATCATATACCATTTTCTCAAGACTGTTTTTAAAATCTGCTTCATATTTATTAATGATATTAATAATTGTGAACACAGTATCATAAATAATCTCTAATTATGATTAAGTTTGTATAGTCAACATATATTTAATTATCTAGTGGCTATTATAAAATTGTTTGTATAATGAAAGGTTGATATTCATTGATATGATCAAGCATTATCATTTCTATAATACAGTGTTTCTTGAAATACAAGGACTTACTAGAATGATCAACCACAATCTGATATCATTGATTATATTGATGTCTCCACCACCATAATTTTAAATTCATGGTGAATTTGCTATAATGAGCTTTGACAGATCTGACCACAGGCTCATCTTATTATCCACTAGAATAAAGCGTTATTGCAGGCAGGGGGATTTTCATCCAAATATATATATATTTTATATGAATTCAATATTCCCTATGCCAACCACCCATTTTCACTTCCGTATCATTGTCTTCTGAAAATGTCTGTATAAGATTGCATAGCATTAAAAATAGTTTCTACCATCTAACTTTAATACTTACAATTTTTTTATATATTTGACAATAAATAATAATGTAACAAGGTATATATTTTTATTGCACTAAATTGCGTGCAATTATGAAGTTTGAAATGGTATTACTGTAATGTAGAAAATATACCACAATTTAAGTAACTTTAATTCAGTAACTGATGCTAAAATCGAAACTAGTAACAATTTTGTTAATTTTTAATCTGTTACTGATAAGATTTCATAGTAAACCTTTTGATCTGGCTTTGGGTTATTTTGGGCCGCGTAACTAAAGAATGAACGATCCCATTCAGGTTGTCTGTCACCCTCTGTATAACAAGTAATATTTGTATATCCCATACTCATTTTGCTATATTATATGCACTGGAAGCAAAAATGTAACTCAAAACGAAAAAAACTATTACATAAGTTTGTTTTTCTTATTCTACTGGAGTGATATGATATAATAATGGAAAATAAAATCAAAAAAGGTCAAAACTAACCTGAGATTTCCCACAAAATGATTTTTATGGGAATTTTCAGGTGTTCAGTTGGCCTAATTCACGCCTTTAGTTTCTTAAAATATAGAAAAACCTATTAATATTGTTGAAGTACCATAATATTATTGCATCTATGTGTACGAACTGTGATGTGTAGCGAATCTGTATCTTGTGTCATGTCTAATTTTAAGATTTTTGTATGTTGGATACTAATTTCAATTATTACATAAACAATAATAAAATGTGAACTACCTAAAATAATAAAAATGAGACTGTTCTTTAAAATCTCTTCAGCAATTAATGCATTATAATTATTTTTGTACTTACAATTTGTAATGGAAAATAATATACCTTTAGTATATTTTTTATCTCAACTTTATTTTACTTTTGTTTTAATTGACTTTCCGGTGATAGAAACACTGATAACAATCTAAATTAATCATATTCACCCCCCATATCTGAACTATACTCTCCGTCCCTCTACTGTTAAAAATAATCATTATTTTTAACTATTCTAATGCTGTCCATAGATTCTGTGAAGTGATGTTAATTGGTATGTAGGGCTTCATGCTTGAATCCCTATTATAAATTGACAGTCCTTTGTTTTTATTAGAATTAGAACTGTATTTTAGGTAAACTGTATTGACTGTTGGTGGTGGCCACCTTGAATTCGTAATAGTAGTACCTCCGCATAATTTTATTGTTATTAAAAAAGATTGTTTGTACCAATATATTAAATCATTAATAATAATGGAATGGAATCAGTCATTATTAATAATGGAAAATAAATTCCAATCACTAGATTTGAGCCACAGATGACACAAACAAGGCAAGCTATAATAAACAGTTCATAAATCATTCCATACTGTGAGCTCTTAAGAACAGAACTATGTACATGTAATAAAGTCTCAACGATTTTGCAAGCAGAATTAGTTTCAATGTGCAATGGGTTGTATAAATATCCAGACTTATATAGGTATCATGCAATGCAAACCCCACTATATAATGTGGCATAACACTACAACACACAACAGTATATAGGTTTATTATTGCTTAAAATCTCAGTTTCGCCAACTTGAAGTGACATAGACTATTTAAATAAAAGACTTTAATGCTCTATTATACATATATACATATCTTATATACAGAGTTTTTGAGATTAAACGTACATTTAATCTCAATAGATATAGTTAAACAATATATATACTCAAAATAATGATTAATGAGGTTCGAAATGTTCATATTTCAGGCAATGGTCTCTTCCATCATTATCCATAAAAACCGCTACAGAACTCATTAGCTCTGCTAAACCATTTTTTTTTTAAGTAAATGTCACCATTTGTAGTGATAGTAGTATACTATATGCCATATAATAATATTGTTGCCTGCATCATCTAATAATAAATTAATGATTTCACCATAAATTTTAATTGTATCTGTTGTGCTTTCCTTAGTATAAAGAGACAGTTTATTAGTTATGGATGTTTATTATTCTGAAATGTGAACATTTCATTCAAAACCATTATATAGCTAACTATAATTATTTATTATCCATTCCATGGTACTAAAGTATAGATGACAACACATCTTTGCTGTTTATAACTTTTAAATTTAAATGTCATTTGAGTTAAATTTGTAGGAATGTCCCTTTCCTATACCAGGATCAGTATATTTTTTAAAAAAGATTAAGCCATAACCACAACAAAGAATATGAAGAAGAATATCAAGACCCCAAATACTTTAAACATGAGTGCCCTATTGCCAGTAATGTTTTGAAAATACTTCATTATTTCTCTATGTCCTGCTTCTACATTCATCTCAGCATCCTGTATGTTGGCATCTATTCTACCTATAGCTTCATCTTGTTCTTTGACCATATGTGCTAGTTGCTGGAATATTCCTCCAAGTTCGACAATAGTGCTTTCTATGTTATGCATAGTTTCAGCTCGTTGTTGCACATAAGTATCAGAGTCATCTCTCATCGCAAATTTCTGCACCTGTAGACTGGAACTTTCTCCGAAGTCTATGCTTACATCATCCTGTTGAAGGAGAGATGGTACTTCTGTGACCAATGGAGCTACCCTTGAAAACTGCTCCCGTCTAGTATTTTGATGCTTTAGGTTTTCTGACCTTACTTCAAGAACCTGGTAAAGAAATAATATTGTATATTTTATGACAAAAAAAATATTAATAAAAAGCTCAAAGTGCAATAAAATATATTTTTTCACTGTATTATAAAACATAGCAAAAGACTATTGTTTGAAATGATGTAGTTCAGTGTCATGAGTCAGTCATGCTCACTTACATGTTCAGACAGTGTGGTGGTATGAAGTCTACTACCAACAGGGTCATTTGGCTCACCTTTTACTCACCATTATACTTTTGAATGGGTACTGCAGGTATGGACTGGTCTGCTCTGATAATTATGAAGATTAGTCATAATCATCACAATTTTGTTATTCAAGTAGCTATTAAATTTATTTACACTTTATCTTGCTTTGCTCTATTTGAAATTTGTATTGAGTCAAAATCTTATATATACATATAATGTTTATTTAATAGAGTGTAACAAATTTCTTGTGATGAGACTGCTTTTCGAATGAGGGAGAAGTTTATTTGAATAAAGATTATTTCTATGAAAATATGTTATAAAGGATTGTGTTTCATGTGTCAGGACTACATGTGACTGACATGAAGGAGTCTTCTGAAATTAGTGTTATTTGTGAAGTTCATACAAATAGGAGTCAAGCTATAAATATTTATATGACCTAGCACAGAGATAAATAAACATAATATGTGTATTGTATATACCTGTTTAAATTGGTTACTCATAGAAGCAAGCCTAGATTGGAGTGCAACAACAACACTTGAAGAATGGCTGTGCATGCTTCGGCGTCCTCTTGGCATTTCTCCCAGTCTTGCAATTTGCTGATTTAAAGAGCTTAGATCTCCTTTGATTATGTATGTTAATTCTTGTATTTCAGTTGGTCGATCATCAAATAAAGATTTCTTTTTAGCCACTAAAAATATATGATTAGATTTATTATATCATATAAAATGGGGTAGAAAAAGTGTATTTGTAGAGAACTTTAAAAAAATACTTTGAAATAGAATGTCTTTCAATATGGAAATAGACAAATTTTACATGTAGAGTAACTAAGTGACTTTCTAGACCAGTTACATATGCTAAGAATTTTTGTATTTAAAAGATTTCCCCCTTACTTTCATAACTCCTGGGTGAATAATAATAATTATGGGTAACATTTTGTCAATTTCAAAATTCTATCTGCCTAAATAACTTAAGCACAAGTTATTCCCAAAACAATCTGCTCATACTTTTGGTCAATATATGTCTAAAATAATCCATCCATATATAATACTTACACATGGCAAGCTTTTCCAGTTTGGCATATGTACTTGAAATATTTTTACTTATGACTTTCGCCATGCTCATAAATTGGGAATATGTTTCAAGGACTGCAGCTTTTCTTTCATCTCTCACTACCGGTCTGGCAAGTGTCCGCCCCTGAAGACTACGGACAGTCGTTACAAATTCATTAGTTCTATCTCTTGCTGCCATTACTGTTTCAAACACAAAATCCTTAAGAATCTCAAATGTAAATTCGTCTTCCGATAATAGGTTTTGTTGTTTCCTGGAAAATTCGTTTTCGTTTTGATTATATGTTTTATAAAAGGGTGCTCCTTTTTTGTCCAATTTATCGTATGTATCCAATTCGTTATTCAGTAAAGCTGTACTGTCTGTTACACTCCCTCCTGCAATGTTGCGACGACGAGGTAGCATTTCATTATAATAAAATATTTCAGTAGTAACTAATAATGTAATATCTAAACAGAATAATAACAGTTAAATATGCGTCACTAGGTTCGTAAAAAAAAGTATGTAAATTAAACAATTATGGAATTATTAAGTAGTAAAGTGTTGAGTCAGAACTTTTGCAACAGCAAAGAACAGAGACTGACAGTGACAGACTGTGACGTACATGGTCGACGTCATACTGTCACATTGACAAGAAATCGTCATTTAAAAAAATTAGAAAAGACGATACACGGCGAAGTGGAATCTATCTACTTCTTCTGAATATTAATTTACGATCTTATGATACGTGACCGTCAATAGTTTATGGAACTGTATAATTATTCGTAGATGGCAACACAAATCGCCGTATCGCCGCGCCGCGCCGCCGGAGCCAAAAGAAGAGGAAAAAAAATATTCGTAGATTTAATTTCATGTATTAAGGGATGCAATTATCGACGTTAGTGGGGAAGTATCGATGAATAGTTATGATTTCTGTCAATATGACAACTGACAACTGATAAGTAATGACAGGTCTGATGAAAAGTTGCTAAACTGAAACTTGTCTGAAAATCAAACTGAACCTGCTATATAAAAATACCTGTAATCGATACCTAATTATTTACTAATTAATTAAAATTATGTTGACAATGAGATGAGACGGAAAAATGATTTCTTATGTTGCAAAAGTGATAAACTTGATTGCCATAACAATACAAAAAGTATTTCTCATTGCTTCATTTACAGGAAAAGTTATTGTAGCCGTTGGTACGACCATCTCCTCGCTGCTAGTTGAAGTTATCAGTAATATATACTTATTTATTCAAATCACTTATGAAGACAATGTTTCGATTTTTACTGAAGACATACCCAATTTTGTGGATAATGTTATTTACACATTTGGTGATCAAGTGACATATATTCAGAGAGCGTTGGTGTTTATTTTGGAAACATTTAGTCACAGATTTAATTTAATCGTTGATACTGTTAAGAGTTCAGTTATAGCAGTGTTTGTTGTTGTTGGTGAAATAATATTTTTGTTAAAGAATGGAATAATATTATTAGGTGACACTTTATGGCTTATTATAACATTTATACCAGTGCACCTTCCACAGCTGCTCAAGGCAGGGTTCATGAGCCTGAATGACATTATAGTGGGCTATGTTGTTGATGCATACATGAGCTTGTTGAAGATTACAAATTTCCTGACAGATGTGCCTTTGGAATCTTTTATAGGAATTATTAGTGCTATCATCATTGTCCGCTTATCCATTCATTTTAGAGAAACAATCCAAATTGAAATTACAGAGTTCTATTGGTCTTTTATAAGAAAATTCATGTATATATATTATACACTTTACAACTACTTTACTGACCCAGAAGTAAGAGTAATAACACACATGGCAAGTGGTCAAGATGTTACTTCAAGGGAAGCCAGTTTTAGTGAAAATGATGTGGATGATGCTAATAACCCTGCAGAAGCCCTCTGTGTTATATGCCAGGAAAGGCAAAAATGTGTCTTAACATTGCCATGCCGTCATGTGTGTTTGTGCACAGAATGCTGCAGACGCTTATATGGTTATCAACGTACTTGTCCAGTTTGCCGGACATTTATTTATCACTCTGTGAATGTATATTTGTGACGGACTGTATTAATATTATGCGATTGAACATATTACATTCCTGTTAATGAAAGAATGGAGTGTTATTGAACATTGAAATTAGCAATAAACAAAACAATCAAAATATAATCATTCTCATATTGGTACTTTTCACTCATTGAAAAAAAAAACAACATGTACAATAATATTATTATGTTAGTTTTCATAATTACAATTTCAGATCTAAATATACTTTGACATATTTAACATGTTACATCTGAATACACCACTGATGACTTCCAGATTATACTTCTTGGGAGCTTAGAATAACATATTCTCTTTATTTTTCACCAGATCTGAGCCACTTATTACCTCTCAAGAGACAATAAGTTTAGTAGTTTCATGATCACTGTAATTTTTATTTTTTTTTAAGTATGTACAGAGGTTTATAAGCATAAAATGTGATTAATATATGAATATACTAGTCTATATTCAAATAAAATTAATATATAACATATTTTAGTTGGCTGTTTAAATTCAGTTTAGTTTATTTTTTAGTAATGATATAGGACTAACATTTTAACCTCATTATTTAAAATTATTTATTTCTGTAATGGTAACTCACTCGTATACCAATACATAATAAAGTATAAAGTTGTTATGATAAAATCAGTAAGATACCAACTAGTTTAATGGGTAAAAATAATATCACATGGAAGAACTGAAGCAACATCTAACAACTACGCAAAGATAATTATGCAGTTTAGTTTAAATTTATAGTTTTTTATTAATATATTAACAACTACATATTTAGTTGATGGACATAAATTACCAAAATGTATGTTGCTCCACACTAATAAGGTGCAGAAAAGGCATTCTGATAAGTGTTCATTGTTTAAATATTATTACATTGCTTGATTTGTTATGTTAATTATTACTTAAAACCACTGGTACTAAACTAAAACTACATTCACAACTACCTTATTAATGAGAATCTATTTCTAAATTTTACCAATATGAGTATTTCTGTTCCTAACATTAAAATTTAAATCCTTAAATGATATTTGTACATCTTTAAAAATATTCAACATGAAAACAGCTGTTATAACCACTAAAAAGCCACAAAAACAACCTAAAATATCTGCACCTGTCATATGTTCCCATTCTCTGAAAAGGATACCAGATGCTATAATGACTAATACTGTAAACATAACATAGTAAACTGGAGTTACAATGCTTGTATTAAATATATCTAGTGATTTGTTCAAATAATTCATTTGTATCATAATACATATCACAGCAGTGATGAAGAGTAACCAAAAGAAATGATTAAAAACACTGTTCACATTAGTAGTAATACTTTCTTTTATGGCCAATGCAACTGCTTTACAGAACACAACAGTCAGGCTGCCTGTAGTAGAACACATAAACAAATATATGGATATATTTGTGTTGCCAAACCTTGGAACAAAAACTATTTTGATGATAAAAGTTATGACAAATATTGTAGCTACATATGAAATAAATACAAAATCACTTAATTTATCCAGTAATTCTGAAAATGTTTGGATTTCTTCTGATTTTGGTGAATGTATAACAAAAATTATTGAGCCGATAATGCATAGAAAACATCCAATCTGAAAAAGAGCAATACTTAATATTCTTTTATACATATTATAAAAAAAAACAACAAAGAAATTGAAGTAAAAAAGATACCTTTCCAACAAAATTAAGCTTTTCATCTAAGAACCTTGAGGAAAGTACTGCTGCTACAAGTACACTAAGTGCGCCTAAAGGTGTTACCAATGCCGCAGGGGCGAAGGCATATGCCAAGAGGTTAGCACCTTCTCCAACTCCCACTGAAAGATAAATACCCTTCAATGAACCTTGTAAAGCACTTCCATCATATATACAAGTATAAACAGTAACTTACTTGTCACCAAACCTAACCACCACATCCATTGCTTAAGATATGTAAAACCTCCGGCTGAAGCTCGAAGGTTTCCAGAAGCAGAGTTTCTTTTCAATGCAAATTTTTTTATAATAAAACTGGACCCTATAAATATACTGGACGAAATAGAAAGACATAGGCCTATTAAAAATGAATTGGTATCATAGTTTTGTCCTTCGACTAATGAAGAGGAAGACTTCATACTGTTATCAGTTTATCTCATATCCTATTCCATGTCCATGACACAGAGTCTCATTGTTTACAAAAAATTTTTATTCTTAAATCGAGTTTCTGTAGATAAAATTTATAGAACCAAGGGGCCCATTTAAGTAATGGATTTAGATATTACTAATAAACAAATACAATAACATGTAAACAATATAGGTTCATATTTTTTATGTGATTAAAAATATAAAAATAATTTTAAAAAATGAGACACGAACAGTGTTGTCACATGAAATGTCCGTCACCCAAATTGATATTAATGAGTAGGGTCAATATCCTTGTTCATAGTGATAATTGCAAATCTGTATCTAAATACCATTACGGCGAAATCTGTAATAATTTTTTTTTAATCCCTTTAAACTATTTATATTGCAGCATACAAAAACCACAAAGAAAATAGAATATAACGGATATTTTCTCCCAGTCATCATAAATCCCGAAAATAAGGGGGAAATCCAAAATCTGGCATCACTGACCACAGACTAGAAAAACCATACAGATGTTTAAATAAAGTATTTATTAAAGTATATATCCAAAATTTAACCCGTACTTTTCCATTATCCCGTCTCATTTCATTTTTTTTTAGTGGCATAATAGGCAACACTCGCCTCTTACTAAGGGATAAAAATAAAAAATAAAGTATCTATCAATTTATGGCGCACAGAAATGAGAGGTATAAATGACGGAGGAATATCAAATTTTGTAATAAATGAAAATAACAAGAAAGACATATCTTTACAGAAAATATTTTAAAAAATCTATGGCAGGATTACAATTAATAGGGAATTTTTCATCAAAATTTGGATTTTGGAGAAGAAAACAACACTTTCCTTGGCAACTATGATTTTAATTCAGAGCCGTAAAACATATTAACAAAAAAAACGGTGCATTTTATTTTTTTCAAAGAGATGCACTATATATCGATTACTACTGTAAGTAGTACGTATAATGTATCATACGCGTGTACCTGTATGTCCCAAAAGTCGGCGATAAACCGGAATCAAGAGATAGAACAAATTATCATAGCTATCATAAAAAAATTGAGCACATGGTTATGACAGTATAGATATTATAAATTATTAACAAGCAACTAGTCTGGTCAAGTCGTTCTTTTAATCATCGATGTTTTGACAAATGAATACAGAGCATCCCTACTTGTTTGAATGAAGTTCCTTTACCTTTACTTGTTTATTTTACACGCTCCTTGTGTTTATTTTACAAAAAGATATATAATGAAAAAATAAAAGTACTTTATTGAAGTGTATCGACTTATATGTATAGACATCATAAAATGATATTTATCAGTTTGATCTAACCAATTATACATTTCTAATTATATTGATACGTATACCATAACCTATTATTTTAAAATCATGAGTATTTATTAGCCAAACCTTTGTCAATATAATCTACGTACAATACTGTGCTGTTAATGCCGTTTACTAGTATAAAAAATTACGAGACGAGTAAAAACATTGGATTGAAACAAGTTACAATATTGTAAAACCCAAGAGACAATCAGATACGGTAGAAACTGCGCCAGACACGAATACTGAAAATTTTAACCAACAATTGAGACTCGGAAACATTAAAATATGGGACCCAACGAAGTTCATAAAAATGCATTACCCAGTCAAACCTTTAACAATGTTTACAATCACACTACAGTATCGAATAATCAAGGTAGTACTGTAATCCATACACCAGTTCGAAATGAATCTACATCAGCAGTTCAAGTACCATTGACTGCTCGGTCACAAGTAGCAGAACCATCAACACCAAATTATTCTTATACACCCCAAGCTGCAAATCCACATAATTCTATGACTGCATTGACTCCTATGTCCAGTGGAACAAAACAAGTAGAGAACAGCATAAAGTTGCAGTAAGTAATTTAAACCTTTGGTTTCTTATTGCTTGAAATTTTCCAAGTGTTAATATTTTTCTTGATTCACATGTATATCAAATTTAATCTAAATGATTGTCATAGTACTACCCTAACTTACTCCTAAGAGATATGAGTACAAATCTGGCCTGACTGGTATAATTTTATATTTAATTTAATATAAATTATAAATAGATGATAGTGAGTGGAATATTAGTAACTAGCTGTGCCCACGGTTTCACCCGCATGGAATTTATAGCCAATGTGTTATATAAATACTGCTGCTGTATAAGATATAAGATTGTAAAGTTTCATTAAAATCCTATTAGTAAATCATATTAGTTTTTGAGTGAAAGAGTAACAAACATCCATCTAGACACAAACTTCTGCATTTATACTATTAAAATAAGATGTGAACTAGTGGAACCACTGCATTGGTAACAATGTACATGTCTAACCTTTACAGTCCCTCCTCGAAACCATAATGGTTATTTTAGCATGAAGAGCTAACTGACCTGACTTCATCTTCATTACATCTATGCCAATATATGTATGTACCATTAACATGATTTTAAAATAGATAAAAATCAGTAACTGTGTTAAAAACTTTCAATTTTACATTTCAATACTTATTTTAATGTATCTACAGTTAGATACATTAAAATAAGTATTGAAATGTAAAATTGAAAAGTGTACAGTTACACTGTTCATGATTAATACAGATTACATGATGTATTTTTAAGTAAATGTTGGAGCTAAAGTCTTGTAATATAGATTTATCTCTCATATAAATCATATTTGCATTAACAATGGGATAAATATAATTACCATTAGTGTAATAAATTTATGTATTTTTTAACTCTTTTTTTCTTTTTTCAGAAACTGTGTTTCTACAGTAAGTTTGGGATGTGAGCTAAAATTATTAGATATATACTGTAGAACAAGATTTTCGGAGTATAATCCATCTCGATTTCGTGGTGTGGTTATGAAAATTTTAGAGCCTCGAGCAACAGCACTTGTTTTTAGGTAATAGTTACATCAATATGTGCATGCATGATCTAAAAATAGTTTTTGTGTCTGTAAGTCTCACCTTTTTAAACAGACTTATATAAAATCTGTAACTGGTATAAAAATAATTATGAATATCTACAAAGAAATGGATGTACTGTGTGAAAGATATGTCAAGAAAGAAATTGAATAATTAGATATATTATTAGTTCTGGCTAGAATAGATGTCATTGTAAGCTTGCTTTCTGTAAATTGAGAAGCTTGTAGTGATGGAAGTAAGTTTACTTAATCATAATAAAATAGTCCTCACAATTATGAGCACAAAGCGTCATTAATTCTCAAGCAACAAGCTCTGCTTAGGCTTGTTATGTATTAGATGACTTATAAAAGTCTTAATATATTTTTTTTGTATTTACATAACATATCTGGAAGACATCCAGATCAATAGAAACACTCATACTCATGAATTAAAGTGTTTAATTTAAAATTATGGAAGTTGTTTAAATATTTTTTTTAAAAGATAGTATTAGAGAATAGTTTATTATATTATTCTCTAATATATAATATACTCTATTGTGACGATAGTATTAGAGAATAGTATATTATATTATTCTCTAATACTATTATACTATTATATAATAGTATTAGCTCTCAGGGTGCCAGTGGAATTTGAGGATGAATTTGGATCAGGTTACTTACCCGACCTTATATTCACTCTATTATCTTCCACTGATGTCTTGTTAGCGAATATCATTAAATTGTTATGCCTTAAAACCATGCTTGTCATGTTTTTTACAGATCTGGCAAAATTGTGTGCACAGGAGCAAGAAATGAACATGATTCATATGTCGCTGCTAGAAAGTTCGCAAGAATTATACAAAAATTAGGATTTCCTGTATGTATTCATTACGTTAGGTATAATGCTATTTAAAACTCCATAAATTATATTTTATATTATATATACTACCTGTTATTCGCAAATTCGTCCGCGTGAATTTTTTTTATTGAAATATATAAAATTTCTAAAATAAAACTAGCCAAGTTACTCTTTATGACGATAGCTATCTGCAAGTAAAAGTCCCGTCAAAATCGGCTCAGCCGTTTCAGAGATTAGTAATCATACAGACATAAATATTTTTATTTTGAAGTACAGTACTGTACGAATTTAGTTATAAACTGTTCAATTAGAAACATACACTCCAATTTTATTTATATATATAAATTTAAAACTTTTTTCACGGTACAAACAAGATATTTACTATGATAATACTACCACTATTAGTACCTACTCCCTCCTCCCGCTCCCTCCTCCGCGAGCTCCCGATATTGCGACGCATTTACGTCTTACGTAACTGACTAACAGGCAACTCTTAATCGTAAAAATTCCGTTTATATATGTACAATTATTATATTAACTATATTATATTTTTCTTTTAGGCTAAATTTCTGGATTTTAAAATACAAAACTTCATTGCTACAGCTGATTTGAGATTTCCTATAAGATTAGAAGCTCTACAACAGGCACACGGACAATTCACATCATATGAACCTGAGTTATTTCCAGGGCTGGTTTATAGAATGGTTCGCCCAAGAGTGGTATTGCTGATATTTGTAAATGGAAAAATAGTATTCACAGGTATTATTATAACTATGTATTTATGACATATATTTAATAATAATATTAAATTGAGTATATAAATTTAATTGTTTTCAGGTGGCAAAACACGAAATGAGATACATGATGCTCTAGATATAATTTACCCCATTTTACGAAGTTATAGAAAAAGTTAATATATTAATAGTTATGTAAATATAATAAATCAATTTTAATGTATAATTATTTTTTCAAGTTTTAATTAATTTATTTTCATGTAATTAAACAATGAATAAAAGTTTTTTATCCATTATGTTACATATTATTTATAATAAAAAAAATGTGACCTAGGAGGAAAGCGAAGTTGAATTTTCTGTGACCTATTCCACATTACTACTCGTACTTGGATATGGATTGTGACGAATTCAACTAGTTGTTTCACGCTGCACCAGCCATCCATCCAGCCAACCTCCAGGGAACGCCCGATATGCCGTCCGGTTTCCCGTCGCCTTGTAGCGCCAGCCACCGGTACGTTGACGGAGCCAAGAAAGCGCCGGACAATATGATTAAAGGAGGCACGGTACGGCATTTGGAGTTGAACAGTCAACAACAGGTTAAGCTAATAGATTTCCTCCCTGTCAAAAACTGAGATGATGATGAGCTGATCCACAACTAAGATGGCCGTCTTATACAGATAATAGTGAAAATCCGCTTTGGTTTCGAGTGTGGGATTAGGCAGTACCCTTGCAAAAATATTAAAAATACGTGTAATTTCCTTCCGGTTCAAACTGGTATCATATCATAGTTAAACCTGTATATTGAAGGTAATAGTCAGTTGGCTGTAGCATGGTGTATTATACGTCAGTATAGCGCAAAAAATATCAATAATTTCTTTTCTCTCCAAAAAGGTATTTGTTTATGAAATAAGTATATAAATAATATGATAACGTTAATATATTATTTATATATTTCGTAAATGGTTTTTTATAGTAGATACTAGCTGTTCCCGCGACTTCGTCCGCGAGGAATTTAACTTTATTTTTCTCAAATAAATGTAGTATAAGTTACTTTTTATTAAGTCAGCAACCTGCCAAAAAAAGTCACGTCAGTTGGTCCAACCATTTCATAGATTAGCCGGAACAAATAGACAGACAAAAATTGTAAAAAAATGTTATTTTGTTGTATGTACCGTATTTATACATATATATGCATATAGTAAAAAACAGTTATTTCAATATTACAAACATACACTGCACTTTTATTTATATGTATAGATTAAAATTTTGCATTTGTCTCTACAAAACTCATTGCAGTAAGATTGGCCGCTACAACCTCTGTCACAACTTTAGGTTTGCTGGAAGAGATCTCTTTTAGAGGTAATTCTCACACCCTTCCCACCATTGCTCACATTTTTGTATGACTATCTTAATTACTTAATATCACAAGTGCAATAAAGTATGTATATATATTTAGCAGGCGCTTAGTTCCGTTGCTCGCGGGTTCGACTCCAGGTACGGTACAAACATGTGTAATTGTGTATTCATGAGTATGGGTGTTTTCTATGTATATTAAAAAAATCTAGGTATTTATATCTGTCGTCTTGTACCCATAACACGAGCTCTGCTTACCTTGGGACCAGATGGCATTGTGTAAATTGTCCAAGGATATTATTATTTGCTTGCATACATATTATTTTATAGGCAGGATAGCTAGCAATGCACAGACAACACAGATGCTGTGACCATGTCAGGTCGACCTCTACGCAGTTCTGCCGGAAACGATCATAATTATCATATTTGTGTAAATTGGATGTGCTGACTGATTAGACTCATCTTATTATCCTTCACTAGCATATTTTTGCTGTATCGTTTATTAAGAAACAGATAATTAGTTATTAATACAACCCTAAAACTACTTTCTAAACAAGTAATTAAGTATGTAGTATATAGATGATTTCTTATAAATATGTTTTCACTGATAGTACGCAATCAACTTTGATTCTTATTGTTTCCTGAACCGTGAGATCATTTTATTTTACAACCATTTTATAATTGTTACCTAAATAAAATAAAATTGCACATTTTATTATTAATGTAATAAGCGTTTAATTAATAATTATGAAATAGATACAATGAATAAAAAATGGTATAAAGTCATAATTGTTTGAGAATTGTTGAATATCATGATAAAGATTAATCTACCAAATTATAATGATTTTCATTGTATTAAAGTTTACTTACATAACTAACAAAATATCGTTTGTAATGAGACAAATATAGTAATCTAAAGCAACATAGCTTCTCTAAAAACTAATAAAAACATCTTCATTCACACATTGCAGACTGCAGCAAAAATTTTGAAATTGTTGAGCATAAAACAAACTTGAGATTACAAGTTGTCTAATTTGTAAGTTAATATTTTTTAGCTCATAATTGATACATATGAAATGTTTCTAGACAACGCACCTAAAATATTCGTCAATAATCCTACATCGTACAACAGCATTTCAGCCAGGGTATTTTGGTTTGGTTTGGCTAAAGAGGGCGCAAACCTATTTTTTTTAACATATATGTGGCAGAAATAATTACTTGAAATAAAAATATGACTGGAAGCTAACAGTAGGCACGGCTTACGATCCACAACTTAAACATTCATCTTTGTTTTGCAGAGAACACGTAATGGCTGCCATATTAGCATCATATGTGTCAGAATTTCCATTTGCAACCTTGCTCCGTACTTTCGATTTATCTACAGTAAATTGAATAGCATTAACAGCTGGTTTTGTGCGCAGATAATACATTCCAGTTTTTAAACCCATTTTCCATGCATAGAAATGTATAGATGTTAATTTTCCATAGTTTGGTTCAGCAACATGAATGTTAAATGACTGACTTTGATCTATAAATGCACCTCTATCCGCAGCCATTTGTATGCTAGTTTTCACAGAAATCTCCCAAACTGTTTTGTACAAGTCTCTCAAATCTTTAGGAATTGCTTCAATATTTTGAATAGAACCATTGTTGTGAATAATGAGGTTCTTCATATCTTCATCCCACAACTCTGCTTCTGTCAAATCATTCAGTAAGTGATGATTGACCACTTGAAATTCTCCAGATAAAACTCTTCTTTGGTAAATGTTTGATGTAAATGGTTCAAATGATTCATTGTTTCCAAGAATCTGTGCAGTTGATGCAGTTGGCATGGGCGCTATTAATAATGAATTTCGAAGACCATGTTTAGCTATTTTTTCTTTTAGAACCGTCCAGTTCCAGAGGTCTGTAGGAGTTTTATTCCACATGTCATATTGCAATATGCCTTGACTTACAGGACAACCCTCATAGGTTTCATAGACACCTAATTTTTCAGCCAATTCGCAACTTGCTTCTAAAGCTCCATAGTAGATGGTCTCAAATATTTGCTGATTGAGTTTAATAGCAGCTTCACTTTCGTAGGGTATCCGCATTAAAACAAATGTATCTGCTAAACCTTGCACACCAATTCCAATTGGTCTATGCCGCATATTCGAATTTCTAGCTTCTACAACAGGATAAAAGTTAACATCTATTATTTTATTAAGATTTCGAGTTACCGTTTTAGTAATTTCTTTAAGTTTAGAGAAATTATAAGTTTTATCCTCATTTATAAACATGTTTAAAGCAATCGATGCTAAATTGCAAACTGCAATTTCATCTGCTGATGTGTACTCTACTATTTCTGTACAAAGGTTACTGCATTTTATTGTTCCCAAGTTCTGTTGATTGCTTTTTCTATTACAAGCATCTTTATACAACATATATGGAGTTCCAGTTTCTACTTGTGCTTCTATTATAGCTTGCCAAAGAACTTGTGCTTTAACTTGTCGAACAAAACGGTTTTCTGCCTCATATTTCTCATATAGTGTTTCAAATTCTTCTCCCCAGCAATCAGCTAAACCAGGACAGTCATGAGGGCACATCAGACTCCAATTTTCATTTTTTTCTACTCTTTTCATAAATAAATCAGGTATCCATAAAGCATAAAAAAGTTCTCTAGCCCTCACTTCTTCCTTTCCATGATTCTTTTTCAGATCTAAAAACTCAAAAATATCAGAGTGCCATGGTTCTAAATAAACAGCAAAAGCGCCTGGGCGTTTATTTCCACCTTGATCGACATATCTTGCTGTGTTGTTATAAACACGCAACATGGGAACAAGTCCATTTGAGACGCCATTAGTCCCTGCTATGTAAGTGCCTTTGGCTCTTATACAATGTACATGGACACCAATGCCTCCAGCTGATTTAGATATAAGTGCACATTGTTTTAAAGTGTCATATATGCCTTCAATGCTATCGTCTTTCATAGCAACAAGGAAACAAGAGGACAATTGAGGGCGAGGTGTAGCAGCTGAAAAAAGCGTAGGACTTGCATGTGTAAAATATTTCTCTGATAGCAAGTTGTAAGTATGAATAGCATCTTCTATATCTTCCCCATGTATGCCTATAGCAACACGCATAAGCATATGTTGTGGCCTTTCTGCAACCTGAAAATTATTTATATGTATTAATGTCATTGTTAGTATAATTATATTATATTTTAGAAAAATAAAAGTAGCCTAAATTACTCCTTATTACATCAGCTGCCTTCCAATAGAAGTCCCGTAAAAAGCTGTCCAGCCATTTCTGAAATTAGCCGAAACAAACAGACAGACAAAAATTGTAAAAATGTTATTTTGGTGTATGTACCGTATATATATTCATATGCATGTAGTAAAAAACGGTTATTTAAATATTACAAACAGACACTCCAATTTTATTTATATGTGTAAGTAATGTCTTGGGTAGTAGTAGTTGCAATGCCAACAGAGATATTAAAAATTGAGATAGTACCTTATTATTTATTTTTAGCAGATATGATCTTTCTAGAGTTTTAAAACCAAAATAGTTATATTTGAAATCTCTATCATATACAATGGCAGAATCCAGTCTCTCTTTATTTTTGATTACAACATTGTAATGAAACTCTGAAATCATGGGAGCTCTTTTCTTCGTATGTGGATTAATAATATTGTATAAATCTGTGATCACATCTAGAAATAAAAAAAAATTATGTAGTTATAAACATATTAGTGATTTTGTGTATTTATATTCAATTTATTATTTCTTTTTATTTTGAAATAAGCAACTAACTACTGCAAAAAATAAAAAAAAATTAACTAGTGTAAGATTAATTATGTTTTTCATAAAATATCATAATTAGTGGCGTGTAACTTTGCTCTTGTTAAGACCTTAAAATATTGTTCAAACGAAACCTAGTTGTTAGTGAACTGGGGGTAGTGACCCTGATCTACAACCAACAGTTTGAGACTACAAATATGGCCGGATATAATTTATTAAAAAAGGGGTCATAATAAGTGTCTTGTCACTGTAAGGGAAGTCATTATATACGACTTTTTTATAAATAATTTATTTTGTAGTGTAATTACATCTTAATAAATGGTTGGTCAATATAGGAGGAGTCATAATAAACGGATTCTACTGTATTTCGATTAAAATATTTCGAAATATGATGATAAAAAGATGTTCTATGGCTTAACATACAGCATGTGGTTCTCACCATCCTGAAGCAATAACCACCACCCTAAATGAATAGAAGTAAATTATTACAAAATATTTTGTTGTATCACACATGCTTATTTATTTATGTGTTATGACATGTTAAATATTAAATATAATTTAATTACCTGAAAATTGTTTCCTGGTTTCCTTATGTAAATTGGATATTGCCAATCTTGCTGCTAATACAGCATAATCTGGATGATCAGTGGTCATTGTTGCAGCTGTTTCAGCAGCCAAATTGTCAAGTTCAACAGTTGTAACACCAGAATAAATGCCACTTATGACTTTTAGTGTTATGGATACCTTTGTTAAACAAAATATTTGAGAATTATTAAAGATTAATGTTCAAAACCTTATAAATTTGAAGATTTGTGTTGTAGTCTAGTTTAATATGATAACTTATAGGTGGTTTGAGTTTAACAGACTATGAAATAATAGTGTGGTAATTTATATCTTAAGGAATATCATATGTAAAATAAAGGTAGAGAAGTGCAGAAAAAAGATGTGGTCATGGCGAGTATTATGTTAAGTGTAAAAGAAGTCAGTCCGCTATTAAACTATTTCAATACATCATAGATCTTAGGGAATGTTTATTTTAATATATAATTTTAATATTTTCAAGACATTTATTTTGTTAAATTACATAGTTACAAGACCAATGGATCTAACAAGAGACTCTTTGGTACCCAAGGAACCAGAAGACAGAGGCACCAAAGATCTAGTTGGAAAGACTACATCAACTTGACTCTGGAACCATTCTGGTATAGGGAAGTGCAAGATAGAGCTCAATGGAGATAGCTGGATGATATCTATGTCAAAAGGCACAGAGTTGGTGAAAATTTTGTGAGCTACTGAAGCCTACCTTAGAAAAAAAGGCTTTAATATATTACAAATACTTATAATTTGTTTATCAGATCATTGATTATTTATATATAATATTTACCTTTATATTTATGTATGTATATTATTTTTTTATATAAATTTATATACATTTTGCCTTACACATTTTTTTGTGACATTTCTCATTCCTATTAGTGCACTGCCAACAATTTTTCTCTGCACCACTCATGTGTGACTGGTAGATAACGCCACAAGGTGTTAAGTCCGCCATATGTACACATTGCTTGATGCATTGAAGTTAAAAAAATAAATAGGTACAAACTTACTGGATCCACAAAATCCATATTTAATCCATAACAAAGTTTTTTAATTCTTGATGTAATTTTGTCAATATGGACTTCCTCCATTCTACCTCCTGAAAATATAACAATATGATATAAATTACTATCCTAGTATTTTTTTTTTCGCCACAAAATCATACATTTGGGCAAGTAAAATTTTTTGCAAATTGTAATGATAATAAGCTATAGTTTTTTTTTTAGAAAAACAAATTATTGTTTGATGAATCTTATCTTCCTTAGCAAACTGACTTCAACGTTTGTATCACAACCTGAAAGACGTCGGATGGACGACAGTATTGGGTTCTAGTAACAAATTTTATATTCAGTTTCTTAATATACTGACCTCTTTTTAGAACGTACAACTTGCTCATCTTCCCAACCATTATGAATAATTTATTGAAACCAAAGTAGCTATGAAATTACTTCGTTCGTTGGTAGCTTGGAGAGCTTAAAAGACACCACTAATGATTTATTCAAAAGAAATAGGTGTCTGAAACTTAAGGTAAAGAAAAAAAATGAATTGGCCAAAATAAAACCGGAGAAATGAGAAAATTGAGGAACAAACACATGAAGAAAAGGATTAAAAATATTTGACAAGCAATTGCGCGGGAAATGTGGGCTTCTTTTTAATAAGTAGTTTTACGGCTTTGAATAACCTAAAAAATTTAGGGGGATGAAAAATAGATGTTGAAAAAAAGGGCGGGAAAATTTGGTTTGACCGGACGCGTTTTTTAATTCAGGAAATATTATTTCAATAACATATAGATTAAGGATTGGTTTTTAGTAATTTTAGTTGTATTTAGTGTTATTATTATATTTATTTTTAGTGTGTAATTTGGTGTGTACATATCATATTGGTAAGTTAGATTTTATTTCTATATGGGCGAACCGCCCGACGATCCTGGGGGAACTACTCGTAGTTCCCCCAGGATTTGAAAATGAGATTCCAAACACTCCAATGGACATCTTAATTACGGCTTTAGAGTCGTCTATGGATACTGACTGTTCAGTATCTGATTCTGGAAAATTAAAAAGGAAAAGAATTGCTCGTGCAACTTGTAGTACATGTCTAGGTAAGAAAAGGAGACACGGTTCAAAAAGGATGGGACCAAATGTTTGTGCATGCATAACAAATGAAACAACAATAATAGATCAATATAATAATAAAGATTCTGAAGTCAATTCCAAATCTCAAAATGCAGTTTCTACTGCTCTTAACAATAATAGTACACAAAACACTGAAATCACTCGAACACCTATTGCTCGCACTAGGTATCAGCCATCAGATGCAGCACCATATATAATTCATGTCCAGAGGGAATTCTCAGATGATAACAGCAACACAACATTGCATCCCGTCACATTTGGTCGCTTTCTGAAACGTAAAGAAATTAATGGTATTGTGAATGGTAGTCTTAAACGAATTGGTCGTAATAGAATTAGTTTGTCTTTCTCAAATTTCACAGCAGCAAATTCATTCTTATGCAATCAAAGTTTAACAACTGAAAAATACAAAGCTTTTATTCCTACTTTTAACATTACACGTATGGGTGTAATAAGGGGTGTCCCCACTGATTGGTCTGATGAAGACATTTTACAAAATATAAGTGTCCCAATAGGTTGCGGTACAATACTTAAATTAAGAAGGCTTAAAAGGAAAGTTAATATCGATAATACAAATACATTTGAAAATATAGGCACTGTTGTTCTTACTTTTGATGGACAAGTACTGCCAACCCGAGTTTATATGTGTTATACTGCATTACCTGTAACCCTTTATATATATCCCACAGTACAATGTTACAACTGTTGTAGGTATGGCCATGTTAAAAGCCAATGTAGGGCCACTCCAAGGTGTTTTAAATGTGGACAGGGACATTCAGGGGAGAATTGCAATATTGATGAAAATGACTATTGGTGCTGCTTGTGCAAGGGTTCTCACCAAGCAAATAGTAAAAAATGTTTAGAATTTGACCGGCAAAAAGCAATTAAAGAGACTATGAGTAAGAGTTGTATTTCATATATGGAAGCCGTCAAATTACATCCACCAGTTAATAAAATGTCTTATGCAGATGCTTTACTTACAGCTCCTTCCTCCCCATCTAATATAAATAATGACAAATCTCCAAACTATACTACATTAAATACAGTTCCTGTAAATAACCAAAATAGGTCATATAAAAAGACAGTGTTTCTGAAACCAAAAGCCCTACCAAAATTCTCAAGAGGATATGATCAATATGCACACAATGAGATCATAAAAAGTCCCACACTCCCTCCATCTCAACCCATTTTTAATAATAATAATCATGATAAAAATATTCAGATTTCAGCAATTATAAAAACATTATTAGACCTTTTACAACAATCGAATTCAAATATATCACCGTCCAACGTAGCTTTACTTATTGATACTATATATAAGATCACAGATAATGGATCAAGCTCAGGCCATACAGTGGAACTGCCGGAGCCTCATCAATAAAAAACATGATGTTATACACATCATTAATAAATATGATCCCTTCATAATTTGTTTACAAGAAACTTGGTTAAAACCGGGATCTATTTTTAAGATCCCTGGTTATTCCTGTTTAAGGAATGACAGACCTGATGGGTATGGAGGAGTCGCCATACTCATCAGGAATTCTTTATCCTATAATATTCTTCCTTTGCCTTCACACAGTGATGATATCTCTGTTATTGCTATTATAGTGAATAGTATTTGTTATGTGTCTATATATTTCTCCCGCCCAAGTAATGCCATTTTCAAAGAAGTCAATAATTTATTCAACATCCTACCAAAACCATTTATTTGCTTAGGAGATTTTAACTCTCACCATCAGACTTGGGGTTCCTCTTCATCCAATAGTTATGGTGACCAATTATTGGAGTTAATTGACTCCCATAACTTATGTATTTTAAATACTGGTATGCCAACACGCATCACAAGACCCACTGAAGGTCTCAGCTCACCAGACTTATCTATATGTACACCAGATCTCGCTTCATCTCTTGTTTGGTGTCCGCTAAACTATAGTTATAATAGTGATCATTATCCATTATTAATTACTTTTCCTTTTTCAAAACCCTTGCAGCAGATGAAACAGCCCCGTATGAGGTATAAATTAAGTAATGCCAACTGGTACAACTACAAACAGAAAGTACATGAAAAATTATCAACTTTACCCAAAATATCCCATGACAATGTGTCAGAGTGTTCTCTGTCATTAGCTAAATTATTAATTGAGGCAGCTGATTCAACATTTCCAACCAAAAATAGTGGTCCTAGTACAATACCCTCTCCACCTTGGTGGGATGAAGAGTGTACTATTGCAGTAAAACAAAGGAAAATAGCTGAAAGACAGTACTGTGTCTGTATGTCTGAAGATAACTATAAAAATTATCAAGAAGTAGCTTATAATACTAAAAACTTATTAAAACAAAAAAAGATTGAAGGTTGGAGTAAATTTTGTGCCTCATTATGTCCTAATGTCAATCCATCTATTATCTGGCAAAATATACGTAGATTTAGATCGGCCTTTAATGTATCTCAACAACAAAAGATTTCTCCCACTCTTGCAGAACAAATATTAGATAGATTAGCCCCACCTTTCGTTCCAGAACAGCTCCATGTAAATCCTTTAACTATTAATACAGAAATAGTTAATAATAATGATTCTACATTTGATCTCAATTCATCCTTCACTGTCAATGAATTAAAAGGTGTACTTTCTGTTATTAAAGACTCGGCGCCTGGTGAAGACGGCATTCCATACTCTTTTATAGTACATTTAGACGAAGATGCTCTTAATTATTATCTCTCTTTAATCAACACAGCTATGACATCAGGTAATATTCCCAGTTCTTGGAGAACACAAACTTTAATCTTGTTATTAAAGCCAGATAAACCAAGTTCCGAACCTTCATCATATCGTCCCATAGCTCTATCTACTGTATTGGCGAAAATATCGGAACATTTAATAAAAAATCGCCTCGAATGGTTTTTGGAACACAATGGATTATTCTCAGATAGTCAGCTAGGATTTAGGAAAGGTAAGAGCACTTTTGACAGTTTGGGGATTTTTGTCACAGATATTAGATTAGCGTTTTCTAGAAATGATTCTGTAATAGCTGGTTTTCTAGATATAACCGCAGCTTATGATAATGTTAATATCCTGATACTGAAACATAAATTAGAGATGTTGAATGTACCTAGACATTTAATGAATTTTATTATAAATATGTTAACAGAAAGATTTATTAAATATACTGTAGATAATAATGATTGGATATATAGGACGGGAGGGAAGGGGCTACCTCAGGGTTCCGTAATGAGTCCAATTCTTTACAACATTTATACTATTGATTTAGAAGTATCCATAAATAAATGTGTAAAAGTTCTGCAATATGCGGACGATTTGCTTTTCTATGTTGCCGGCCGATTAATTAACGAGATTAGCGATTCCCTTTCTGCAGCATTAAAATTTCTTAAAAAATGGCTACATAATAATGGTCTAGATCTATCCCCATCTAAAAGCACTGTAGTTGTATACTCTAGAAAAAGGATTCCATCAGTAGTTAATGTTTTATATGATGATTCCCCCTTATCAGTTAAGGATCAGGCAAAGTTTTTGGGACTTGTATTGGACTCAAAACTCACAGGTGTATCACATTGTGAATCCGTTGTAGTGAGATGTGAACGCAACCTAAATATTTTAAGGTGTCTTAGTGGTGTATGGTGGGGCGCCCATCCTTCTATTATGAAACTCCTATATAATGCCTTAATTAGAAGCATTATAGACTACGGCTCGGTTTTATTAAATCCAGCAAACGCAGCAGCTTTTAAAAAATTGGATTGTATTCAATATAAGGCACTACGACTTATCACTGGATCAATGAAATCCAGCCCAATAAATTCGTTACAAATAGAGTGTTGTGAACCACCGCTAAAACTGCGAAGACAGTACCTGAGTGATACATTTTTTTTCCGTAGCCTAGCATTAAAAAAAAATCTCTTAATTTCTAGAGTCAAGGAATTGGCTGAGGTGATAGCCTCTTCGAAGTATTGGACTCATAAAGACCAACCTTGTTTAGTGAAAAGTTTCCAAAAATTTAAAGACATTACATCTCCAACATATCAGACTCAATATCTTCCCCTGTACCAACATAGTTACACTTCGCTAATACTTAATCCCCAAATATTATATAATATAGGTATAAATAAAGATGAAATTAACGCCAATGACAAATTTAACTATATTATGGATAATGAATGGAAAGATTGGCACTACATTTTTACGGACGCCTCGAAACATTCTAACGGCGAATGTGTAGGTGTTGGAGTCTACCATTCACAATACAAAATTCATCAAAAAATTAAGCTTCCGCCAGAGACCTCCGTCTATACTGGAGAATGCTACGGACTTCTTAAGGCGATTGAATATGTACTCCTTGCTAAACTATGTAAAACAATAATATTCTCCGATTCACTTAGTAGTTTGCAGGCTTTATCACATTTTCCCTTTAAATCCCACAAACAATCTCCGATAATTTTTAAAATTCGTGATCTACTTTCTCAATGCTTATCATTACAATTAAATGTTCACTTCGCTTGGATACCAAGCCATCTTGGTATATCTGGTAATAAAAAAGCTGATCAACTGGCTAATGATGCTGTTCGCGATGGCGATTTATTCCCATATGTCAATTACTGTAATGACCTAGCTTTGTTGTCAAAAATATACTTGTATGAGGATTGGAATCGGCTTTGGACAATTGAAACTCACAAGGGGAAGAATTACAGACTAGTACAAGAAACTATTCCTTATAAACCTTGGTTTAGTAAATTTAAATTTAATAAAAAAACCACATCAATTATTTGCAGACTTCGATTGGGACATGTATGTACACCAGCAAATCTATACAAATTTAATATTGTTTCTGACCCTACATGTGCTTGTGGAGCGTACGGAGATGTTAATCATGTGTTCTTCTCCTGCCCTCTATATGATCGCTCTGAATTTATTTCCCAACTCCTTCTGATCCGTGTCCCACTTCCTACATCTATTAATTGTTTGTTACATAATAGCGATACCAAGGTATATAAAATATTAGCCACATTTATTTTATATAATAATATAAAATTGTAAATATATACATATATATATATAATATATATACATTGTAAACATCATAAACCTGACCAATCCTTTATCCTACAAAATTCCGTTCTATTCCATATATTTCTGTGTATATTTCCCTAACTTTGATATTGGCTAAATGCGAAGGCAAAGCCAAAGATGGAGGAGGAGAAAAAAAAAAAAAAAAAAAAATAGATGTTGGCCGATTCTCAGACCTACTCAATACGCTCACAAAATTTCATCAGAATCGGTCAAGCCGTTTCGGAGGAGTATGGGAACGAAAACTGTGACACGAGAATTTTATATATAAGAGAACAAATGTTATGTTTTAAAAAGAAATAGATGCACCACCTGTGTGTTTCTTTTTGCAAACTTAAATTTACAAATAATCTTCCAAAATAAGCCTTTGCGAAACAAAAGTGTCCAATATTTGTTTCGCAAAAACCATTCTATTATTATTATACAAATTTCATTAAAAAATTCCATTTCTATTGTTATACAAATAATAATAATACCCGAGGATACACACGGGCTATCTAGTTACGAGGTACTTGTGTTGGGTGCTAAATAACTAAAAGAAATACTTAAATTCTGTTTTTGTAAGTGTATACATAATATGCACCGTACTAAGAATCAAAAGCGCTACCATAAGTAAGGTGGTGTGCTAAACCGCAAGACCTCCGAAGCTGTGAAATAATATGTTGTTTTAGGTCACTGTTTTCTACTGTGCATTCATTTGCTGTAGGTAGACTTCAATTTATGCAAATGATTGAAGAGATGGAATCTGCCCATGACCCACACGAATCCTTTTAATTGTTGAAATATATTATCTATTATATTTAACATAAAATATCTTAGTTTTCAGGAATTTCTTTTTATATACAATTTTCCTTTTATTATTTTAGCAGTTGTCCATTATGTATGCCAGTCATTTAAATTATTAAAAATATAAAATTTCTTTTTACAATATTTCAAGAGATATTTTTTTGTGGATTGCTTGAATTAATTCTATACTTTTAATTTTTAATCTCCATCGAAACGCCAAAGCTGACAGTTGAATGACTTGATACTTGAATTACTTCATCCCAACTTTGTCATTCATTGTTTCAAATGTAGTCTAAAAGAAAATATAAGAAATCTATTATACAAATTTATTTTAGTAATAAATTTATTAATCCTAATTCATCTTAGTGTTTTCACAACCAAAGTTTCTGTTACATATATCTAAAATGGCACCTAAAGCTGGAGGTGATACTGGAAAAGTTAATTCTGCGGTGTATAAAGATAAAACTAAACCTACAGATATCCGGCTAAGTAACATAAATGCTGCTAAAGGTAGGCTAACAACTGTTAAGAAAACTTGAAAAATATTATGTTCTTGCTTTTGGATTATTAATTGTTTTTTATAAACAAAAATAAACTGCAAGAAATATTCTAACCTAATGTTTACTTATCGTTTGTTATATGGGCATTATGAAGAATTATTGTTTTTGTACTTGGTCTTTCGGTTTGTTGTTGTACATAATTTAAAAGGTATATCGTTCTTAAATAAAAACGGGAATAATGTCCACATTACCTATATCAGGCTCAGAGCATCTACCAATTATGATTTAGACACTAAATATATTTGAATAATATGAACAATATCACTGAACCAGTACATATTTATTATTTAATAATCATAATATTAATACAAAAAGCCTTTTTTATCAACCAACATACTGATTAAGAGACAATCTTAATTTTGTCTTTGTTTTGTAAACAATATCCTTACAATATTTGCTTCTATTTCTTTTCACAATTAAATTTTATTATATAATAAATATTTTTGGTTAAAAACCATTTGTATTTGTTCTATGGAATAATATTTATAGAATACTGATATTGTCTTTTAAGAACATTACTGTAATTCTAAACAACACTTTATATTCATAATCCTTTACTGGGGTTCATACCAAGTTTTATTTTTGTGCTTCCAATAAGAGTGAATACTACTAATTCATTTATTATTTATTTTTGTGTTTTGTATTGATCTAGTGTTTTTATTCTAGCTGTATCTGATGCCATTCGCACCAGCCTGGGTCCTCGTGGGATGGATAAAATGGTATTGAAAAGATATTTTTTATTTGTCATGTTCTTTATTTACAATAGCTTTTCATATTATTGTTTTAAACCGCGAGAACTATCCTAACCTTATAAATTTTATTATTTCTATCGCTGGTCATGAGTTCTGCTAACTATCAGTCTTAATTTATCTCTTGTTCCAGATACAAGCTTCTAATGGGGAAGTCACCATAACAAATGATGGCGCCACAATTTTAAAGCAAATGAGTGTCATCCATCCTGCAGCTAAAATGGTAATCTCACAATACTTACTACAAATTTCTATATGTTCATATTTAATTAATCTAAACTTTAATGGTTAAGAGAACAGGATTGATTCCTATATAAAATAATTTAAAAACTTGAGCCACTGGTGATTTTTTGATAATTACTAGTCACACATATAATACATTTATTTACAATATTGTCTAGAATTATAAAAATTTAAAATTGTATGGTATTAACCTCAAGTAATCATAAATAAACATTTATAACTACGAGGTACCAATTTTTAGGAAGGTATAAACATACCTTCTTAAGAATTGGTACCTTGAAGTTTTACTTAGAGGCCAGAGTATAACTTTAGTTCATAGATAATGTTTTACTATCAAAATTATAGTATAGTATTACTGTATTACAGATGACTGCATTTTGTAATAAGCCCATATACATATTGTAATCTTTATGTTGCAGCTTGTTGAACTGTCTCGTGCTCAAGACATTGAGGCAGGAGATGGCACCACTTCTGTAGTGGTGATCGCAGGTGCATTGCTTGATGCCTCAGAAAAACTTCTACAAAAAGGCATCCATCCAACAGTGATATCAGATGGTTTCCAGAAAGCTCTACAGATAGCTTTACAGGTAATTTATTTATAAAGTAATATATGGTTTCTGATCTGCTCCTCACATATTTCATCATGACTTGCAACCATCTGCCAATACTCTTCTTCAATTTTGTAGACTATATTATTAGAAGTCTCTATTGTACATGTTTACAGGTGGTTGAAGGAATGTCTACTCCCGTAGATCTCACAAATGAAGATGCTCTCCTCAAAGCTGCGGCTACATCTCTCAACTCTAAAGTGGTGTCACAGCATTCTACAATTTTAGCACCAATTGCCGTACAAGCTATTCGTGCTGGTTTGTATTGTATTGTTGCTTGTATCAATGTTTAGTTTTATTTTAAAATATCAATATAAGTTACCAGTGTTTAGAAAAAGTGACAAAGCTATGAAACAAAGTTATATTACTTGCTGATAAATTTCAAGTATACATTTACACTGTAGGCTGAGCCAAAATATATATTATTAATTTATGAAATTAGTATTGAAAAAAGCCAGAGTTTATAAATGTGTGTTCACAGTACTCATTCAGTATTGATGGAAGAGAAGCATGAAGCATGCTGTAAATACTTAACATTATCGAACTGAAAACAATCCCAGAACAGCTTTGATGCAAATTCGCATATTTGATGCTATATCCAGTGCTAACTTTTTTTAATGGTAGTTATTTTTTTCAGTAATGGAGCCAATAGTGGGTGGTGTGGGCGCTCGCGTGGACCTCCGCGACGTTAAAGTGACGGAGCGAATCGGTGGCACTGTGGAGGACACAGAGCTGGTGCAGGGACTGGTTATCCCGCACCGTGCTGCGAATGTCAATGGGCCACATCGTATTGAAAAGGCTAAAGTTGGACTTATCCAGTTTTGTATTTCTCCACCAAAAACTGATGTAAGTTGTCAATTATTATTTTTTTGTGAAGTGTGAACTTTGATTTACCACAGATAGTTGTAAGTAGTGTACTGAATATGTTTACTTGTAATTTCGGAATAAAGTTTGATGTTATTTTGTTACAATAAATTACCAGTAAATAATTTTAGAATAGGAAATTTACCCTACATTTAAGCCCTTTTGCGCATAGTCATCCTTTTTTTTTTAATGTACCGCTCATTAGGAAATCTGTCTCATCAAAAGAAGAGTGAGAGCACAACACACAACTTTACATTTTTAAGGACAAATGTGGTGCTAGTGTTGTATAAAATGATAGGTTGGCAGGAATATTATCATTCAGTATCAAATTATGTCAATTAAAGAATAAACATAAAGAGACAGTAAACAATTCCATATAGTCCAGAATATGCAGGTGAGGAAGACTTATTCACTCTACTGAGTGTTTTCCAGATGGATCACAATGTAATAGTTTCTGATTATGCTGCTATGGATCGTGTGCTGAAAGAAGAACGTCAGTACATTTTGAACATTGTAAAGCAAATAAAGAAAGCTGGTTGCACAGTACTTTTAGTACAAAAGTCTATCCTAAGGTGAGGTGTATTAGATAAATTGATCTAAATACTTTTTGTAAATTTTTATATTGGTGAATTTAACTGTGAAACTAAGTTAAAAACAGCCAGTTTCTATGTAAAAATATTAATATGTAATTATATATAATATTTTTACAGGGATGCACTTAGTGATTTGGCTATTCACTTCTTGGATAAAATTAAGACTATGGTCATTAAGGATATAGAGAGAGAAGATATCGAGTTTGTATGTAAGACACTGGGCTGCCGACCAATCGCATCCCTTGATCATTTTACTGCTGAAAACTTGGTTAATGTTGATTTAGTTGAAGAAATCAATGAACCCGGCGGCAAATATATAAAGGTAATAATTTATTTTCACTTCTGCTTGAAACTTTATTGAATGAAAATTAGTTTTTATTTAGTGCTAATCTTTATCTAATAGCTATGCCTAGGCTGGGATGAAGAGCAGCACTATCATAAATATGTAAATATAGAAACTTCCTTTTAGTTCAAATTGTTATAAATTTATATTAAAAATATTGCTTTTATTTTTACAAATACATGCTAAATATGTATAGAAAATACCTAGAGAGATAGAACCAATCATACTCAAGAATACAAGTGTTCGTACCTTGCGAGGAATCGAACCCGCAACCATCGAAAGTAAAGCGACGTGCTAAACCGCGAGACCACCGAGGTCGTCACGCGTTAAACGTCACTGCTCGCAGATGACGGGGTGCGCGAACGGCGGGCGCACTGTGTCGGTGGTGGTGCGCGGGTCGAGCGGCGCGGTGGTGGCGGAGGCGGCGCGGTCGCTGCACGACGCGCTGTGCGCGGTGCGGTGCGTGGCGCGGCGGCCCGCGCTCGTGGCCGGCGGCGGGGCGCCCGAGGCGGCGGCGGCGGCGGCCCTCGCGCGCGCCGCCATCGCCGCGCCCGGCGCGCACCACTACACGCTGCGCGCCTACTCGGACGCGCTCGAGGTCGTGCCCTCCACGCTCGCAGAGAACGCCGGTATTCTACCACGTATTATACATTTCGTTTAAAATATTTTCATTGCCTCATTCCTTGCTCAATCCTTGCATCATTTAGTTTTAGACGAATCGACAATGAAGGAAGATTCTTTGTTGTCGAATTTTTTTTTCGGCGTCGGTAAATGTAGTCACTGCTGAATTAGAAACGCTTGTTAAAAAAACTAACCAAAATTGTAAGAAAATCAGTCTCTATTTTTTTAAACCTGTGATATATTTTTCATTTCTAAGATCAGTAAGTTATGTAGAATAAATATAATTTTAATGATATTTTATTTTAGCTGATATAGCACTTTAACTGGTATGTTTGAAACGCAAGTAATAGGGTAGCTAGCGATCCTGATAATAAAAATATGTACTATGTACACTTGGGAGATAACTAAGATGCTGAGAGCGACGCGAAAGTTACACAATACTGCTACCTTATCGCGTCGGTATGTGAATCGCTACTAAGTTGGGCTCACATGATTAAATTCTGATCTGACGACGTCGATTGAATTGCTTTACATATATTTCAGTAAAGCGACGTGTAGCGTTAGCGTAAGCATTAAGTCAAAATTTTATGATAATAATCATAATTTATTCAGCATGTTAACCATGCTGCATGCATACAGAGTGGAAAATATATAGAGATAATGTAATATTTATTAATTCATAATTTAAGACTCGCACTCTTGGAGCTTCATAAATCGAATAAGATTTATGAATGTAATATCTTAATCTTAATAATATTATAAACGAGAAAGTTTGTAAGTGGATATTTGTTACTCTTTCACGCAAAAACTACTGAACGGATTTTGATGAAATTTTACAGTAACATAGCTTATGCATCACAGTAATACAGGCCATGTTTTTTATTGAAATTTAATACGGGTGAAACCGCGGACACATCTATGTAATAGAGATAATGTGAATTGACTCTCAATTGAAAGCGTCCTGTAATGTGCATTCTGTGTTGTTGTGTGGCAGGCCTGAACCCTATCGAGACGGTGACGGAGCTGCGCGCGGCGCACGCGGCGGCGGCGTCGGGCGCCGGCGTGAACGTGCGGCGCGGCCGCGTCACCGACATGCGCCAGGAGCACGTGCTGCAGCCGCTGCACGTCACCGCCTCCGCGCTCGCGCTCGCCACGGAGACCGTGCGCGCCATACTCAAGATCGACGACATTGTGAGTCTCCTCAACTCTCCTACTACATAATGTAGCGGTCAATTACACGTCATTTAATTAACTCACTACAGTTCAAACTTGAGATAATTCGATCAGAATTTGGCCTTCAAGTGAATTGTTGCCGCCATGGCGAAGGTTAGAATTCTCAACTGGCCTACTCCATAATATAGCGGTCAATCACACGTCATTTAATTAACAAATTACAGTTCAAACTTGAATGCCAAGTTTTGATAATTTGATCAGAATTTGGCATTCAAGTTTAAATCACAGCAACTGTTCACAGTTGCTGTGATGGTGAAGGTTAGAACTCTCTTATTTAGACAATTCTATTCCCTAAATAAGAGAATTCTAACCTTAACCATTCGAAAGAGCCCCCTCGAAAACATAAAGGTCTATGATTTCAATTTTTTTCTCTCACACTCATTGTACGGCAATAGTTCCAACTGGAATGCGAAATTCTGATCATTTAGGCCGTGTGATTGGCGGGCAATAATGGTTCGTAATTGCTAAATGTCGTGGATTCGATCTACATGTTTACTTAAGTGTCGAGTTTATATTAATTTTATTATACTATATGATGCTTTTTGTTTCAGGTAAATACTGTGAACTAACAAGAATATGCAGCCGCAGTTTATATTCATAATTTACTCTTTATTAACAGTCAACTATAATAGTATTATATTACAGTATAAGTCAGTCCATCAATGTGATAATGGATGAATTCTAAAAATTATAATTTTGTTCACAAAAGTCTATTTAATTTGCAACCGAAATAAAATATGTATTTCAATGACTTTAGTTTTTGACTGACCAATATTGTAACATTCTTAATTGTTTATCGAATATTAATGCCTAGTTAGTATTTAACATAAAATATAAATAAACAACTAAATGAGATAAATAGTTTTATTTGAAAGTACAGTTAAGCTTATTTTCATAATGTAAATTACGAAATTTATATCCGCAATACGTAATAGTGTGATTCCGTCGGGGCGTCATGGTGAGGCGCGAGCTATCGTTGATAGGGGTGTATCTGGTTGGCCGCTTTGATGTTGGTCTTGATGGCGGAGGGTGGTTTAGGTAGCGAGGGCGCGGCCGGGCCCAGCGGCGCCGCCGGCCGGGCCCCCAGCGCCGGCCCCGCGCCCGCGCCCATCGCCGCGAGCCCGGGCCGCAGCCCCTTGCCCGTGCCCACCGCCGTCACCAGCGCGTGCGTGTCGCCGATTATGTGCGTCGGTTGCATGCCTGCGCACGACATCAATATATTTTTGTTTCATGCTTGGCAAGAGGGCATTGTTAATACATGATAATATATGATAGTTTAGTTTGGAGGGTTTAGACAAGACCCAGGGTTTTTTTTGTTAAGTCAAAAATCAAACTGAATGAAATAAAGCACCAGTTACATTATTTCTTTTAAAAAAAAAAGATAACAAGGATGGAGAATTTCTAGTAGAGCCCAGGTGGGGAAAGATTCGGAAGTACTGTGCTATACTACTACTGGCTATGAAAAATAAACACATAGTAAGTCAGAATTGTGAACTAAAATTCCAAAGAAAGTGTAAGGACCATATTTTTATAACAATACATAATAAAAGATCTGCTTTAAATATTAATTTATTAGAAAAAAAAGTTAAAGTAAACAAAGGTACAAAATTATACCTGCAGATCTCATTGATTCACCTTCCCAGTCTTCGCGGCCCTTGGATATTATTTCCCATACATGACTTACAACTTTAGCAAATTGTGCTACTTGTTTCTGAAAATGCAAATATTAATTATATTGCAGAACTGTCCATTATTATCAACAGACATGAACCATGACTAATATTATGTAAAGCACATAAATATAGAATATTAGAGAATATTTAGACATGAGGCAGCATTATTGTTTTCCTGATATATATATATTCATTACAAATTTATTAATATAATGATAAATTTCTGAGAAATATTATTTCCCTTTGTAATATGTTAATATAATGAAGTTTTACTATTGAAAATGTGCAGTAAATTAGCATACCTGAGCAGTATCATAGCTGAGAGTACTGGCTTTATGATTAAACTGTTGAAGCCTCTGTTCTGCTTGGGGTTCTGGTTTAGTACGAAGCAAGTCTGGTACTAAGTCATGGGTACATGCAGGTACTCTGCCTTCTGTCAGTCGTACTAGAGTTTCATCTCTTTCACAACTCAATTGCAGAGGTAAAACTATACGAGATCTCAATGGTGATGCTAATTCAGCTTGCAATATTTTACTTAATCCTGTCAGCTGTAAAATAACAATTATGATGGTACCATATAGATAAAATTATAAAAAAATAATTAGTTCTTACATTATCATCTTATACCATGGCCAGGCCTATCCACACCCTTAAAAATAAAATAGAATTACAAATTCAAATTCAAAATATCTTTATTCATGTATGTCTCTTATGATATGTCAAATCTACCGTCAGTTTGGAATGATTTCGAGATGAGAAGAACTGACAAGAAACTCAGCGTGTATTCTTTTCAAATAAATGTTGTACATGTATACAATAATACAGATTCAATTAAATTAAAATTTGGTAGAATAGAGTGATCACTACTATATGCCATTGTAAAAGCAAAAAGTCTAATCAGTGTTTATAACCTGAACAGACCAGTCCCCATAAGCAGCACCTGTACATGAGTATGATGGATGAGCCAGTCATCATTATATACAACCATATTAGAGGGAGCACATTGACCCGGCCCACCACACCGCCACAAGTTTGAACTTTATAGTGAGCATGTCTGTTTCATGTTACTTCACTTCACTTCTACAAGCAATTCACTAAAAAAATATCTATATAAACAATAAACGTACCTATAAAGTTTTTATGCAATAAACCAATATAACATGATAATGAGTTCCCTAAACTGCCAGCAATAATCAGTATGCCATGCCTAATTTTGTTAATCATTTTCTTACCCATATTTATTAAAGCATATCAATAAAAAATACTTACATGTCCTGATAATATTGCATAATTATCCAAAAACGTTGGCCAGTTAATTGTTTCATATTCAGTTTCCAATTTAGTTATAAGAGCCTGTATAGCTAGTTTCAAATCATTCACTCTATTTAATATTGCTTGTATTGTAGCTTCCAACTGCTTTTCCTCGCGTTGTTGTGTAGTCATATTTATGTTCATGATTATAAATATTCCACAACACACTATAATTTAAACTGGAGTCTACTTTTCCAATTTTGTTGTGAAATCGACAAAACTTCAAGTAATACTAAGATGAAAGATAGAAAAGAGGAAGCAATGCAAATTATACTTGTATTTATCCGTGGTTAACGCGTAGTTAAAAATCAAGGAATAACACCCCTTTTCGATATATCTGAGTACCTTTATAATATTATTCTTCAATCTTTAAATTACAATTGATTACAATTAAAATAACTAGACAGGACAACATTTTTTCTATGAATACAATGACAGTGACAGACAGTCTATGACAACACATTTGTTTATTTTACGGAAATGGCAACTAGGGATTCTGCCGGATGTAATCTAATTTGAAACAAAAGTAAGAATTATATTCTTCATTAGCAATTTATATTTATTACGTAACCTTTGGGAAGAATCAGTCCTAGTTCGTTTCCATACATGGAAACTACACACAAATCAATCACACAAGACTGAAAACGAATTGCAGGTTCAGAGAGGTGTTACAATACTAATTACTCAAATGTGGTAACCGTCACCTACAGATTGGATTATTACCACCACAAAAACATTGTTGCTAGTAGTCCATATACCTATTAGTACTAACATAACACCTATTAGTGGTACCCACAATGCCTCGCAATGAATATTATTGTTACGTCTATTGTTAAGAGCGATAATTTTTACTTCATGCGGCCCATAAAATATCCAAATGCGCATTACACTAGTTCATCAAACCACAACACTTACTTAATGCTTTGCATTTATATGGACGTTCACATGTTTCAAAAGTAGATAAATAAATGTAAAAAGTAGTTACAAATTGTAATTGGTTTTATTTTATATTATTGAAATATCACATTTAAAATTCTAATGCACCGGTGATCTGAAGGAAAATATTCAATATTCAGCATATGTTAAATAAATATTATGACATAACTTTCAACATTGGTTGACGTTTTATTAATTTTTCACGTTTAGTGTAAATATATATAATAAAATTACTAGTGTCTTAATTTTACTTCACACGGTACTTAGTAAGAAATAATTTATTTTGAATATATTATTAAATGAGAAAATAGTGTGTTATGAAACGATTGACTACTTTATGGCATTATTAATTGTTACATGCGTAGAATGGTAGTATAATGGCATATAGCATTACACTCGCCAATTGTACAACTTTCTAAGTGTAACGAATAAATATATAAAGATTGTCCACTTACAAGTCATTCATACATATAACATAGCTTTGTTACATGAGAAAACACTTATTACCTACAGTATGAAACAATATTTACATTACGTTTCATTTACAAATTATATCTATTAAATTTAAACAAACTTCTCCAACAAGTCTTAAAACATTTTAATAATAAGGAAAACAATATTTTATGAAATAGAATATGAATAATAGTTAACTGATCCGTCATTTGACAGTCAATGCTATACAATATATACGTCGCTTTATGTATTATGTAAGGAAGATAATTATTTCATAAATATAAATTGGTAACAAATTGATCAACCAGATTTGGCATTTATCTATAGTTTACGTTTCAGTAAAACTTCGCAGTTTTCTATAATTAGTTCAGCTAATTTAATATTCTGCAAGTCTGATGGAGAATTAGTTGATTTCTTGTCACACTGAAATAACATTTTCTGCAGTACTGATACTGTTGTAGACAATGATGGATGAGCAGGTATTGATGTGTCCAAAGCCTGTAACAAACATTGCATATAATGAAATAGTAAAATTGAGAGAAGGCGGAAACTAGTCATCTATTTGTATATTAAGGTTTTACGTAAAAACGGTTGCAGGCATAATGATGAAATATTCACAGAATATAGTGAATATCCACCGCGTTTTTCACTAGAATAAATAATTTATATGATATATATACAACGGAAATATTTGTAACTGGAAGCACAATTCGTAGGTAATAATAAAAATATTACGGGCATTGTATTATATTGGCCATGCCTGTTGCCCTGCATCATAATATATACTAACTATATTTCACTATAGCATAAAAAATCAATATAATATTAGGTCCTAACATAGGAAACTGGCGTTTTGTAAGGGTGTGACCTAAAGTAAGATATTTTCAAAGTATAATATATTAGGTTGTTCGGAAAGTTATTTAGTTTTTTCCTGACAGAGGATTTAATTGTATTTTTTTGCACTCAACATCACACTTAAGCCGTATAATTTTTATGTGCTTTGAGAGTTCACATAGCAAGGCTTGTGTGTGAAAAATTTCAATTCATTCCAGGCAGTAGGTTTTGGTTGGTGCATTTTCGACATATCTTACTGTTTTACTACAGAAAGGGCAAAAAAATGCTGTTCAAGCAAGAAAGAAATTGACCGATGTGTATGGAGAAGGTGTGTTAAGAGTACGCCAGTGCCAGATCTGGTTCGCTAAATTTCGATCCAGAGCAGCAGAGCAGCTTGCAGCTAAATCGGACGTGGTTTGCGATCCATTCGCTTCCACTTGGCCTCCGGACGCCCACGGGGCTTGTTTTGCAGGTCGAAATTTCCAGAACGAAAACGTTGGAACCAAAACCGCACTGTGTTTTCTTTTGCGACACCTCCGCCATACACATCATTAATCCTTCGAGCCGTTTTTGCAGCAATGGTGCCACGGCGGAACTCGTCCGCGTAAATAACGCGATACATATGCATTACGGTTTTCGAAACATATGCATGGGTAAATAGCTGTAAAAAATTTGAAATTGGAATTCCTAACCAAAGAGGAGATATTTGAGAACGAAGTAGCCAGTACGACAAAACGCCAATTTCATATGTAAGGACCAAATATTATAAAGTTTCTTAGATAGCTTGTCTAAGCTTACTATTTGGTCTTGTTAATATTTTAGTAACATTGCTTGCATAAAGTAATGTCATCACTTTATCGCCACTTTACAGACATATATTCCTTGTTTGTTATGGTATATTTGAATTGAGTTGGTTCAGTAGTTTGGTCATTATGATGTCATACACATGTACAAATATAGGAAAGACTTTATACAAAGAGATACTTATACTTACAGTGTTTTGTAAGCGTTTGTACAGGTGCGGTGTGACAGTAACTATCCATTCGGGTTGGTTTTTAGAATGTTCCAAGCTGCGCTTCAATCTTTGGGTTGATATGGCTAATATTGGTGACATAATAAGTTCTGGCTCCTTAATTAAACCTATTATATTTTCTGCTAGTGAGTCATATCCCAAGTGATATAAACCTATGACCTGTAACATATTGAAATTACAGCTTTCGTATTTTTGGTAGAATAGTAAACTATAATAAATTGTAGAATACCATTGAGCAAGTACAACGGTTATTGTAATTGAATTAAAATAGTTATTGTATCTATTTCATCACAATCATACACATATAAATAGTACCTACACATCTTTCAGACAAAACCTACTGAATGGATTTTAATGAAACTTTACAATAATATAGCTTATACATCAGACTAACACATAGCCTATAAATTTCACGTGGAAGATCGGCTAGTGCGAATATAAATTTATTAAGAACTACTAGCCAAACCAGTACGCTGCCTTAGTGTGTCAGTAACGAAATAGTAAAAGAAACATACTTTTCTCTAATAGATGCTATATACATAATTATAAAAAAATATACATATGTAGACAACACATGACTCTACCTGTTGACGTCGTAGAAAATCCACATCTATATTCCAAAGATCCGACAGTGTAGAGATTTTATCGATCCATTGTACACATTCCTCATCATTGTATTCTTTGAACGGACTGTTGGAATCAATAGTGGTTATCGTCTCAATAGCGGCTCGAATAAGTTTAGTGATAAATTTAAAACGTGGATTTCTTATTTTTTCTGAAGCTATCATGTTAATTTCTCTATTCACAACATTTCCAGTGAGAGCTTCAAATATATATTGGTAATCAATGTCGTATAACGTATCTAGCGGTTTTGAGAACTTTAAATTAAAGTTACATTGATAGTATATCGTGCAAGAAATTTGGTAATTCAGATTCAATATATCACTGTTAACATTTTTTATATCTTGTGCTACTTCAACTAAAGAGGGTACACTGTCATCCCAAATTTTCTCAAATTGTACTATTTGTTTTTCTTGGCTAATTGACATAGATGCACATTTTAAAAAATTACTCAAGTATACGGTTGTCAATTCGAGAAAACTCAGTAGATTTGTGTTACTGAAGCCGACATCTTGAAGGCATAGGGGATCCTTAGGTAATCTGCCTACTTTATTTACCAAACGGCAAGTGACCTCAAATATATGTTTAATATATGTAGACCATATTATGGACATTAGGCCTAAACGTAAATGGAAATCGGATATATTCATTAGACAGGAATTAATTGCCTTTAGTGCATTCGTATTTTGCATATTTTTTTGCCATGCCATTGCATACTCCCAAGACATGTTAGCTATTATATAATTAGTTGATGTACTCAATGGGAATTGCCGACATAGAAGAGACAGCCATTTGAATATTCTAGGGTTATCATCAACTAATTTTCTATTATTTTCCAGGAAAGGATAAATAGGACTACTATCTGCATCAGGTTCTACTCTATCACGATTTAAAGAAGTCTGTTTGTCTATCAATTCATTAACGATTATAGCTTCTGGAGGTACTCCCATGCTGCAAAGCCATTTTGCTATCAATTCGGTTACAGATCCTTTGCCCCTAGTATAAATAAATTTCAGATTTATATTATAGTCTTCAAACTGTAGTTTTGGTAATATATCTCCATTAAAATTCTCTTTAAATATCAATACAATACTTAAAATGGAAATATCCTCAAGTTTACCTATAAGTATACCCCATTTAGCATTTTCTTTTGTTAAAGACTCCCAAGCATCTTCATCTGAAGAATTTTTTTCAAATAATCGTCCAACAGCTTTGCAAGCCATTGCCACTATCATGCTTCTTAAGGGACAGGGCATATCAACAAGCATGTCCCGAACCTCTTGCCACCAGGGCGATATCTCATTGTACGACATTCTAGTGGCTTCTTCTGAAACACTGCTTATATAATACAGAACAGCTATAGATTTCTCAATAAGTTCAACACTTATTTCTTCTAGAGGCATGTTATTCACATGTATAATTACAAGTTTTAGTATTTCTTTCGGATCAAAATAACTGTCAATTATAATCTCGCTTAATTTTGTTAAATTATTCAATTTATATATGGTTTTGAAAGTATCAGAAGCTAGACTGTTTAATTTTTCGGCTGATGAATCAGGTTTCAAAGAAATATATTTAGATTTTCCTTCTAAAATAAAGCAGGAGACAAATTCTTTGAAAGTACTTAAGTTACGATCAGCAAATTTGACTTTGGCATGTTGATGTTCTTTGTAATAGTTTTCTTGAGATAGATGTAATAGTTTCTCTAAGATACAATTGTCGTCTTCTAAAAGATGAAATTCAGGTGTAGGTGATTCTTTTCCATATGATAAACTTAGTACTTTATTTTCTTGTACTGATAAAGTATTGTTTATGTTCGATACCAATTCTTCCATATCGTCAGGAATTTCGTTATGAATACGCCTATAAAATAAAGTAAGAAAAGTTAAATTTGCAAAATAGTATTTCATTTCCTCTTCTTTTCCACTAGTTCCCTGATCAGAAAAGCTGTTCCAAAAAGAAACCACGCAAGATATAACAATCTTTGGATCAATTTCATAGTTTCTTATCAACATTTCTAAACAGTGCTTTTTTAATTCCATCGTTTTAAGTTCCGTAGCTCTTTTAACGATTTCATCTTGATAGTATTCATAATCAGATGATGTTTTTTTAATATAATCCCTTAGTTCACGCAAAGTATGTAAATCTTTAGATCGTTGCGAATGTTCTCCATCCAAAGCATAGAAAAATGGAATGTTGAATCGTTTGAGTTTACCGTCGGGGTCAATTAACACGCATTGGAATTCCGGTAAATTTAGTTTTTTATGAGTATAGTTCTTTTCTGCACCAACTAATCCACAAGTGTTGTAAAGAAGTTGACCATTTTTAGTGGCAGTAAAAACAGCTACTCGATTTCCTCTTTGCATCAGCCTTATATCTATTAAGCCTTTTCTAGGATTATAAATGATTAGAAATACTGCTCTTCTAATTTCTTTGACAACAGACAGTTGAGGTTTTTTGTTGTCCACATCAAATATCTGGAATATATAAAAATTATATTCTATAAGAATATAAAATACCGTATCAACATATACCAATACAAACTATTTGATAAATACCTGAACAAATGCACACTGCGCATCCCTGCATCCTTTGAAAAGTCTAATCAAGTGACCTCTTTTGATGTCGAGTACAGAAACGCGACCAAAACTATCGACGACGGCAGCAAGCCGGCGATCTGGTGATACCACCACCGACGTACCTTGTCGTTGTACATCGTACAAACCGTTACGCATAGACAGCGGTTCTGTGCGAACTAATGGTTCTGTACTTGCTGGTGTGTTTTCTGCGTTAGCGCCACCGAGCCATCCTCTATAAACAGTAAGGTTGGTTTTTTTAATTGACAAATATATATATATATATATATATATATATATATACTGTTCTCATTCAGAAATTTGTTTGGTTGTATACTTACGGCAGCGCCGATTTTATTTTGTTTGCCACTGCCCTAGCGACATCTTGTAGAGGGGGTGTTGTGCCTCCTTCTAGTGCATAATGGAAACCTAAATATGGCTTAATACCAGCTCCGAGAATTAAAGAGTTGACTGGTGGGATCGAACGATACCTGAAACACAACAGTAAATTAATATAATTTTTTTCAATGAGAAAGCCAGAGATTGCTTACTAATGTTCTAATTTTACTTATTAGTTGGTGGTGAAATTACATATTTCTTTACAATAACATTGTTTGTGTATAAAATTACTACCGAATAATAGGAAGTCATTTTATACATATACAAAGTTGTGTGCAAAAGCAGTTTGTAATTCGAACAAAACTTTTAAAAATATATTTACCAAGTGTCATAACCGCCATAGGTAGATGCTGCCAAGAGATGATCATATGTATTCTTCAGTTCTAGCCCAACAACTGCAGCATCATTTATAATTTCTTGTTCAGTAAATGTCCATTTTCTTATATTAATATTACGACTCTCAATAGTGTAGTCATTGAGGATGCCTGCTTGAACTAGAAACATATATTACATAATTAAAATAGACAGTACCCTCAAGTAGTACAAATAATTGTATTTATGAGTTTGATTGTTTGTATCAATATTAGTGTTTTCTATATACAACTACATTAAGTATGTATATACCAAATAAATGTGGTTATGTATTTATATCAGTGGCCTAGTACCTATAACACAAGCTCTGCTTAGCTGGCGACTAGATGGTGCTGTGGGAATTGTCATGAGATATTATTATTGTACAACCCCTATACCCAAAGGCAACAATGCCATGGGGTCCATCTGAAAAAGCACTCATGAAATGTTTTTATAAATACCTACTCATGAATACAAAGAACTTGTTTATTTATTTATTTATTTTATTTATTTATTCTTTTGCACACAAAAATGTATACATGGCGGACTTAAGGCCTTATGGCATTCTCTACCAGTCAACCTTGTTTATGTCAATAAAAAATTGATTGGAAGTTCACTTTGAAGTTATTGTTGTGATATCACTCACATGCACTTTGTATATATTCAAACTGCTTAGAATAAAACAAAAACTACATTTTTAAGTTACCACAAGCTAAGTCCAGCTATTTCTAAGATAACAAGATATAATAGAAGCTTATTGATATAGTCCCCAGAACTTTTTTTTTATAAAACAGGGGACAAACGAGTTTGCGGCTCACCTGATGGTAAGTGATTACCGCCACCCATGAGCACTCGCAACACCAGGGGAATTGCAAGTACGTTGTCGGTCTTTTAAAAAGGAATAAGCTCTTTTCTTTAAGGTTTCAATATCGTATCGGTTAGGAAATACCATTGCTGGAAGGTGATTCCACACTGTGGTTGTGCGAGGCAAAAAGTTTCTAGAAAACCGCACTGTGGAAGACCGCCATTCGTCCAGATGATCAGGATGGTATTTCAGTTTCTGGCGGGTGGTACGGTGGTGAAACTCAGCAGCTGGTATTAATCCGAACAATTCTTCAGAACACTCCCCGTGATATATGCGGTAGAAAATGCACAGAGATGCAATATCACGCCGCAAAGCCAATGGGTCGAGTCTGTCACATAGATGTTGATTACCAATGATTTTGGCTGCTCGGTTCTGAATGCGGTGAAATGGAAGTAGCTGGTATTGTGGTGCTCCCGCCCAGAAATGAGGACAATATTCCATGTGCGGCCAGATCTGCGCCTTGTATAATTGCAAGCGATGGGCCGCCGTGAAATGCCGTCTCACTCTACTGAGCACACCAAGCTTTTTTGAGGCTATTTTAGCCTTGTCCTCCAAATGACCGCAAAACTGAAGTTCACTGGATATATCAACGCCAAGGACCTCGAGATTTGGCTTCACATCAAGGAGAGTGTCTTGAAACTGAGGAGATACGATAAATGGATACTTTTAGCGGTAAACACGCAAACTTGTGTCTTCTTGGGGTTGAATTGAACACAATTTTCCTTATCCCAAACCGAAACTTGATGGAGTGAAGTTTCGATTTCGGACACAATTTTGTTCCGGTACTCTATAATTTTTTATCTTCTATATGGAAACACCTCCCTTTACAGTTACATTTTTACTATTTGTATGTCATAATTTCTATTTTAGCTAATAATTTCATAATATTGTCAACATAAATTTAATATTTATTTCTTACATATAAATTTCAACAGGCATAATATTAATAACATTATCTACCTCTAGCTAATTGAGCTTTAGCATTTTTCAATGTTTGAAATAAACTGGTTCCAGTGATAATACATTCACAGTTTTGAAACAGAATGTGTATGTCATCTGGTAACGTTCCATAAGTGCCAGTGTGGCATGAGATCTTCATAACAGGTTTATCCTCCAGTTTTTCAAGTAGTAACAAATGGCCAGTGTTAGTATAAAAACCTACACTTCCATTTTTGAAACCAACAATAATACAAAACCAGTCAGGTCCATTCTGAAATAAATAAGTAAAGTAATTACAGTTATAGTATAAGTATAAAGTCAAACTGATAAAGCTACACCATGTATCAACCTGGATCTTAAACAAGAGAAATGTTTTGTTCAAAATATAGTAAACTGTTAATATGAACATACAAACATAAACAAACAATAAATTTAGAATTTATGAGCAAAACTTTTTATAATATATTAGAATTGGTTCATCCATACTAATGCAAGTGCCAGATATTTTAATTTTAAATAAACTGCTAACCTGTGATGAGTGTTGCGACGGACAGATAGACAATGCTAAAATTGCTGCGATGTCTGCAGGCAGTGTACCACTCCATACAATTAAAAAAGTGTTACTGTCTGTTGAACTAATCCATTGTGTGGCCAGAAGGCACAGACGGTTTTTGTAACCAATAGCAACTAAGCTTCCACAGGAGGACAATGATACTGAACACTGCGACAACCAATTTGTATCTAAAAATTAAAAATAATTAATAATGAATATTTGCACTTCCTGTATATAGAAGACATTCAACTTTTATTTTTGTACATGTTTAATTAGTTTCATAAATAATTTTTTATTGTAATATTTAATATCTGAAATTTATTACAATTCAAACATGAGTAATTTTCTATCATAATGTAAACTTTATAGTAACAATACAATAAAATAAGTAAATGTGCTTGTTGCTGACATACTGGCCACATACTTATATAGTTTATATATTATATTTTTCTAAACAATTTTAATATATGATTATGACAGACAACAACAGTGATAAGACTAATTGATATGAAATATAATTATAATTTTTGTTACAGTTTATAAAGGGTTTTGCATTGAAATGGGCATCAATAGAAAAATTCGGGAACATTCATGATAATTATTATATAATGTGTCTGGATTTACGAAAACAATGATTATTGCAAATCTTTGCTGACCTTCTTTTTCTGGTATATACAGAGCTCGAGCTATACTTGAAATATCACCGCAGTCGGCAATTTGTTCTACTTCACACGTCATTATGCTATGGGAATCGTTTAGGTGAAATGTTTTAAAATACTCATATCAGAATTTTTTTTGTGGAAATATTATTGATTATTATAAAAAAAGATGAAAGAAATAAATATTAGATTGTTTACAAAGAAAACTATAAAGAATATATTTTGTGAATATGACACTTGTCAGTCTGTGAGTCAGTTTTTGTTCAGTTGGGGGGTTTTGACAATGACATTTGACCAGAACATTAGCGCAGTTCCCTTTGCCTTTCCTTTAAAGGATAAACAGGACTAAAAAAATCTTTTTGAACGTTTTTCCCTACGAAGAGAAAAACCAAACCAAAAAAAAAAAATTGCCGATAGATACACAATTTGGGGCCTCAGGGTTATCCGTTTTAACCCGCCTTGGAATCCGGGGGTAACACCTATTTGGTACTGGATTAGCAGCGTATGGATATAAGAAATTTTAAATTTATATAATGAAAGATGTGTACTTGTGTAGAGTGTGATGAGTAGGTACTATTAAGACCAGAAGTCTAAAAATCTATGTAGTTAGTAGAAAATTTTATATAACAGATGAAAACATATAATTTTAATTAGGCGAAAAATTGCGTAGCTACTGCGTAAAATAGCGTGTATATGTACTGTGAGATATAGAAATAGGTATATAGAGATCATGTTGCGTTATAATTATTACATAGCACGTCAACCTTAGATTTTAGACAGACAACTATATATTTTAGTAAATGCATTAATATCACTCCTCCTTCGGTCATCAGTAATGGGCAGTACCAGGATTATTATTATTCGCTGGATTGTTTTATTTATTAATCAAATAAATTTTTAGAGCACACGTATGTATATCTAATATCATTTTAAAGAGACAACAGATAAATTTGACAATTATCAGTGGCGGACGTAGCTTTGCATCGTATTTTTTTTTTATAACACAGCGGACAAACGAGCATGCGGCTCACCTGATGGTAAGTGATTACCGCCGCCCATGAGCACCCGCAATACCAGGGGAATTACAAGTACGTTGTCGGCCTTTTAAAAAGGAATAAGCTTTTTTCTTGAAGGTTTCAATATCGTATCGGTTCGGAAATACCTTTGCTGGAAGGTGATTCCACAATGTGGTTGTGCGAGGCAAAAAGTTTCTAGAAAACCGCACTGTGGAAGATCGCCATTCGTCCAGATGATCAGGATGGTATTTCAGTTTCTGGCGGGTGGTACGGTGGTGAAACTCAGCAGCTGGTATTAAACCGAACAATTCCTCAGAACACTCCCCGTGATATATGCGGTAGAAAATGCACAAAGATGCAATATCTCGCCGCAAAGCCAATGGGTCGATACTGTCACATAGACGTTGATTACCAATGATTCTGGCTGCTCGGTTCTGAATGCAGTCAAATGGAAGTAGCTGGTATTGTGGTGCTCCCGCCCAGAGATGAGAACAGTATTCCATGTGCGGCCGGATCTGCACCTTGTATAATTGCAAGCGATGGGCGGCCGTGAAATACCGTCTCACTCTACTGAGCACACCAAGCTTTTATGAGGCTAATTTAGCCTTGTCCTCCAAATGACCGCAAAACTGAAGTTCACTGGATATATCAACGCCAAGGACCTCGAGATTTGGCTTCACATCAAGGAGAGTGTCTTGAAACTGAGGAGATACGATAAATGGATACTTTTAGCGGTAAACACGCAAACTTGTGTCTTCTTGGGGTTGAATTGAACACAATTTTCCTTATCCCAAACCGAAACTTGATGGAGTGAAGTTTCGATTTCGGACACAATTTTGTTCCGGTACTCTATAATTTTTTATCTTCTATATGGAAACACCTCCCTTCACAGTTACATTTTTACTATTTGTATGTTATAATTTCTATTTTAGCTAATAATTTCATAATATTGTCAACATAAATTTAATATTTATTTCTTACATATAAATTTCAACAGGCATAATATTAATAACATTATCTACCTCTAGCTAATTGACCGCAAAACTGAACGTCACTGGATATATCAACGCCAAGGACCTCGAAATTTGGCTTCATATCATGGAGAGTGTCTTGAAACTGAGGAAATACGATAAATGGATTCTTTTTAGCGGTGAACTCGCAAACTTGTGTCTATATTGTGTGTGTGTATTTAAACCACCACAACATGATGCACTCGCTTTCACTAATATAGTAGTACACGATCTAGTGCAGAAAGGGATTAGCATAATGTCAAATCAGTTAACCCATCATGACAATTCATCAGGAATTGAAGAGATCAGGGGGACTGCGTGGAAGTCGATCTGACGTGATACAAATTTAGCATTGAGGCCAATGTAACCCCTTATTAACTTGTAGAAGTTATAGGTACCTTACACTTAAAAATATATGTTGTATTTTTTTAAAGATTTTTTTTATGGATTCAACTGTACCTTTTGTATCATTCAAAATTATGTTCATAAATAACATAAAATCACACGAGACTGCGCTACAGGCAAGTAACTTATTATAAAAATACTTTTGGAAATACTTTTGGACACCTATGTCCTCAATTTTGATGTAGTTTCTTGGATAATAATAAATTTATAACGATCTACCCTTATGTATTCAATTTATTTAGGAAACACACTTTCTATATAAAAAGATGTTATATGAAATATAATTATCTACATAATTGAGTCCATATTATGTACATGTATATAACGTGTACATAATATGGATAAGTATCCATATTAGTAAAATAACTTCTTTTATGCAACGAATACCTATAAGCCCGTTTCATTAGGTCGAGTATCAGTTCCATAGAGGGCGCTGCCCGGCGGAGAGCTCTTGTCTGCCACTCGAATATTCAGCCTATTACCACCCATACAACAGGCGTTATTCTTCCGATGTTGTTACTGAAATTTAAACCCTGCTGTCATAGTTTTTAAAAGGTTCTATTATGTGAAACTGTTTGCAAAGTACAACCCTTGTGTCTGGACCGTTGTCATTGCTTTCCATTGAAATGCGAATATAAATCTGATCTCCTTTTTATTAGATACGAGCTACTCGCCTGGATTTCGCACGGTTGTACATATAAACCTTCCTCTAGAATTACTCTATCTATTAAAAAAACCGCTTCAAATTCCGTTGCGTACTTTTAAAGATTTAAGCATATATAGGGACAGACAGCGATAGCGACTTTGTTTTATAATGTATAATAATAATCTTTATATATGATAAAATTGTAACGAAGGCAAACCTGTATGTCAATTATTTTTGAAAATATATTAAGTATTTGTTGTGTATAGTATAAATATAATTAATACTCACCAAAAAAATATGGTTTCAGTTTTTTTCTTTGTTTTTTAGGTAAAGGCAGCGAAAAAAAGCACCGTATTTTAAAATAAATATAAACTATGGCCATTTTAAAAATATAACATAAGTATTTATTATACTATCAACTAGCTTTAACCCGCGGCTTGTCGGGACTCATATAATAATGTGTTACTGAATGATAATGTAATAATATAGGTAAAAGATAAATCGTTAAGTAATTGTTTAACTTATCTTTACTAAAAAACAAAATTACATACATATTAAATATTATTTAAAAACTTTCAGTAATTTATTGTCAGTATTTTGTGATAGACATAAAATCCACATGGGTTTCCTACAAAGCTCTGGCTGTACCCTATATATGTACACCTACTTGCTCAGGATTTGTTCAATGTAAGTACTTGCTTGGCAATTTTCCGCGCTGCTGGTTCCAGCAACTACATCCTGATCGTTTATTTTTCTATAATGGTAAATATCAAGCAAAGTAGGTATAAATCTGTAGTAAGGTTCTGTTGTGATTATTATGATGTACCATTGACTTATCTGATGCTATATTTTGTTTTATAGTTGTATAGTAGTTAGTTTATAATAAAGATACAAATACAGAAAATAATTGGAAATTATTTTTATCCCATGAGGATTAAAACAACATGAGACTGGAGAGTGAGAGATACAATAATAGAATAATTATTACAAGAATAAATAATTTATTGCGTTTCATATAGTTGATACATAAGTACCCATATTCACACACATTTGGGTTGAGAGTATCTTAACTATTATTTTTTATAAATGTTAATATTATTTCTCATCTTTGCATGTATACCTACCGCATAGGTATAAAAAATATATAAATAACCCCTAATTAACACAGCGCTGTCTAGTCCTAGAGTAGGCAGAGCTTGTGTTATAGGTACTAGACAATTGATATAAATACTTAGATTTTTTTGTAAATACATACATAATATATCTACATAGAAAACAGCCAGACTGATACCAACAGTCATACTCATTTATTCAAATGTTTGCACCGTTTGAGGAATCGAACCAGCGATCATCGGAAGTAAAGCAGTATGCTAAACCGTTGCTTCTCTATGTGTTTTGGTGAATGATAAAAATGATCCCCAGTCCGTGCTGACGTATTCACTGACAGGGCTCTAGTAATGATCCTTATCAGGCCACTGGAGTCGACTGCTGGAAATGGTCCTCTCCCCAATCTTCAGCTCTTATATCCAGTTATTACCCACAAGAAGGCGAAGGAGTGTAAAACGATATATGAGGTTTAAATCAGATTAGTCAGCTCATCAGGAGGGTATTTAAATATTAAGATAGTATTTCTAGAAATGGACTTAACTAGTATCTAATATTACAGTTGTGAAGATATTCGGAAATTTGTTACTTAGTCACTTAAAAGTCTGAAAAGATTTAATTTTAGTTAAATTCGGTATATATTTTGTACTTTTTTGTAGTTTAAGTAGACAAAACCGTTTTACACATCCAATATATTGTAAATATAAAAATAATTCATTATTTTTACCTCAATACCGGTAAGTATATATCTAGTTGATGAATATATAGAGTTATAGTACACGACGTACTCATATAACATTCGAGTTATTTAAATTTCATCTCTAAAAATAAATTTAATGAATGACAAGTCTTTTACGGAAAATTCGAAATAATTTGTCTATGAGAAAAATGTTTAGACATTAGTCCAATTAGAATTGAGTCTTAACAGAAATTATCCTATTTATAAATAAAGTAAATGGCGAATCATATTGTAAATGCTGGTTAATTAATTTTGGTTTTGTTGATATTTCAAATTTCTATTGCATACCTAAGTAGCTA